AAATCGAATGTATTTTATTGTTAAATATGTAATAAAAAATTTTTATTATTAGACTAAATTATAAATTATTATTTACGTCGCGTTTAATGTCATTTTAAATCGCAAAAATCTCACTAATTCTTTAAAATTAAATAAAAATAACTTTTTTTAAATTAAATAAAAATAAAATTTCAAACCAATAAAATAAAAAATAAAGGTTTCAGTTTATATTTTATAGGATATTTACATTCTCGTGAGTTATTAATGGATAGAAGAAGCAAGAAAATCGATTGTAAGCGACTTCGAAATTTTTCGATGATAGATCAAGTGCTTTGCGAAAATATTAAAAATTTGTACTATACATCGGAAAGAAAGGAGAGAGAGAGAGAAAGATCACAAAACTTATTTATATTGGAAATTTATTTAATATACATAAGCGTATTGTGTTCTTCGTATTATTACAGTTTTTGTATCATAAGAAAGAGAAAATAAAATTAAAGTTGAATACTGAATGTGCTCTAAAGTAAATCTCATCTAAATAAATAAATGCATAAATGTGCGCCCCACATTCCTCATGCACAAAATACATAATATTAATTTTTATGTATTATTATTTTTAGATTTTTATTTTTTTAAATTCTCTAGATGCACTTTTCATTTCTTCTCTCTTTCTTTCCAACTACTAAATATAGATTTATCATTTTTAATATAGATCTGTCATTTTTAGTGTACATTATTGCAGTAAGTGGAATAAAGAGCAAATCTTTTGGCACATTTAAAATGTACAGGAAAGTTTTATCTGATGCGTTCAATAGAAATATCTGAAAAAAATGCATACGTCTTTTTAATCTTAGTCTTTCTAAATAAAAATTAGAATAATAAATTTACAAAATAATTTGCTTTAATATATTTTTATTGCAAACATATGAAGCAAAATTCTCAAGGTGCATCACTATGAAAACATCGATAGAATAAAAAATAGATTGCATACAAAAAAATTAAAATATTTACATTAGTCAATACAAAGTTGGATCGCGAGTTCAACTTTTACGTGCGACGGAAATTATATATCTATTCTTTCGAAAAAGCGGAAGTCTAATGATTGGCTATTGCGTCAGCTTCCACCGCGCAGAACGCATTGCCGCGTCCTGTGTGCAGAATCCCAATAAAATGTTTCCGCATGATAAAACATTGTATTTGTTATTTTTGGTACAATTAAAACGATTAATAATGTCATCGTTTTTTTATCTATGGATCTATGGATCTATTTGATCATAAGGAAAATTTGTGGCTAATTATTTTTAAAAGTACGTGACAGTACTAATACTAGTGTAAATGATAGCGTGATCGCAGTTAAAATACGAAAAACGATTTAACTCTACTCTCTAATCAACGATTTAAATCTGGAAAACTCTATATACATATGGAATATAATTATACGAGAATCATTAGAATTATTAGGAAATATGAATAAAAACATGAAAAAAAATCTTTATTAACTCATTCAATATATTTACTTCAACAAAGACAGTTTAAGTGCAATAAGTTCTATAATTTCATAGTTTAATATATTTTATAATAAACAAAAGAAATACATATATATCTTTCATTTTTTTTTAACCTGGAAAAGCTACATTTGACATGTATAAATTGAATTTCATCTCAATTCAATTCATTTAAAAATTTATATTACATGTCTAAATAATGAGCTGTTATTTTATATGCTTTGCTTAATATTAAATATTAAATATTAAAGCATTCTCTCTCTTTAAGAATTGTCAAGATAAATTGTACAACATTGAAAGCAATTTTCTACAATCTACATTAAGATAATTACGTAATGTCAATAGCATTATAATGTATGAAATATACATCTATATGAAGGAACATTTTCTTCATACATGAAATTTGTTAAATATCATACATGAATTTTGTTAAATATCAGTAATTATATATAACTATGTAATTATATATGAGTAAGCAATAATTTTACAGATAATTATAATTGATGACTGATATTCCAAATCTCTGCAAGAATTACTTGTAAATTTATATAAAAATATCGATGTCGACAGAGGCTCAAATAAATTTTACAATAACACTAGGTATAACGATTCATGTGGATGGCATGTTTTTCAGCATGATATGTCTTAGATATTTGGCTAAGCACAGGTGAAACTTCAGGGTCATTAATCCAAACATTTGTCGATGCAGGCGTTTCTATCATTGATAAATATGCTGAAATAAATAGTAAAAAGTTTTAAAAGCAATTTAAATTTTTTACATATGCTTATATCTTACCAAGTAACATTTTAGGATTTGTAAGGCTAAGCTGAATGTGAGAATTGCTCATAATTGCTTTATAAATTGGGCCATCAATTTCAAGGCCCTCATCCAAGTCTTGTAAGCTACGTCTTCTTTCACCCAGTAACCATTCACACTATCAAAACAAATTTATTTAAAAATATATGAAGTATGTGCTACAAATTAATTATTCTAACTTACAGCATTAGCCTGATCATTTCCAGTAATTTTCAATGCTCCTATAACATTCTTTTCATCAAAACCCATTTCCACAAGCGACCGCATTGCTCTCTTATTAGGTTTAAATTCCATTTTTTTATATTGTCGAAAACTTTCTAGCAATAAGTCTATAATATGCATTAGATTTTTTTCTTTTTCGTCGTAACCTAAATACATTTTGATATATAATAATTTGAAATATTTACTTTTATTTAATCTAAAATAAATACTTATTTTACCATTTTTAGTTCAAACTATTATTTTTCGAATAATAAGTGTACATTTTTTGATACTTAAATTACCTGTTTCGAAGAGTTCAATGCATGCATCTTTTAATGATTTTTTCTTAGTGCTCACTGAAGAACTAGGACCTGCAATATTTTCTGTATCCATAGATAAAATATCTGTTTCGTCATCATCATCTGTATCATCCTGATGCTCTATTAGCCATTCTAAAGCTTCTGTCATATTCGATCTAGAACAAATATTTTTATAGCATATAATGAAATTATATATAGCATAAATATGAACATTAAAATTATTTTTTTAATGCTGATATTTACTTTCGAAGACGCAATGCTTTAAAAACTTTCTTGTGAGAGTAGCCCATTTCTATAAGAGTTTTTACAACTTTTGGATCATTAGTGGGCTTACATCTGGCTTCTAGTTTTTCTTTAATAATATCATATAATTTTTCAGCATCTGGACTGTGCATTAAAATTTTTGCAGATGCTTGCACAAGAGTTATTAAAATCTTACGAATTTCATTCTGAAACTATAAATAATTATAAAAAGATAAAGTAATATAATAATAATAGTTAATATATGTTTTATAAAGTATAATAATAGTTAATATATGTTTTATAAAGTATATAAAATATATTTACATCTGCAGGACATTCTGTAGATGGCATAGGTTTAGATTTAACATTTTGACTAGATAAATCTCTTGTAGCTTGAGCTATTGCTTCTAGACTTGGACCCTTAAGAGCTTCATCTGAAAGATTTTCTTGTACGATGCTTGATCGAATTTCCACTAATAATAATTCATCTGTAACAATAAATAAATTGTTTATTATAACAAAAACCATAAATCAATAATAAGTGTATACAAATTTAAAATTTATCAAGAAAAAGATCATATGATAGAGTATGTAAAAATATATATAACTTAATAAAAGGTAAAAATACCATATTCATTGATATCCTCATCATCAATATAATTTTCATCTACAAGGTGCTTAAATTTAGATGAATGTACAAGACGATATCGTGAAATGGGTTTAGTCATATCTTGACCATAAAAATGTATTACTGCTATTTTTTTAACATTTTCTACAGTAAAATTTGGCTTTACTGTAACATCCAATATGTTGCCCTCTATGCTACAAAAGTAAATTTAGTATTATTAATAATATACAAAATTATTTCTTGGAATCTTAACACTTAATTATAGAAATTCATAAAAAACCTGATAACATTGACAGAAAAGCTTTCAGGTGAGGTAGGTAATGGTGTAAGCATGGTGTTATTGCTTGCAGGATTGCCTGTGCTGACAGAAGAAAGGGCCAAGGACCGCCTGTCGGCAGTCCTTGAACTTTTTCTGTTATGCCAGGCTTCTGCTATTTGATCACGCATCCATGGGATCATTAAATTTATCTGAAACATACAAAAAAATGTTGTTATAATAGTTGCGATATGATTAAAATTGCAATATAAGTTTTGATATATCTAGTAATCTATATTTAGACAAAATCTATTTTCTATTTATAAAATTATATGTAAATTTTATAATAAATTGCACATGTACACACACACACACACACACATACATACACATCATTACACCCAAATTTGATATTTCACAAGAGGCTCAAAATCTAATATTACTTAAAAATTTATACTAAAAATATATACTCACTTTTTATATTTAAAAACTGTTTACATAAATAATTCAGACTTCAATTTATTATTCAGTGAGAAAAATCGAAAGATACAATAACAGAGGTTACACTGAAAAATATGAAGCATTTTTCGGATAAACTGTCGAGAAGCTGTTAAAGAATCGACAGATGGGCTGTCATCTTTGAATACGACGCATCGAAACAAATTATTTAAAGGAATCTGTTTGCGTCTCTAATTTTTTAACGACATTGTCGCTATCGTTACGTCTCGTTACACATACATACCGACATTGTAACATTGTAACGATTGTAACGAAAAGTTATATATTCAATAGCTTGAAGAAGCGACAGATGTCGGTAAAACATCAAATTTTGTCGTTAGATTATCAAGAGGTACAGAGCTAGTGAAATATAGTGAAATAGTGATTTTATGATTTGGAACTTGGAACAAAATTAGAATGATTAGAAATTGTTTATATGTTATTGTTTATCAATAATATATTAATATAACATAATGTTGATCGTTGAAGTTTGTTTCGAATTTATAAAAAAAATAGTAAAAAATAAAATGTTTCCTATGACGTAAAAGGCGCTTTGCAACAAACCCCGCAGGAAGAGCGTCGCCATGGCAACGGAACGCGCGGAACGCGTGGAATGCGGACTAACGTTTCGCGTTCCGTCATTTCATGCAGCAGCTGCTGATTGTCAGCTGTTCAATATGGAACGATAGCAAAGTGCAGTCACTTGTAGGAGTCGGTCAACGTCAGAGCCAGCCAGCTAACCAGTCAGTTCAGTCGAACCAGTGAGTTCTCGTATTAACGTGTGCAAGAGTGAGTGTGAGCTGAAGGGACAAAGATAAACGAGTGAAAGAAAATAAGGATCGCGCCGTGTAAGCGGCCGTAGAAGAGAAAGAAAGAGAGAGAGAAAGAGAGACAGAAAGAGAGCGTTCGTGTACGCGCGCCACTCGTACGATTTATGCGAGATCTCACGCCAGATCAACCTGGATGTATTAACGCAGGGGCTAAAATACAGCATATCAGGACTAATGAACCTCGCAACAAATCAGGCGTCCGACACGACGTCCGACACGCAGAGTAATGGTCCGTACTTTGTTAACTTCAATCAGGACTGCACGTAAGTTTGTCGCCTTCGTACCTAGCATCTCCGATTAATATACTGGTATCCCACCCCGCAAGAGCATTCCTCGTCCGTCTCTACCTTTTATCGCCTTTAACCTTCGCGAGCCACCACCCGCCGATTCCGTTTCGATCGTTTCGACACGCGTCGTTGACGCGTGTCGCGTTTTTTTTTCTTCCTCGATAATTTTCGCGGTGCAACGCGCATGACTCGCGCTCGCAATCAAGTTGCATGTACGCGTCGCGCGACTTCGCGCTCCATGTTTTCCTCGCGCCAATGTTTTTGTTGTCTGCGTCATATGTCGCTTCCCCTTTCACCGATTAATTGCGCGTTAACGGCAGACAAAGATTCTCTTTATGTTACGTTACATCACGTTCTATTATGCGATAACGCGTTACGTGCGAAGAGATAAAATATTGGTCGCCTATCTGGTCTTTCTACTCACGTCGCTTTATCCAAGGACCTCGCTCCTGATTTCTATCTGATTGCGTATCGTTTGCAATAGCTTTATTTTATACGCGACACTCGCGCGCGACGATTGCAGCGAAAAGATGGAAAAGCAAAGAGCGTTATCGCATAATCGGATCGCGCGAATTTATGTTTTAAATACATTTGTGTCACAGATGTTTAAATAAAAGAGAAAAGATTATCTGCACAGAAAATTATATTTTTGATCAAATACTTATTTTTCAGATCTTTGGCAGTAGGATCAAAGTCAGGATATAAACTTTATTCTATTAGTACTACTGGCAATCTTGAAAAAATATATGAAAATGGTAATAATTTGTTTTTCTATATTCTATATTCTATCAATGTTTGTTTTATCAAAAATTGTATGAATCGAATGTTTTAACATTTCTTAAAAGGAAATTTCTTATTTCCTTCTTTTCTATGTTATTAATTAGCACCTTTTCTTTTTTGAGATGATACAGACTTTGAGGATATATGTATTGTTGAGCGATTATTTAGCAGCAGTCTGGTGGCAATTGTTAGTCTTAAATCCCCTCGTACGCTGACAGTGTGCCACTTTAGAAAAGGAACAGAAATATGCAATTACAGTTACTCAAATACAATTTTGGCTGTGAAACTCAACAGAGCGGTAAGTCATCAAAAATTATGTTTATGTTAGCTAAAAGCTATCACACATACTTGCATTTATATACAAATGTAAAAAGATGTAACTCAAAAATAAGTTTATATTTAGCATATATTGATATGAATCTTTTTATTTTCTTTCTGTATATATAATCATCTATATAATACTTTTTAGATTAAAAAAAAAACATTCTAAAATATAATTTGATATAATATTTTATTATAAAATAAATAAACTGTGATAAGAGAATATAGTGATTAATGTTTTCTCATAACTATGAGTATACAAAAAATAATATAATTGATTTCAGAGATTGGTGGTATGTCTGGAAGAATCATTATATATTCATAATATACGAGATATGAAAGTGCTGCACACAATTCGTGATACTCCACCTAATCTTACAGGCCTTTGTACCCTCTCGCCAAATAGTGACAATTGTTATTTAGCTTATCCAGGTTCGAATACAATTGGAGAAGTGCAAATATTTGATGCAATCCATTTTGTACGTCTTAATTAAATCTGAATGATTTAATGGAAATTTTGATATATTAACACTAGGTATTTAAACAACTTTTTCGTGTGTAGCAAGCCAAAACAATGATACCTGCTCATGATAGTCCATTGGCAGCAATCGCTTTCAGTTCGACTGGCACCAAAGTGGCAACAGCCTCTGAAAAAGGCACTGTGATTAGAGTTTTTGATGTAAGATAAATTTTAAACCTAATCTATATAGCTACATTATTTCTTTAATAATTATTTTCATTTTTACAGGTTCATGAAGGTACAAAGTTATTCGAATTTCGACGTGGGGTGAAAAGATGCGTCACGATAAACAGTCTTTCTTTTAGTATGGATTCTATGTGGCTCTGTTGTTCTAGTAATACGGAAACTGTGCATATATTCAAATTGGAGGAACCAAAGGAAACGTAAATATTGTTGATTGCAATCTCTATCACTTATGAATATCGCTTTGTTATAAAAAAAATATCACTCGCGTTATCATAGGCCAAACAAACAAACTACAGATGAAGCACAAAGCTGGATGGGATATTTGACAAAGGCTGTGACAGCGTCAGCTACATACTTGCCGTCGCAAGTGACTGACGTTTTTACTCAAGGACGTGCTTTCGCAAGCGTTCACTTACCATTTCAAGGATTGAAAAATGTCTGTGCCATCACTGTGTGAGTGTTTGAGAATTCGTATGTTATTTTAAATTTGTACATATATTGTACATTAAATCCTTTATATATATAAATATATAATCATATTATCATATACTTATTCCATTTATGTTTCAGAACACATAAAGTACCAAAACTGTTAGTAGCTAGCGCTGATGGTTACTTGTATGTCTACTCTGTGGATTTAACGGAAAGTGGATGTTGCGCTCTTATAAAACAACATAGGTTTGTAATATTTATTATATTTTCAGTTAAATCAATTCTTGTAAAAACGAGCGATTGTAGCATGCCAATGTTACATAGCAAACTTAAAAGTTTGCAAAACATATATAAAAATTTAAAAACAAAAATTAAGATTTGAAATTATTTTCAACAGGAAGTTTTTTCAATCTGAAATATTTAATGTTTCTTCATTTTTGTTATAACATAATGATTATTTTGTATTTTGTAAAATTTCACTGTAACAGTTATAAATTTCACATTCATAGATTAAAAACTTCATATTTATATTGCAATAATGATAATTGTGATTGATTTTTAATTTTGAAATAAAGGAATAGAAATATTTTATTTGCATCTTTTACAGATTAGATGATAAGGATCGAGATGAGTCAGATTGTGGCGGCTCTGGTTCCGGAGCTGCAGCTACCGCGAATAGTACAAATACAGGTATGAAGAGATACTATTGGACTGTTAGTTTTAGGGCAGATTAATTGAAGCGAGTTGACGATAAAGATACATTACCGACAGTTAATTTAACAAATAAAAGTATAATGCAAAACTTTTCTTTCTCGTATATTCAGTATAAAATGCTTTGAATGTGTATAGAATTTCTTTTATCTATCTTATTTCAAGTTGCAATTTTTTAGTAAATTTTGCAATTATTTACTAACAGAATATATTAAGTATTTCCTTCTTTGTTGAAAAAAGGCATGTCATACATAACACACACATATACAGTTGGTACTGGCAGATATATGAATATCTTGTGTTATAAAACTATTAATAAATGTATTAGAATGTATACACAATACAACTTATTGAACATAAAAAAGGAATTATTTCTTTCAAAAAGCAATTAAAAATAATTTATTAACAGCAACAATTCAATAAAAATGTATATATCTGCACTTTTTTTCAAACAATATTTAATAGTAGTATAAGAATTAAATAACATATAATGAAATTTTATTAATGTAGATATTTTTCCAAAAGCTATTTCCGTTGTAATTTTGCTATATATTTTATTGTGTAAGACAATTTGCTACTTTATGTATTTTTAGATAGATTCTGCTGTAGTATTTTTATTAAAATTGGTTCAGTAGTAATAAAACGCTTATATCGTTAGCTATGTACCATATGTGTATTTTTGTGCGTATGTATGCGTGTGCGCGAACTACGCGTTCCGGATATCTTTACTCTTTTTTTTTTATTTTATTTTTTTTTTTTTTTTAATAATTTGCTTCATACATATCTTCTTTTTTTCGCTTTTTTAGCCCCTTTATAAATGAAATAAGCCAGACTTCTTCTGGGGCTCAGGGGAGGGGGGACGGGGACCCCGATAGTTGATCTTACTCTTGATGTAATTTTTTTCTTTTTAATATCCACCGAAGCCTGCATAAATAGCTACGCGGGTGTGTTGCGTGGCCGCTCGCCAGACTCCATGTCAGGTACTGGTATGTCCTCTATTCTGTCCCTCGATTTTTTTCGCTCTCATTCTCCATACACAAGATACCTAATTCTCCTCTATAGCTTTTCTTTTTTTCTATATGCCTTACTACTAGCGTTCGCGCATTACTTATATATGTACACGCAGCAAACAGAAGAATGAGAGCAATGCTGAGTAATGTGCCTTTTCACACGGTCTATATCTTTTTGTTAATATAAACAATTTACATATATATCGCATTATATGTATGAATGATAGTACAAATCTACGCTTATTAATTCTACAGACTGATCAAGTTAAAAAAATGTATATATATGTATATGATCATATATGTGCACTGGATATGCATGTCGGCACTAATCTATTTTCTCGGGATAAACTACTATGCACGTATACAATTTGTTTAATGGTTAGAAAATATATAACAATTATTGCATATTATTGCATCTGTATACTATTAGGAAAGATCTTGAAAATTTCTATAAGTAGTTTATTTTTTAAAAGAAACTACTTTATAGACATCCTATTATTATAATAATTAACAATTGTATGTAGTGACTACTAACATATGATTACTAAGACTATGTGATATTAATATTCTTCATTATGGCAGCAGGTAATAACGATGTGTATATATATATATTTCTAAGAACAACTTTACTTGTATCAATCAAAGAATGTATAACGTATTTCCGTTAATAGTATTGTTTCTATATGTTAAGTTCAGTAATTGTAAGATATAAAAGAAAATAGAAAATATCTTTTTTCTCTTTTTTTCTTTTATCTTAATATTACAAAATCGAAAAATGCAGGTTTTAAAAAATGTAATAATAATATAGTTTTATTGTTTAATTTCTTTTAATTTTGTTAATATTGCTTTATATTTTTATATTTTTGTTTACTATTGTACATGTAAAAAAACACTCATGCATTGTCACGAGTACCTTTTGCAAAAGACAAAGTAGTATGTCATGTATGCATATACAAATATCTAGAACAATTGTTACATAACTGATAATCATGTATATTAGAAATTTTACCTAATATCTTGTATATTACACACAACAATGGTGTATAATATTAAATTAAATGCCTGTGTCATTTATATTATTTAATTCATTCAAAATTTTTTTTTTTTTTTTTTAAAAAGCCATCATTATCATAAGTGAATTCACTAGTGAATGTATTTCACGGCAATGTGACGTAGACAATGGTCAATGAAATATTTATTATTTGCACTCAGATAACAAACATATTCTGTATTGGTAAATTCATAGAATACTTACATTCTAATTCTGAAACCGAAAATTTTGAGGACTAAATTTGCACTAAATAGGATCAATCAGGAATATATATATATATATCTGAATGCATAAAATATATCATGTATCATTGAACGCTAATCGTCTGTATACATCTTTATCGTTATATCCGCTCCGAAATAATGATGAAGAAACTTTATAATTTGAATATAAATGTGTGGATTTGTAGAGTCTGAGAAGTATCAGGAGATGATAGCAGCGACAGAAAGTCCACCGAAAGGCGGCGGCCCGTTCCGTCTGGATGACGATACTGAATTTCCACCTGTTACGCAAAGGACAGACTGAGCGTAATACACACATACGCAATTAAGGCATATCAAAAGCTCAAGACAAACGGAGATATGAAAACCGTGTAAAAGAGCAACGATCGTGACGAGCGAAAGGACAAAAAAGAGGGCATAAAAGGATGTCCAGTATTTACACAGATGGCCGTATATCCAGTACTCCAAGTTCAGTAGAACTAAATTTGTAGGCGATATTACCGAGAATGTTACATATCTACAATATGCATTAAAAATTTAAATGAGATGCATCAACGCAAACTCGAAAAAATCGATTTTTTTAATATAATAGTTTAGAAAAATCGATCCGTATTGCAGGAGAAGAGGGGAAATGCCTTTTGAAGTAACACTCTCGGTCATATTACTGAGTTATCGGATTAAAATTTCATCATTAAACAAGTATCGTATTTGCCCAAACGAATGCAATATCATGCGAAGAATATAGTAATCCAATGATAGCGATTTTAAAGCATTTGTTATAGGAATTATGGGGCAAAAAATCTTTTACACAGAATTATATACAGCAAGAGTCGCATTTGTGTGCCAGTAAAGTTATTTTTACAATTCTATATAGATATTTGTACAGAGAGAGAAAAGTACGTTTTTATATAATCTAAAGGTTACTTCGATCAAACTCCTTTCTCTCTTTCTAAAATGTATTTAATTTGTCATCTTGACAATTTAGACTGAGTTAGTTATCAACGATTAAATTAATCGGAGTTCGGTCGAAGAAGCTCTAACATGCTAAGAATAATATACAATTTCAAAACTTTACTCCGACGCACAATTTAGCGATAAATAATATGACTGTGCATGAATCAGCGTAAATTGTTTTGCATTAATTTCAATAAATGTCATGTCTATTAAACAGATCGAAAAATGAAAACTGCGATCTATTCAAATCAATATATGAAAATATTTATCGAAATAATTAATATAAGCGAATGGGCCTTATTTAAAAAGACTTTTTTTTTACAATCCGTAATAACGGTTAGTGACAAGTTGAGTTCATTCCAATGCCGACATATCTATTCGTAATGAGATATATATTAATAAATAAATAAATTCGTAAATGAATTTTTATCCTGTTATATTTATCATATATTTATATATAAAAATTATATTTAAAAATAAAATTCAATTTTTGCTTTTTACATCACATAAAATGATCAAACGAATTTTCGCTAAATTTAGAACACGTTTGAGTATTAAATATATTTTACTTTTACTTTATTATATTTTTCATTGGATTACTATATTTTTTTATGACAAGATCATTGATCTTCTGTGTTCAATAAAGAAAGCTCACCTTTTTTTTTCAAGTAAAAATGTAAAAATTATAAATAAAACTGGAAAATTATCGAAAAACGCTGAGCTTTAGTTATATATAATTCTTGTATAAAATGTAAAAGATCTTTCGATATATATTAGCTTCAACTTTTATGGAAGAAATTATCAGGTCGTAAATATCAATACGGAAGATATTAATTTTCTTACTTTTTTTGTTGGCATTTAGAGTTCAAAAGTACTTCAATTTTTATATGTTAACTATGAATGATGACAAATGATAAAGATATAAGATGTTTGAAAGCGAGTTAAAAAGAGTTCATTCCATTTGTTCCTTTAAAAAAGATCCGAGATAATTTTAGACAAATTATCATATCAACAGGATAATTTCCGATAACTAATATTGAATTTAAAATTCAATAAAAATTTTATATCTTATCAATTACCATGCTGTATCTTATGCTTTATATTAGGCAGATGTTATGTATATGTAATTGTATCAAATGTGCAATAAGTCTCCTTGAACGCTTTTTCGGATTGTTGAAAATTATCATGACATGTTTGTAATTTGTATAAATAGCTAATTAATGATAGAAACAGAGAATCTTCGATACACTTGTGTTATGTACCGACTCGAGTTTAATTGTGAATAAAGTTTCTCCTCTGATCGGTGCCAATTTATCAGAATGTAAGACGACACTGATGGTGGCAAAGATATTTTATCATTATATAATTAAGTAAAGATGCGCTTTTCTTTTCATAATTCTTTATAGCATATTGCATGTAATTTAATGTATCTTATAATATTTCCGATTATAATAGAAAGTTACTTTTGTGTGAATTGAAGTACGGCGCGATGAGTATGTCAGTATCATAGATCGATGATGTGTCATGTCGTTACGGCAGTTTTATACTAACGAATTTTATTTGGTAAATAATCTTACTTTTATAAAAATATAAATAAACGCATTGGTTCACAACCAATTGTATATATAAATATGCTAAAGCTTAAGCTTTGAACGTCATTGCGTATGAAGTTTCTTATTAATACACGTGATTGTGCTGGTTTGCAAATGGAAAAAAGTACTGTGAGTCTCTGTCTCCTTGTCTACAATTGGTTTAACATCCTACTTTTGTTTATATTTAATAAAATTACTGATACGATTTTCTATAAATCAATTATTATTTTCTCATAGAAAATTGCGTTATCACAATTTTTTCTGTTAATGTGGGAACGTGATATTATTTCATTGAGAATATGTCGTAAAAGAATAGTGAAATAATTACAAGTTTTCAAATAAAGAAATAAATGAATCTTTACGTTTTTTACCGAAGATTCGTAACATTTAAATTAACATTTCTATGATGTGTGCAAAATCTGATATTTCCGTGAAATTGAATAGAGTCAGAATTTATATACATATAATTAAATATAAATTTGAAGCTCTTTAGATAGTATAAGAAACAAAAAGGGGAATATGTTAACAAGAGAATTATACTTGGGTCTTCCACCACGACTCTTAACCATTTCTTTTTGTTTTTATATTGTTTATTTTTTTATATTAGAATATGTATTAAATTTTCTTGCAATTTTGTTTTAATAATATATAGGATACTCCCAGATGGCCAAACTTGTAATGTAATATTATAAATTTAAAACATCAAAACAAAAAATTTCCTTTAGAAATATGCTCGTAAACGCTTCATTTAAGAAATATTGATTTCTAAAGTTATAGGATATAAGAATTATTAGAAATGAATATATATATATATATATATATATATATATATATATAAAATTTCGAAATAATTTAAGTTTATCCTCTTTATAGGAATAAAAATTTAATTATTAAATGATTGTTTTCAAAATAATAACCTGCAGCCCAGACACGAGCATTATTGATGAGAGAATAAATGATTGAACATTGTGTGTCCGTAATGTTTTTTAAAGAATTCAACGATCTAATTATTTGGTACGAATGGACAGAATTTTATTTACAGTGCAAGCACAAGCCTGTCAGTAATTTTCGATTTTCAAAACAAAAAGATATTCGTTCTTATAGTTGTAACTTCAAAAATCAATATCCCTTGAATAAAGCGCTTACGAGCATACTTTCAGAATTTTTTTTTGTTTTGATTACTTAAATTTATATTTCAAATTTGGTCATTTAACCCGGAAGCAACCTGTATATAAAAGAAAGTTATTTTTTTTGTTAAACTTAAAATCTTACTTTCCTATGAAAATAAGATCGAAAAATACCGCACCAAATATCAGTTGTTATCTAGAGAGAACAATTCTCTCTAATGGTAATATATCGATTTATATATATATATGTTAAACCTTTTTTTTAATAATTCTATTGTTGGAATTTATGTTAAACATTAGCCGTGTATGATCAATTACGTAACAGTATTAACAAATATGCTGGTCTTAGTAAAAAAATTGAACATTTTTTTTATCCGAGTTGTATTTTAATAATCTCTTATTCTGCTTAATTTTTATCAGATATCTCAACATTTATAAAACTGCGAACGGTTATATTGTGACCCGAATAATGAGATTCAGAAGGCTTTTTGGTCATATATGGATAATTTACTATTAAGGAATATTTGTAAAATCGTCAACATACATTATCATCAATCATGACAATTTTATCTCGACATGGCATAAATTTTTATATTACTGCAATTTGTGAATATGAACAACAGAATGTATTCTGAGTGAGTACAGTGATAATGCAGCAAAAGGGTCTATTCCAATTTAAGCTTCAAACAAGCGAATAACATGACAAAATACGTGATTGCTAACGCATATAAAATTCTATAGCAAAGTTGCAATAGATTAGATATGCAATATGTAATATATTGCAATAAGTATGTTCTATATATATATATGCATGTATGACAGTGTTATTTTGTTACTTTATAATCCTGTCTCATATAATTACCAATTAATGATGCAATTCCCTCTGCATCGATGTTGCCATCTTGATTAAGAAAAAAAGATAATTTAATGTAATAACACAATTTTGCTAAAAGGCAAAGTTTCATTAAAATAGAAATGATTAAATGGCTAAATGGCGCAAAAATATAATTGTCTGATAGAGTTTCAATATTTTATGTCTGAATGATTTTCGTCTGTATGGATTAGGGTTCAGGCCTTTTTGCAAACATAAAGCTTTATAAATCTTATATAAAAAAACAAAGTTGAAGACTTTTTATTACAAATATATATAATAGCCTAATTGAAAGCCAAATACGGAAATTAAAAATACAAATCAATATTTTTCTTCTGATACACACAATTTTTATGTAAGATTTATTATTCAAAATCATATGTTTTGATTTATTTGGATTATAAATTAAAGCGTACATACATCTTTCTATGATTCTCAACTCCTACAATGAAAAGCAAAAAAGATTTTCGTGCTCGTTCATCATAAAAATTGCTGAGTCATTGAAATGCGTGTATTGCTTTAATTTCCTAATAATGCTTTAAGATCCTAATAATGCTCTAAATAAGAGAGCGTATGACTTTAAAAAATCAATGAATTGCATTTAAAAAATTAATTTGTGCTTTGATTTTCAATTGGCCTGTTTCCCCTATTTGATATTCAAAGCTTTTAACTTCATTTTTGTATAAGATATGTATAACTTTGTGTAGCAAAAAGATATCTTATAAAATTTCCGTTATTTCATTCGTTATATATTCGCTCTTTATTTTTCAATTATACCACTTAAAAACGATTCCTGTGCAAAATGTTATGTGATAACAAACAGGCCCTTTTGTCGTATGTTCACTGTAATGACGTAAGGAAACGAAAACTTAGCTATAGAGATCGTCGTCCCCATCATCTTGAAAGGCTTGATCGCCTTGCGTATTATCTTGAGTACCGCCTGCTCCACTTTGTGGAAATCTGCAAATATTTTTATGTTAAATGATAGAATCTATATATACTTCTGGACAAAATTAATGCATAATTTTTTTTCCACTTTTTTTTTAAAAGCTGATATTTAAATTTTAAAGAAAAAATAAAAAAAAATTATGTGTTAATTTTGTCCAGGAGTATATATAAATTCCTTTATTGAGAATACATATTTATGTATCATATTTTGAATGATATCTATAGAATTTTAAGGAACAAGTCTTTTATTCCTTTATTCCCTTATTCTTAATTTATAAATCTTAATAATTCTGTTAATTGTTGTATACATGTTTATGTTACTATAAATACAATTAATTGATAATTATGCATAATTATTAATCATACATAATTGATAATTATCAATATATGATTACCAATAATGATAAATTTCATCAAAATAATCACCTATATCAATAATTTGATTAATAAATTTGTAAAATTATATCTTATTTAAAATTACATTTATATAATTATGGTATTATAATATTACACACATATTTAAATATAAAATAAATTTATCAAAAATTATTGATAATTATGTATAATAATTGTTGTGTTAAAAAAATTTACAGTAACATATATATGCAAATTGGAATTAAAAGACTCTTACCTAAAATTAGTTCCAAATCCTCGGGACTGTTGCAGTGTTTGTGCAAACATTTCATATTTGCGAATATCGTTGTCAGATACTGAACGACGCGCATACCTCATTGCTTCCTCAAAGTGAGCTCGTGTTATTTCTGGTACTGGATCATCCTCATCCATCTAAAACAAGCAAATAATAGAAATTTTAAAATCTAAAAATGATGTACATATATTGTTGATAATTATTTTTAACTGAATTATTTTAATTTATGTAATTGTATGTCTTTTAATATTGGAACTACATAAAGTGATTATTATTATTTATTATATATCATGAACGGAAACTTTCATAATAACTTAATTTTAATACATTCTTTGCAATCAGGAAATACTATATAATTGTATAATTCGTCGTAAAAATAAAAGATGAATAAGGGAATTTTCTCTTCAACAATATGAAGCAATACATTGAGTGCTGATTCAAATATATGACTCATACAAATGACTCATACAAATGACACAGCAACTTTGAAGTAACACAAGTTAAAAATGTTTTAAAATGAAATATGTTTTTAAAGTACTTACATCCATAGATGCAGATGGATTACTAGCTCGTTCCTTTTCCCTACGAATTTCAGTTTCAATGCACTGCCTAATGGCAAGCTTACATGCACGTTGGCAAATTTCTGTAAGGTCAGCACCAGAGAATCCATGTGTGACTTTGGCTATATAGCTTAAGTCTACATCCTAATAAAGAGGATTTTTCTTATTAAATATTAACTAAGAATTATAAAATTATCGATATATAACAATAAATATTAGATATATCGTAGAAAAAGTATTGAATTTGTATTTTTATATACAAATTTATGCATATTTCATTAATTACCTTAGCTACTGGCGATTTGCGGAGATTAGCGCGGAATATTGCTTCTCGGGATTTCTCGTCTGGTAATGGTATGTAAATCAATTGATCTAATCTACCAGGTCGTAAAATTGCTGGATCAATAATATCGGGACGATTTGTCGCTCCTATAATAAATACATTCTTCTTCGCGCCCATACCGTCCATTTCCGTTAATATTTGATTTATCACACGATCTGCCGCACCGCCAGCATCTCCAACAGTGCCTCCACGAGACTTCGCGATAGAATCAAGTTCATCAAAAAATAATACACAAGGAGCAGCTGATCTTGCCTGAAATAATTTGTCATTAAATAATTATCTTAAATTAGTTACTAAAAAAATATGAGAATGCTGACCTTGTCGAAGACATCTCTGACGTTAGCTTCTGATTCTCCGAACCACATAGTCAATAATTCAGGACCCTTGACAGAAATGAAATTTGCTTGACACTCATTGGCAATTGCTTTGGCCAATAGCGTCTTACCACAACCAGGTGGCCCATAAAATAATACGCCTCTTGATGGTTGCATACCGAATTTTAAAAATTTATCAGGATGTTCAACAGGATACTGCATGATAAAAATATGCATTAAACATGTTATTTAAAACTCGTGTACCTAGCATTTCTTACCTGCACCAATTCTTGTAATTCCATTTTAACATTTTGTAAACCTCCAATATCATCCCAAGTAACCGTTGGCACCTCCACGATTGTTTCGCGTAAAGCACTCGGACTGCTCTTTGTCATTGCGTACTTTAATGGAAACACATTTTTACTTAGAAATGTAAATTGCACAAATCAAATTAATACAAAAGCGAAGTAATAACTTACCTTAAAGTTTTCCATAGTTACTGCGAGAGAAGACAGAACCTCTGCATCTATATGATCATCCTCTAAATCAATAAGATCCATCTTTTCGCGAATCTGTTGAAGAGCTGCTTCAGAACATAAAGACGCTAAATCAGCACCAACATGTCCATGAGTTTCCGCTGCAATCTAAATTTATAAATTTATTTTTTTTGTTATATTATGTCAAGATATAATATACACAATATACACAATATCTTCTTTTAGAAGTAATATGTGGAAATAAATTACATACTTCTTCCAAATCAACATCATCGGCAAGTTTCATATTTTTTGTGTGGATTCTCAAAATTTCCAATCGACCAGTAGCATCTGGTATACCGATGTCAATTTCTCTGTCAAAACGTCCAAATCGGCGCAATGCACCATCGATGCTATTCGGTCGATTAGTAGCTGCCATTACAATCACATGGGAACTTTGTTTCATACCATCCATTAATGTCAATAATTGTGACACTATACGTCTTTCAACTTCACCATGTGTCTATAAATAAAATAGAAATGTAATTTCTATCTCAATGTGCGATTTAAAAAAAATTTTAATATTATGTTTGACTTGAAAAACCTTTTCACGTTTCGGCGCGATAGCATCCAATTCATCGATGAATATAATTGCTGGAGAATTTTTCTCAGCTTCTTCAAATGCCTTTCGCAAATTACTTTCAGATTCACCAGCCAGCTTGCTCATAATTTCAGGACCTAAATGAAAAAAGGAGAAACTTTTCTTATTTTTTATTTAATCATAAATGAAGATTCTAATGATGAAAATCACTAAAATAATAAAGATTAAAATAAAATAAAAAAATAATTAAATTAGTAAAATAATAAAGATTTATAAAGAATCAAATCTGATTGACAGTGCAATTTGATAAAAATCAATCAAAAAGTTACAAAATACATATGTTTCGATTCTCGTTTGAACGCTTTTTAATGCGTAGTATACCAAAATTAGAAAATTAAAACAAGAAACTAATAAAAAAACCTAGATAAGTTTTTTTATTTAACATTATCCTGGCATCAGATTATATACCATTTATAAGAAAGAAAAATGCTCCGGTTTCATTTGCTACAGCACGAGCAATGAGAGTTTTTCCTGTTCCTGGTGGCCCGTACAACAATATACCGCGTGGCGGCTTAACGCCGATAGCTTTGAATAAAGATGGATGTCGCAGAGGCAATTCTACCATTTCCTTAATTTGTGCCAACTGCTTACGAACACCACCAATATCGTCGTAACCAACAGCATTCAATGCTTCTTCCTCCTCCTACAAAAAAATGCTCTTTATTTTCTGCATCCATATCGAAAATGTTATAAAATATATTTCTGACCTCTCGTTTAATCGGATCACCTTCACAATGTATTACTGTGTCAGGTGCCACAATGCAAAAAGGCCCTGGATCTGTTTCCACCACTTTGAATTCCACAGCACGCATTCCTCCTCGTACAATAAAATTATCATCTTTATGAATAGGACGATATGCTTCTAAGAAGTATGGCTTTAAAAATACCTCAAATAGATTTCTGTGAAAAATGAATATTTTTGTATATATTTTATACATACATACATATATATACATATACATATATATATATATATATATATATATATATATATAAAACATTCGTATTTAAAAAAGATAACATTATGTAATAAAAAGTATACAAAAAAATTTACTCCACCAAAAAGTCAATATTACTTTCTAATAATTAAATATTTCAAGCTATTTCGTTTTAGAATTGTTAATTAAATGTTATAACACTCATATAAGATAATTAAGTTTTGTTTAAATTTACCCAGTCAAACCATCAACAGTATCGTCCATTGGCAATACATGAATACGCTTTCCATATTTAACTTCTGGACATGCTTGTACAGAAACAACATCGCTCAGACGTACACGCAAATTATTTCTGACAACTCGGTTCATACGAATTTTCTCATCTGGACAAGTATCATCAGAAAGAACAATACACACTGTTTCTTTGCGCCTCTTGCCCTTCAGTAAAACAGTATCTCCACGAAATAATTGTAGCTCATCCATTTTTGCCTGAGAAAGTGCTACTACAGAATTGTCATCTGCAATAGCTTCATCGACCAACAATCTATTTGGCCTATCCTTCTTACGAAGGATGGCAGTAGCTAAATCTTCACCACTGTAATTAAAAAAATTTTAATTATATATCGAATATAAATTTTAATGCAATCAATATAATTGTTATATTATACACATTCTTTTGTATATATTTATGTATGTGTATATTTCACATATTTGGTAAAAATTAATATTTAAAATTTTTCATTACATACTATTTATAGTATGTATATTCTTATAAATAAAAGAAACAGTAGTTCTTGTCTTCAAAGTTGTGAATTTTAAAGAAAACATCTTTAAAGACTATTCTTTCAGAAAAAAAACTTTTAAAGTTCTTTTTCTTAACACATTGACATTGGATGACACAAATATATATCTTCCAAATGATATGACGCTAATGTGTTAGTCTATCAACAGCTTTTTTCTTAAAGTTAAACAGTTAGATATATGACAAAAATCAAAAAAGGAATTAATATAATAAAATAATATTAAATATATATATATATATATATATATATATACATATATGTATATATATATACATATATGTATATATATATATATATATATATATATATATATTTCTATATATTGCATTTTAGCATATATATATATATATATATATATATATGTACATATATGTGTATATCATTTATTCTTGTTAGAATCTCCCTGAATATTATAATATTAACATCATATCAAAAGATGACACATAATGAATCATATGAAATATTTAATTAATATTTTTACATCTTTTATACAATATAAATATAAAACTATTATAATAAAAATGTTTGCCTCCATAATTTTCAGAGATTACAATATATGAAATTAATGATCTCCGTATTGTACGATAATATCATTAACGCAATCATTAGTATTTCTTGTCATGTTTAGCTAACAGCCATAATCGACAAAAAATTGATAAGCATCAGTAAAAACCACAATTTTCAAATTATCGGGAAGTTCGAGTACAATAAAATCCATGTTTAATCGCATAATATTAATAACACGTATTATCATGTTCATCGTGACGAATACAGATATTCACGAAAACAAAGCGTCGCGTCGACATGATGACATCGTGAAATTGAGAAAGTCATCTCGTGTTTCGCGCTTTTATCTATACACGTGCTCCGAAATTTTAACAATTACGAAAAATATAATAATGAGAATCATCGTAGATACATCGTGCTAAACTTTCACGATTTTTCTTACCTCTTCGGATCACTCATCGTTCAACTTTTGATCAACGTAGAGAAATACGAGTATGGATACTTGATGTCGGCACCTTTCGATCTGTGGCTGTGGCAAATTCAGTGTAGAAAGATATCCTCGAGCATATCCCACTGGTAGGACTCTCGCATGCACATGCGCAAATGACGTTATCGGTCACGTGGTCAGCTTCAGCCTACTCGTGTTTAGATGCGATATAAAAACGTACATTGCGTGACCATGGAGTGTACCAAAACTCATCAAAGAAAAGTGTTTCGATCTTTTTGCCGTCGAGTGTGCATGGGACTTTAGACAATTTACGTCACGCGTAGTTTACGCAGAACAAGAGTTCAAGGAAATACACTTGTCAAATCGATTTGCGATGGCCGGAATTAAAGGTTATTTGGTGCACACTTAAATCATTTAATGCACGATCGCTACCACACAAAATCTTGAAAAAATGTCATCATCGTGTAAAGAATTTACGCGAAAAGTGCAAAATCAGCTATCAAAACATAACCTCGTTTGTTTCGTTGTTATTGCTATTTGACATTTGCACGATTCTCTTGATTGTTAAGTTTGGTAATTCAATTTAAAAATATAATTTAAGAGCGATATATCATTTTTTTAGTATTGATCTATTATAATTCCCTTAATGTGCTAATACTAATTTCCACGAATTAAATTTATAATCCAGAAAAGCTCCGCGCGACAGCATTATTTCATTTATACTTGTGAACTTGTTCATTTTTTAAAACGCGGATCGTTTATTGTTATACGATAAAATTTATCAGCACAGACATCTGAAAATCAAACTAAACCTGCAATAATATTAAATTATACATATATAAATTTTATTAGTGCTATCTAATGTGTGGTAATTAATTATATAATTTTTCTTATTTCATGGCATTCTCTCTTCATGAATCCTCAAATAGCGTAAGTATCTTAGTAAAAGGAAATAATTGAAAAAAAATATTTTTCTTATTTGTATAAAATAAATTATATAATCACAATTTATTATATAATCACAATTTCTTTTAACATTTAACAAGAAGAAATTCCACAACTAAAACAAGAAAATATATAATTATTACAGATTAGTATTGCTGGCATTTGCTGGTTCTATTGGAATGACATTTGTCATTCTTGGTTGTGCATTACCAATATACAAGTAAGTATATTTTCCTATTTAATTGATTTGTCTCTTAAATATGCACAGCTTTTTTAGGATGTAAAATATTAAATTTGTACAATTTTTAGAGTATGGTGGCCATTTTTTGTTGTATTGTTCTATATACTGGCACCCATCCCAACCATAATAGCACGTCGTTATACAGATGATTCAGGAAGCAACAGTAATCCGTGTTTAGAATTGGCAATATTTATTACAATGGGTTTTGTGGTATCATCCTTTGCTCTTCCAATCGTGTTGGCACGATCTCCAGTGGACCAGCCAGTAGTATGTTATTTATATATGTATATATATTTTCGTATAAAATATTTTATCAGAATTATCATTAACCTATTGTCGATTAAGCATTATATGCAGAAATTATGTAATAAACTACATGCCTTTTTAAACATGAATCAATCTATAACTTTCAGGCAATAAAGTTGAGATTATACATTTCCAGTCAATAACTTTTAAAATAATTGCAATAAATCAAATATTATTAATTGAGAATAGAATACTTTGATTAATACTTTGATTCTTTGAATAATTAAAATATAAAAAGACTATTTATATTTACAGATAGAATGGGGTGCTTGTTATCTGACACTAGCAGGTAATATTGTTGTGTATTCAACTCTAGTCGGATTTTTCATAACCTTTGATCAAGATGATACTGATTATAATATGTGGTGAGGCGCTACTACATCGTACTTATAATGCTAAAAATGTAAGTAATGTAAATGTCAATTGGATTTTTATTCTGAAAAAATTCATATATATTTAAGATATATTTAAGATATTCCTAAAGTTGATGTGATATTATTGATGAAATAAATTCATTATCTTTTAAGATCTCATTTATTTATTTTCAAAATAAAATAATTATTTTATATGTAAAACTCGGACAATGAAGATTATATTACTCTTATTATTGTCATACATGTGTGAAACCTTTCAGGTTTTTTATGAGATTAAAGGAAAAAAATCAATCATGCAGTGCACTGACTGAAAACTACATGATTATAAATTACTATAAACTTATATGTACAATTTACATAATATAAATCTAATATGGATACTCTTCTATATTAATGCTGCAAGAAAAAATAGTATTATAGTGCACTAATAATAGAACGTGTTAATAACACTATGCTATATATCGATTGATAAACAAACATTGGAATTCTTCAGATTTCCCACATCTTACAAAGCAGCAAGGAAGTTGCATTTAGTGTTTTAGATTTTTGGTATGTGACTATTCAGGATAATCTAAAACGCAACAATGCAAAGATAAGATGTTGAACATATTTTTTATTTAATCTAAGTATTTCGTAATAATAATGGTAATAAAGCTACAATTTATTACTTTATCACTTTATCTTATCTTTTCAATCATACCTTTGAGAACTAGTTAGGAATTTTCCTGATACAAATTTGATATATGTATATAAGTGCGTGTGTGTGTACATATATACACATACATATAATATACATACATAATATATATACATACATATATATAATATTTGTAAAGAAGTTAAGCTTGTATATCTGTGCAAAAACATTTTTTTAAATTACTTCATTTTTTTTATCTAAATATTCATCTTCCTGTACTAATTTGAAGTAAAAGCACAATTTAGCAATGTGAACTATAAAATTTATTTTGATGAAAGAGAGAGATATACATATACTTAATATTATTTTTAATGCACACAAATATTTCATTCTTTTATATACCTAAATCTTTCTTTAAAAATATATATCTTTTTACATACCTTGATATTCTTCATTTTTTCTGTTCCTTTGTCTGCTTTTATATTTTTTCGACTAAATCCGAAAAAGAGAAATTGAGAACAATTATGTAAAATTTATTTTAATAAAACAAGGTTTGAAATATATTAAATTTCGTAAGATATACATATATATATATATATATATATATATATATATATATATATGTATATCTTATGAAAATTTAAATTAATATATTTTAGAGCTTAGTAAAACTTGAAATTTGTGTGATTAAATTGAGTATTAATAAAAAAAGATGAATATATAAAATAATTAGGATAAAAATATATAATATTATAAATATATACGATACTAAATCGATAATACAAACGATGGTATTACGCAAAATTGTATGAGACAATTATATAAAATTATATAAAATAATTTAGATTTAATTAGTATTAAATCACTCAGCCTTCACACATATCATGCTTATATTTTATTTTGATAACAAAAATTGGAAATTTTCAAATGTACTTTTCAACTATTTTTAAGATATCTTTGCTGCCTTGATATTTTTTTGAATTATTGATGTTTTGAATTATTGATGTTTTAATTTCAATCTCAAACCATATTTTTCTCAATAAAAATTCGATCAATGCTTTGTGTGTGTTTACATGTGTATGTATGTATCACACACGCGAAGAGATTTAAATTTAAATCCAAATCTCTGCTGTACAAAAATGAAAAAATTAAATAAATTACGTTAATCAAATAATTTTAGAATAAAAGATTAGAAATACAATTGTAGAATTCATTTAGCATATTAGATTGTTTTTATAAAGTATATTTTTAGCGCAAAATTATATATTTTATAGATTTTTAAAGATTTGTGTATGAAAAAAATTAGGTTAAAAAACTAGATTAAATTGTCATATACGCAATAATTATAAAATTTTTTTTAAACTAGTATTATTATCAAAATAAATTGTATTTAATAAAAAGAGTTATTGTCTATTCAAAAATAAGTATTACAATCATAAATTTTAAAAAGTCATGAAGAAATTCTTATATAGTAATATTGTATCTTATTCATGCGTCATTGGACGAAAAGATGTCGAACGATGTCGAAATGACATCTAAAAGGTAATCAGTGAACTTTAAATTATACTATAGAGTTTATTGGACATAATAGAAAATATAAAACGAACGGTATGTATAATTATATGTTAGTTTTATATGTACTAATATCTGATATTAAGTTTTTATAGAGTAGATATTTTGGAAGAAAATTATAACCATGTTCATTATCTATCATTGTCTAAGTTTTTTTATTTTACATTTAATCATTATATATCTTATCTAATCTACATCAAATCATTTCTAGAAATTATGATGTAAAAAAATACATTTAATATTTCTTTTCATTATTTACTAATATGGGAAAATAACTATTATATGAAGAATGATCAATGCTGCTCTTTATTTACAAAAATAATACTTTAAATTTAATATATTTTGACAAGACTAAGTGAGTATATATTTTATATAGAAGTGATATTTTATATGTAATGCATTTTTTTAATGAAATTTTTTTAATTCTAGAATGCAGTTGAGAAACATAATTATATAAAAATGTCTTCATTATCTCGAAAAGTGAAACTTCCCAAATCTTCTGACCAATATATTCAATTACAACAACTATTACCAATTAAATTTGCACGTAAGTATAGTCCTTAAGTGTGATTTAATTTTCGAACAATTGTTCACAAAATTATTGGTGGAAATAAATATAAAATAGAGTTTTATTCTTCCAGGAGAAAACGAAAACTACAAAATGTCAAATGCTCTGAATGCTATTATTCCATATGCTACTTTAAGAATGCATAGTGTTAATCAATTGTCTAATGAAGAATGTGCTAATGCAATCGCCAATCATCTGCAATCAAGTAATAAGTTTATGCAAAATGATCCCACATCAGAGCGATTTAGAATGGAAACATTAAGAGCAATGCCACAATGTCTTACTGTAAAAAGATCTGTCAAATCACAATTATTGGCGACTGTTAATCGGAGAACAAAAAAAAAATCGATTAGTTATTGGAAATGGCTTAAATATAACATTAGTTTAAAAATTGCAAAGGTAATAATGTTAATTTTTGAAATCATTATTTCTATGTTATAAAATAAAACAAAATAGAATTAAATTGTTTGGATATAGATTTGGGTGACAGTACAGAATACTTTGCTGACAATGGAATTATGGCATCAAATGATAAAAACTATTGAGAGTCACAATGGAAGTGGTGTTGCAACATACTTCAAATTTTTGAGATGGTTGCTTCTTCTGAACATAATTTCCTGTATTTTAAGGTATATGCTGTTTTATTTCATAAAATTATAATAAAAATGTAAAATAAAAAATTGAATTTTAAAATTATTTGAGATTAAAAGGTAGAATTTTTTGCAAAAATCATAATTTTGATTCTTGTTTGATATTAATAAAAATAATATTTTATATATGTTGCTCTCTGTATTAAATGCAAAAAAAAAACAAAATTTTTATGAATATTTTATGTTTGCAGCATGTTTTTTATCGTACTACCACAATCATTGAATCAAACACATATACCAAACAATATTAAAGTATTAGACTTTTTAACAGGCAGTGTAAGTACAATTATATTATAGGTAGCATGTTTTTTTTTAAATGCACATATTGCAACATTTTGATTTGCAGGGCTTTTTCTCTCACACAATAATGTATTATGGTTTTTATTCCAATGGCACAGTAGATACACCAATTGGGACTAAATATAGCATTCCGTTTGCTTATTTCCTAACGCTGCTTTTTTGTTACACAGTTACTTTTATTATACTTTCTGTGAAGTATGTAATAAAATTTAATCATTTTAGACACTAAAATATGAATATTTACTATTTATGATAACAATAATACATTCTTTTTCAGAATTATATCTTCTTATAGAAAATCTTATGTCGAAACACGTGGAAAAGTGCACGATTTATATAGCAACAAAATATTTTGCGGGTGGGATTTTAGTATATCTTTACCAAAAACTGCTGCTTTGCAATCAGCCTCTATTTACAAAGAATTAGAGGAATTATTGGCAGAAACGAGACAACAAGCGCATTTGCATTGGCTTGATAAGTTTTTGTTGATTATAATGCAACTTAGTGTAACAGCTATTATTATATTTATGATTTGTGGTGCTAGTACATTTGTTTGGCTGCTATTAAGGCACTATAAGATAGGAGCATCCAAAATCATTTCAGTGATGATTGTACCAACAATCATTACTATTATTATTCATATCTTTCCAACAATTATGTCCTACTTAGTGAGTGTATCTTCTCTATTATTAAAAATCATCTTAATTAAATTATAATTGTGTAATTATATAGTATAAATAATTATAATATTAATATTTCTTTTTAGGCATCACTGGAGCATTATAACAATAAACGTACGGAACTTTATGTGACAGTTATTAGGAATCACACGGTTGCTGCAACAGTAATTGGTACCTTATTTGTTTTCTGGATAATCAATAGTACATCACATTGTTGGCAAACAAAATTAGGAGAAGAAATTTATCGACTTATCATACTGGATTTCATTGCTTCTATATTTGGAATGTGTTTCCAATTTATACGTTCTATGTTATATAAGAAATTGTCGACGAAAATTGGCAAACCAGAATTCAATATTGCTCGCAATACGTTGAATCTTATATACAATCAAACGCTTTTTTGGATGGGTTTCTATTTCAGTCCGCTAATATCCCTTATAATTGTAATAAAACTAATCTTCACGTTTTATATAAAGAGATACGAATTGAAAAAATGCTATCGACAACCATCGCAGCCTTGGCGGGCGGCACAAACGCAAACTTTGTTCTTGGCTCTTGCATTTATTGGCATGATTATCATGTTACTTACAATAGGATATATTATTACAAACGTGAAAAGTGACGATTGTGGGCCGTTTAGAAATTATTCTCACACTTGGGATTTTATCATCAATGGGATATTATCATTAAAAAGAGATAGTAAATTTTGGAGTATTATTTCGGAACTAGCGAGACCGGTAACTGGCGCTGCAATATTAGTTGGCATGTGGTAAATATCTCACGATTATCATTATAATATTATTATTCATATAGTTATGATAAAATGAGATATAGATGTTTATTCAATATTTTTCTGAAAGTATCGCAGTGTACTGTTTGCGAGCAAAAACAAAAGCGAGTAAGGAAATGTTGCAAATTTTGTCCAACATGCTTCTTCTGCAATCTCAAGATAAGCAATTTCTCATGAAAAGTTTCGCTAAATTTGCCAACGAACGTAAGTCACATTAAATTATGATTACATTTATATAATTATTGATAATAAGTTATTTGTATTTTCATTTTTATTAGGTACTTTTGTGCATAGTGAGATGAATTTTATTCAACATGCTAGCTCTACTGAACAAAACCATGAAAATGAAGAAATTGTATTGTCTCGCCGACGTAATTTACCGTCAACCAGTTTCGAGGAGAGATTATAATATATGTATACTAATTTGACAATTTAGTGACAAATTGCCAAATTATTAGAAATTAACATTTAGAATATTTTCTCATAGTTATATATATTATTTACAAATACTAATGCTTTTATAAATTTGAACTTTTAAGATTGCGCTATTATGTATGATGATATAAAAGTATATTTTTAATATAAGAAATTTTTATAATATAAAAACTTTTTATAAGTATTCATATAATGCTATATTTATAAAATTGAACTGAGAAAACATATTCTATATATATGAACAGATATTTTATGTTTTATTATAATATATATAGAATATTCGAAAATCTATGAGTTTATATATTTTCCAATTCTCGCGTCGTCGTCATAGTAACGTGATATAAATATGTATAACATAACGTATGACTTAAGAAGGCATTATCTTCATATATATTTATTATTTGATATTTTTTAGATCTATTATTCTCTCTATCTCTCTCTCTCTCTAGACAGAGGTCTATCGTATATTAAGAGTTATACATATATATTTAATTCTGCCGAAAATTTATTTTTGTACATTTTCTAGAAATAGAAATATCAACAATAGCATATGATTATATATGCGACAAAAATACAAGACATAATGTACAATATTTGTTAATGATGATCAAAAAAGCTGCTTGTTTTTTACATATAATTTTGCATCTTTACTAATTTAAGTGATAAAAATATGGCTGAAGAAAAGAAAACATGTGGAACCTTGGACAAGCTAAATACGGTAGCACAACGTATGGATTATTTATTGCCTGAAACATCGAAAGCATTCCAATTTGAGGAAAAGCCAAAGTTGATACAAGAGTCTTCATGGACGAAAACTGTTCCATACAAACATTGGCACAATTACGTGAAACCTACCAATAGTATAGGCAGTATCTTTACACCTAGTGTATGTCATCGGGCCAGAATCTTGACGAAACGCAAAATCAAACCTGCACAATGGTATCCTCTCAGTGCTGACAAAATACTTGCAACTCCACCTCGCATTCTTATAGAACGACATAACAAAGAAATTCAACAAAGAGTTGCTGCTGCGGAAAAGAAATGCGATTCCCTACCTGAGAATATAATTAGTTTGAAAGATTTAGCAGATGGTACGTGGTTGCAGAAAAAAAGTCGTAAGGCCAGAGCCTTGAAAAGAAAAGAGTTGTACATACATAAGGGAAGGATAATGAAAAAGAAATTGGATCGAGAGGTAATAAGAAATATTTTTTTGTAAATCTTACAAATAAATATTTAGAAAAAATATATGAATGTCTTTTCTAACTAATCTAACAAATATATAGCAGAATATAGCATCACGTTATAGATTGTACCTTACGTCGAAGCAGAAATTCCAAAATCCGTTGAAGAACAATTAACCGAATTAACAGTGGCAATTGACAAGGAACAAACGCGAACCACAACCGAGGATGTTGCTAAAGTAGTTTATCTCAGAGATTATTGTATAAGTGATCATCATTTACAACCATATGATTATACTAATATTGATGCAGCAAAGAGACGTATTATTGGTAAATTGCAAGAACGTAAAGAGTAAGTATGTTTCTCATCATATTTAAATAATAAAAAACCTGATTATTAATATTTTGTTAAACAGTTTAAATCATTTTAAAAATGCTATATAATTTAATAATTGTGATAAATTCACAGAATGACTTTATTAAATAGAAATGTGTATTTTCCAGTTTCAATAAAATAATAAAAGATTTGGAACCAGAAATAATTGATGATTATAAGCAAAGCCTTCGAAGTGCAATAGTGGATTATATTCTAATGGATTCTGATGAACGGAAACGTTTATCTATCGAAATTCTACCTATCGAATTTCCCGTTTTATGTATTCGCTCACCAGTACCTTGGCATCAATCCAAGGTCACAGCAGATCATTTGATGCGACATTGTCTTTTTATTGGAAATGCGATATTGAAGGACATCCGCGATCTATGGTTTTCAAAGTGAGATAATGCAATAAGTCATTGAGAAAAAAAATAAGAATTTTCTATTTTTTTGTATCTTAAAACAACACTTGTAATTAAAAATATTAAAAATATAAATAAAATATTTTTCTTATTGAATTAATAAGTCTTTTATTTTAGATATCGTCAAACAAGAATTATTCGCACTCAAGATTTCGGCACATTCCCCATTCCAGCTGCGGAAATCGAACCAAAATTGAATGCCCTATGTGCCGCTGCTACCGATGTTCTCGTTAAAGAATGGCTAGCCGACGTAGCAGAAATTTTCCTCGAGAAGAAATACGCTTGGTCACAATTCTTTGAGATGCGGCCAGATGCGTCCACTGCGATGATCGAAAAATATTTTCGCAGCGTTAATTCTTTGTTATCAAAGCAACTACGAATTATGATAACGGAAACATTGGAAGACTTTAGAGACTTTTTTATGCAGTACAAAGCTGGTAATGCGTTCGAAGGGGATTATGAAGAACTCAAATTTCTAGAGTAAGAATCGATTTTTTTCAGATATACAGAAATGAAATATCTTTTGTCAATTTAGTAATGAATTCAAATATGATATAAATTATATTGCAGAACTCCTTTCATAACGGTGAAAGTGGAACCGGAACTCTTCACAACGAAATTGCGCTGCAAGCCGAGCATCCTGCAATTGCACACTACGATCTCGCGATGTTTCGATAAAATCATTAAGGTGGGCGCTACAATACCTAAGATTGAAACCATTCTATTTCCGGAATTAAGGCAGACAAGTTATTTATTCCCTATCTCGCGCTTTGAAGATATGGTAATTATCGCGTATTATACAAAATTCTATCGAATGCAAAGCAATTGATGTTAATTACATTATATGGTAAACATTATTATAGGTATTAAAAGTCATCAGCGACGTATTGGATGTGATCGCTAAGCATATAACTGGTCCTGATAGTTATCTCAAATGCTACGAAAACTTGCTGTATATTACAAGTGGAATAGCTGAAGAGAAATTAAATAATTTTTTTAAACTCGAACCTGTACCATTATTGCGAGACTTCGAGCAACAGATAAAGGCATACGACACTCTGCGAAAAGAGATTTCTATGTTTCGATGTAAGGTAAGTTTATAAATAAATTTAATATTTTTTTTGCGAAAAGCATTTCTTATATAACTGAAAACTTAAAAAGTTTTTTAAATCATTTTATTAGTTAATATAGTTAACATTTGAAAGATATAAGTAAATTTCTAGTAATAGAAAAAGATTTATAATACTATGCCTTTTTTCATAATTACTCTTCAGAGATTAATAATCAAATAATAATTTGGATATTTTCTTTACAATAGGTCCCATTGAACATGATCGAGATCGATTGTAGTGCTGTGAATGATACAATGAGGGAAATTTTACACGCGCTTCGAAGTAGAATATGCAATTTCTTCGCAGACGAGCTACGAGTCAATAATCGCGAATTGTGCTCGATCTTTGATGAGATAGCGGAGAATATTTCGAAAATGCCAGAAACAACGCAGCAAGTGGTCGAATTATACAATTATCTGTGCGAAAGCCGTGATACAACGATGTTTAATCTAAAAAGACGATTAGCCCGTTCGATCGAATTGACATTGTTTCTCTTCGATTACCAGCCACTTTCAGACGAGGACATTTATTTAAACTCGCGCACGATTACTTGGCCGAAGGAAATGGAAGTTGTAATGGAATTGGCAAGCAACAGATTGATCATGAGAAAAGATTTCTTGGAAACGCTGCTTCGCTCGAGACGAGACACCTTCGAGAAAAAGATAAATACAATGCAATTAGGGATCGAGCAATTTAAACGGAAGGATCCGCCGGTTCTTACGATGGAAGAAATGGAGCAGGCCGTGGAGGAAATCGAACATATTTCCACGATCATGGCAGAAATACGTAAAGAAGCCGAGGAGATCAATGAAGAGGAGGGATTGCTCGATATGGAACTGAGTCCGTATATGGAGCTACCAATTATGTCTAATACAGTGGATATCTTTGACAAACTATGGCACACTGCTCTAGATTTTCACCGAAATTATGATAAATGGTTCTATGGTCCATTTATAGGTTTAGACGCCGAGCAAGTACGCGAGGAGACAGAAAATACATGGCGAATTTTGTATAAACTGTCGCGCGTACTTACGGAAGTGCCGGGCGCAAGGCGCGTTGCCGAAATGGTACGCGGTAAAGTGGAAAAATTCCGACAATTTATACCAGTGTTGCAAACTATTTGCACACCGGGTCTACAAGCCCGGCATTGGGAAGCAATTAGCAAAATTGTCGACTTGACAATAATACCAACAGACACTAGCAATCTATCGGAGATGATAGAATATGGTCTACCTGCTTACATCGCTAAGTTGGAAGAGATAGCTTCAGCGGCCACAAAAGAATATACTCTGCAGCGAAATCTGCAAAAGATGAAGGAAGAATGGCAAGAAGTGTACTTCGAGTTAACTCTTTATCGCGAGACTGGGGTGGCCATACTAACCGCTGTGGACGACATACAAATGTTGCTGGATGATCATATACTTAAGGCACAAACTATGCGCGGTTCGCCTTTTGTGAAAGCGTTTGAAGAAGAAATGCAGCAATGGGAAGAAAAGCTGATAATGATGCAAGACATTATTGATCAGTGGCTGCTTTGTCAATCCACGTGGATGTATCTAGAACCGATATTCAGCAGTGAAGACATTATGCGTCAGATGCCAACCGAGTCGAGAAACTTCCGTAGAATCGATAAGATCTGGCGCAACATTATGTTATACGTCTCGGATAATAAACGAGTGATCGATGCTACTGCGATGCCAAATATGCTGCAGGAATTCAAACTCTGCAACTCGCTGCTCGAGGAAATTCAGAAAGGTCTGAACGATTACTTAGAAAAGAAACGTTTATTCTTCCCGCGATTTTTCTTTCTGTCGAACGATGAGCTTTTGGAAATCCTATCCGAGACTAAAGATCCGCAGCGAGTACAACCTCATCTACGAAAATGTTTCGAGGGTATAAGTAAGCTCCGTTTCACTAAAGACGAAGAGATTATTGGTATGTTGTCGGCTGAAGAGGAATATGTGCCTTTGAGTGGTAAAATTTATCCCGCTGATGCGAAAGGTATGGTTGAGAGATGGCTATGTCAAGTAGAGGAACTTATGGCAATTTCGCTGCGCGACACAGCCGAGGAAAGTGTAATCGCTTACTTCGAGGCCATACGTGAGGAATGGGTGCTTTCGTGGCCCGGTCAGATTATCATTTGTAGTAGTCAGATACATTGGACTAGCGAGGTATACGAATCTTTCGAGGATCGCACCACGGCGTCCTATTTGCACAAATGCACCGATCAGATAGAAGACATCGTAACACTTGTACGTGGTAAATTGGAACCTGGTGCCAGAATAACATTGAATGCTCTAATAGTAATAGATGTGCATGCTCGAGACGTGGTGAAGCTGCTGGTTGACAAGCAAGTAGACAATCCCTTGGACTTTAATTGGATAGCGCAATTGCGCTATTATTGGCTGGATGACTGTATCACTGTCTCTATGATTACAACTAACATTATGTATGCCTTTGAGTATCTTGGCAACACATCTAGATTGGTAATTACACCGTTGACAGATCGATGCTATAGGACTTTGATGGGCGCATTGAAGTTGAACCTCGGTGGTTCACCAGAGGGACCTGCAGGTACTGGCAAGACGGAAACAGCCAAGGATCTCGCCAAGGCCGTGGCTAAGCAATGCATTGTGTTCAACTGCTCCGAAGGACTAGATTACAAAGCGATGGGCAAATTTTTTAAAGGTATCGCTCAATCTGGAGCCTGGGCGTGTTTCGATGAATTCAACAGGATTGACTTGGAAGTACTTTCAGTAATCGCGCAACAGATACTATCGATACAGATGGCCATAAGCATGAAATTGGATAAGTTTGTATTCGAGGGCACTGAGTTAAAATTGAATCCCACTTGCAATGTCATTATAACGATGAATCCGGGCTATGCAGGTCGACAGGAACTACCAGACAATTTAAAAGCTCTCTTCCGAACGGTGGCGATGATGGTACCGGACTACGCCATGATTGGTGAAATCACTTTATACTCATACGGCTTCATGGATGCTAAAAATCTTGCAGAGAAAATTGTTCATACCTACAAATTGTGCTCCGAGCAACTAAGTTCACAAAATCACTACGATTATGGCATGCGAGCTGTCAAGACCGTGCTAATAGCGGCTGGGAATTTGAAACTTAAATATCCGAAACAGGACGAATCCATCCTAGTTCTTCGCGCCATCATCGACGTCAATCTGCCTAAGTTTCTGTCTCAGGACGTTTCTCTTTTCAATGGCATTTACACAGATCTTTTCCCAGAGGTGCATCTACCTCAACCGGAACGTGGCGAACTAATAAATATGTTAAAAGTAAATCTTGAGAAACGAAACCTGCAAGCTACTGATTGGTACTTGGAAAAAATCGTGCAGATCTATGAAATGATACTCGTACGACATGGTCTGATGATCGTCGGTATGGCTTTAAGTGGAAAGACTCAGGCTTATCAAACGTTAGCTGACGCCCTAGGTGATTTATCGGGTATACGAAAAGCTACGATGCGGGAATACCGTACAATTTACCGAGTGATCAATCCTAAGGCCATCACGTTGGATCAATTATATGGTAGCTTTGATCCATTGTCACACGAGTGGAAGGATGGCATATTAGCCAATACGTTTCGCGAATACGCGCAATCTGTTTCGCTGGAACGCAAATGGATCATATTTGACGGTCCGGTAGATGCGATCTGGATAGAGAGCATGAATACCGTATTGGATGATAATAAAAAACTCTGCTTAATGTCCGGCGAAATTATACAGATGTCCGTCAAAATGAGCATGATGTTCGAGCCGGCTGATCTCGAACACGCTTCACCAGCCACTGTCAGCAGATGCGGTATGATTTATATGGAACCTTCTCAATTGGGTTGGCCACCTATCCTCGAATCTTACAAGAAACATCTCAAGGAAAAATTATTGTTTGAACAGTATGAACTTGTTATTGAACTCATCGAATGGTTGACCGAGCCGATATTACGTTTTATTCAATATAATTGTAAAACTTTTATCGATATATCAGAAATGCATATGTTTCTGGTAAGTAGTTGATATTATAAAATTTATATTTCATTCGTCACATTATTATATTATTACAATGTCAAAAGCTACGAAAAGTTTGTCAAGTAAAATTAAAAACAAAATTATATACAGTTTCCAAAGTTTGAAGATTGAATTTGTAAAAAAATGTATTGTTTATTTATTATTAATTAATAGAATTATCATTCAGTAACAAATTTTTCAATTTCTTTTTTATGAAACTATTTTATTTAAAGTTGATTAATAGAAAAAAACGAGAAATACATTTCGTATATATAAATTCTAATATATTCTTTCTAACATATAATAATTTTAACTAATTGTGTGTATGTGTGTGTGTGTGTGTGTGTACAGGATGTCCTCCATCTCTCCAAGTTATCTTTCATCACCTTTCAAAAACAGATTCCTGGGATCATTTAAAAACGATTTTTTCTCAGCGAAAATGTCAATGAAGGCCATCATTTTTTGCATGTTCCCCGATTTTTGTCATCATATATCTTTGCAATTAAGTCTTAAATTAAAACTCAACTAAAGTAAACTCTATTTAAAATTAATCGAAGAATATGGTTTTGTTAATATTTTATTTCTACAAAGCTTAGTTTACGAAAAATCCCTTATTTCCAATCATTTATAATTAAAAAATTATTAGTACCTCGACATTTTCGTTGAAGAAAAATCGTCTTCAAATGATCCCAGGAATCTGTTTTTGAAAGATGACGGAAGATAATTGGGACACCCTGTGTATATATATATAATTTTTTAATACATATTTTAATATATTTTTGTTATGCAATAGTCCTTTACAAGAGTATTCAGTATGATGTTAGCAGAAGAAACACAAGTGAGTACAGTGTGGCTTCAGTGCGTGTTGCTCTTCAGTATGGTTTGGGGCATGTGTTCAACATTATTGAGCGGTAGCAGAAAACTTTTTGATGTATATTTGCGAAAACTATTACTCGGTAATATCGACGAGTATCCTAAGCCGAAGGTGTTCAAACTGACAAAGCAACAAATCTTTCCTGATAGAGGCACGGTGTACGATTGGATTTACGATAAGAGAAACAATGGCTGCTGGATATCCTGGATAGATACTATGCAGCAGGTATTAAAAAAAAAACAGGCGTATAAATTAAATGAGTAAAAAAATCTGAAAAGAAATGTTCTAACAACTTTTATGTTAATATTTTTAATTATTTTATCGAAAAAGATAAAAATTCATCTTTAACTAAAATATTTAAAATCCATAGAGAAAAATAAAAATAATTAATATTTAAAATATATACACACCTTTCAGGTACCTTTATCAGCAACAGCGAAAGCCAGCGAGCTGATCATCCAGACAACTGAAACATCCATTCAGCATTTCTTTATCAAACAATTTATGCGCAGATCAATTCCGATTTTGTTTGTGGGTCCAACGGGCACTGGCAAGTCCGCTATCGTTCTGAATTATCTCATGTCATTGCCTCGGGAGAAATTTCTGGAGAATGTTATAAACTTCAGTGCTCGTACCAACGCGCCGCTGACACAAGAAATAGTCATGTCAAAGTTGGATAGAAGGAGAAAAGGGGTTTATGGACCCGCTATGGGAAAAAAGTGTGTATTATTTGTAGATGATCTCAGCATGCCTCAAGTAGAAATGTACGGCGCTCAACCGCCTATAGAACTGCTTCGTCAATGGATAGATCATGGTTACTGGTTTGACCCGAAGGATACCTCGATTCTATATCTAGCAGATATATTGCTAATCGCGGCTATGGTACCACCCGGAGGCGGCTCGAATATCGTAACACCGAGATTTACTCGTCATATGCACGTGATTGGCATCGATTCTTTCGAAGAAGCCACGATGATGAAGATCTTTTCATCGATTCTCGATTGGCACTTCGCAAAGGGTTTCATCATGGAGGTTTCACGGTTGAGCAAAATGATGGTGAATGCTACCCTGGATATATTTCTTGGAGCCATTAAGAATTTTCTGCCGATACCATCAAAAAGCCATTACAAGTTCAACTTGCGTGATTTTAGTCGGGTTATTAACGGTGTGCTTCTTGTGCCGGCTGCTAGAATGAGAGATCCCAACAAACTTATTAGGCTATGGATTCATGAGATATATCGAGTTTTTCATGACAGATTGATAGATGACACTGATCGTGAAACGTTATTTAAAATGGTGCGACACACGTGCTATGATCAGTTGCGCCAGCCGTTGGACAAGGTGCTCGCCAATTTGTTGAAGCCAGGTGAGAAGATGATCACGAGTTCTCACATTCGCGATCTTTTCTTCGGCAATTACATTGAGCCCGACGCTGATCCGAAAATATATGATGAGATAACGAATCTGGAAGATCTCCAGGAGAAGATGGATTACTATCTGGCTGAATATAATGCAGTTTCGCAGACGCCAATGAATCTGGTGCTGTTTCGATACGCCATCGAACATGTCTCTCGCATATCTCGTGTACTGCTGCAGGATAACGGTCATGCCCTGCTCGTTGGAATGGGCGGTTCCGGTCGCAACTCTTGTGCCAGACTAGCGACTAGTATGTGCGAATATTTGATACAGCAAATCGAGATCACGAAGACTTATGAAATGCCTGAATGGCGAGAGGATCTAAAATACTTATTACTGCGCGTTGGTTGCGATGGCAAACCTACCGTCTTCATCTTCGGCGATCATCAAATCAAAGATGAGTCTTTTATCGAGGATATTAACATGATCTTGAATACTGCAGATGTACCCAACTTGTACGCGGTAGAAGAGAAGGCAGAGATATTGGAAAAAATGACGACTGTGGCGCGAGAAATGAGTGGCGGTAAAAAGGTGGAAACGACGCCGATGGCGCTCTATAATCTCTTTATTGAGAGGATCAAAAAAAATCTTCATGTAATTTTGACAATGTCACCGATAGGCGAGGCATTTCGAAATCGTCTAAGAATGTTTCCATCACTCATCAATTGTTGCACCATCGATTGGTATACATTATGGCCGGAAGATGCTCTCGAGAGAGTAGCCAGGATGTCATTGAGAGATTTAGATATTGGTTCAGAATTACGAGAGAAATGCGTGCAAATTTGCAAGCAATTCCATACAAGCGTCTCCATAACAAGCGAGGATTACTACTTGACATATAGCAGACGCTATTATGTAACACCCACTAGTTTCCTACAGTTAATCAAATCCCTATATAGATTGTACGGGCAAAAGATCGAACAGATCACCATTCAACAGAATCGCTACGAAACCGGTTTAGAGAAACTGGATTTTGCCGCCGGCCAAGTGGCGATTATGCAGGACGAATTACAACAATTACAACCCAAATTACTGGCGCAGTCACAATTGAGCGACAAACTGATGATCCGAATCGAACAAGACACTATCAACGTGGAAGCGAAAAAGGAAATTGTAGCAGCCGACGAAGCCTTGGCAAACGAAGCGGCAGCAGCGGCACAAGCCATCAAAGATGATTGTGAAAGTGACTTGGCAGAAGCTACTCCAGCACTAGAATCTGCCCTGGCGGCATTAGATACTCTGAAACCGGCAGACATCACAATCGTGAAGGCGATGAAGAGTCCTCCAGCTGGTGTTAGATTAGTGATGGAGGCAGTTTGTGTACTGAAAGGCGTAAAGCCGGACCGAGTTCAGGATCCAATCACCGGTCAGATGATAGATGACTATTGGCCCGCGTCGATCAAGCTTCTAGGTGACATGAAGTTTTTAGAAAACTTGAAAAACTTTGATAAGGATAATATACCGCCCGCATATATGAAACGCATTCGCGAAAGGTTCATAAATGATCGAAGCTTCCAACCGGAAGCGATTAAGAAGGTCTCCACCGCCTGCGAAGGTCTCTGCAAATGGGTGCGTGCCATGGAAGTATACGATCGTGTAATTAAGGTTGTGGCACCAAAGAAAGCGATGCTTGCGGAAGCCGAGGCTGCATTGGCCGCGCAGATGGAAATGCTTAATGAAAAGAGAGCTCTACTGCAAGAGGTAACGCAGAAATTGCAGTCTTTGAACGATGAGTTCGCTGAATGTATGCGCGAAAAGAAGAAGCTCGAGGATCAGATTGATTATTGCAGACAGAAATTAGAAAGGGCAGAGAAACTACTTGGCGGCCTGAGTGGTGAAAAGGATAGATGGAGTGAAACTGCCAATAAACTGGGCGCCAGTCTAGGTAACGTGATCGGAGACGTTCTATTATCATCTGGGATGGTAGCTTATCTGGGAGCGTTCACAGTGGAATATAGAAACAAATTGATCAATCAATGGCATGCTTCTTGTATGAATGCAGCTATACCGTGTAGTACCAAATTTAATTTGATCGATATATTGGGCGAACCGATAGAAATTAGAAGCTGGACTATTCAGGAGCTACCGGCTGACAGTTTCTCAATAGAAAACGGAATAATCGTGAAGCATGCTGATCGCTGGCCGCTCATGATAGATCCACAGAATCAGGCGAATAAGTGGATAAAAAACATGGAAAAGCCAAACAAGCTGACAGTGATTAAACTCACGGATCCTAATTATGTAAGAGTGATGGAGACTTCTATTCAGCTAGGAACTCCAGTATTATTGGAGAATATTTTAGAAGAAATCGACGCGATTTTAGAGCCTGTATTGTTGAAGAATATATACAAACAACGCGGAGTGCTATATATGAAGTTCGGAGAGACTGTATTGGAATACAATCCAAACTTTCGATTCTATATCACCACACGTCTTCGAAATCCGCATTACTTGCCCGAGATCACGGTAAAGGTAACTCTATTGAATTTTATGATTACACCTCAAGGTCTGCAGGATCAATTGTTGGGCATAGTTGTAGCCAAGGAGCTACCAACTTTAGAGGAGAAGAAAAATCAATTAATAGTAGAAGGCGCAAACAACAGAAAGATCTTGAAAGAGATCGAGGATAAGATCTTGGAAGTTCTCACGACATCGGAAGGTAACATACTTGAAGACGAGACTGCTATTAAGATACTCTCGACTTCGAAGGTTCTATCGGAAGATATTCAGGCGAAACAGGAGATCGCAATGAAAACTTCAGCGGAAATAGATAAAGCTCGCAATGGTTACCAGCCAGTCTCGAAACACGGAGCGGTTCTCTTTTTTTGTATCTCCGAATTGGCCAATATTGATCCTATGTATCAGTACTCATTACCGTGGTTTCTGCATCTCTATGTCACGGCAATAGCTCATAGCGAACATTCGGATGATCTAGACACGCGAATGAATAGTCTCAATTCGTATTTTACTGCGAGCATTTATAGAAATGTATGTCGGTCTCTATTTGAAAAGGACAAATTGATATTTTCTTTGGTCCTCTGCGTCGGTTTGCTACGTGCCGCTCACAAACTGGAGGAAGATCTCTGGGTATTTTTATTGACAGGCGGAATAGCCCTTGATAATCCTTATCCTAATCCTGATCCTTCATGGTTATCTGACAAATCCTGGTCCGAAGTCGTGAGAAGTAGCCTCTTACCGGGTCTCGAAAAATTAAGAGAGTCCTTCCAGTCCAACATATCACAGTGGAAAATGTATTACGATTTGTCCAATCCGCAAGAGCATCCATTTCCGCCGCCCTTCGAGCGTGAGGGCGAGAGCTTGAGAAAACTCGTGATTCTGAGATGCGTGAGGAAGGACAAGCTGGTTGCTGCTGTTCAAGCGTTCATCATTCATCATATGGGCGCATCGTTCATGGAGCCGCCGCCGTTTGATCTCCAGAGTTCGTACGATGATTCAAACAACGTCACGCCATTAATCTTTGTGCTCTCACCTGGTTCGGATCCGATGGCCGGTCTGATAAAATTTGCCGAGGATCGTGGAATTTCGAAGAAGAATCTTATGACGATATCGCTGGGTCAAGGTCAAGGTCCGATCGCAACCAGTATGATTGAAAGAGGCATTAAAAGCGGCGAGTGGGTTATTCTGCAAAACTGCCACCTTGCCATCTCATGGATGAAGGAACTTGATCGAATATGCGATGAGATAATAGTACCCGAGAATACGCATCGCGATTTTCGGATATGGCTGACTAGTTATCCATCTAAAGGATTCCCGGTGTCCATATTACAGAACAGCGTTAAAATGACGAACGAACCACCAAAAGGACTGAAGAACAATTTACTGCGGAGTTACATGAATGATCCCATATCGGATCCTAAATTCTTTCGCGAGTGTACGAAAGTAGTAGAATGGAGAAAATTGTTATTCTCTCTATGCTTCTTCCATGCAGTGGTTCAGGAAAGACGGAGTTTTGGTCCACTCGGTTGGAACATACCTTACGAGTTCAATGAATCTGATTTACGTATCAGTATTCTACAATTGCAAGTACGTTCCAATTTTAATTTAATAAATATATAATTGGTTTATTATTTTAATTTAATTTATTATTCTTTTATTATTTTCCATATTCTATATAAATAATTAATTTATTACAAAATTAAATTATTATGTAATTATTATCTTGTTGTGATTTAGCTATTTTTAAATGATTATAATGAAGTGCCATTTGATGCACTGATTTACCTAACGGGAGAATGCAACTATGGAGGCAGGGTAACTGATGATAAAGATAGACGCCTGTTGAATTCATTGTTGAAGAATTTTTACAATTCCGAAGTTATTACAAAGATACGGTAATATGCTTTTAACATCATGCAAAATTTAAGAATGTATTTTTCGAACAATTTGGAGTTGAAATTTTTTTTAAAATAAAATTCAAAGATTGAACAAAAATAAACAAGAGAGAAAACCATGTTTTTTATTTAATTTCGAAAGATTTATTTCAATAAAATTTTTAAAAGTAATTAAGTAAAATATTTAACGCAAAGTATTTATTGTTAAAAATATAAAAAAAATTATAAGAAAGATGAACAATTTTTATTAAGAGAAAACAGACTCCAAATTTTTGTCAAATGTATGTCCATCAACTTTTTGAAGCTTTTTTTCATATTATTTATTATATTGTATATCATTTATATTTTATATGCAGATACTCTTTTTCTCCGAGTGGAATTTATCATATGCCAGAAGATACCGATCATGACGAATGTCTGAAGTACATTCGTAGTTTACCTATTAATCAGATGCCAGAAGTTTTTGGCTTGCACGAAAATGCAGACATAGCGAAGGACAACCGAGAAGCAATACAATTATTGGCTGGTGCACTTTTGACTCAGCCGCAAATCAGTGGAATAGGTGAATAAATGATATATGTATAGCTCCATTTTAGTTTTTTAAGACTTTTTTTTCTTCTTCTCTTCTCAATTTTAATATTATACGCCATGCTTATTAATTATTACGTACAATTTTTATATGGCTTTTGATATACTTTCGCTCTATGCAGCATTATCAACTACAACTATCCCTATAGAAACATTGCAGAGAAACATTTCATTATAAAAAAATTGTAAATATTATTACACATCTTTCTGTATCATATAAGATTTGAAACTGTGCAATTTCCTCACAACCGATTTCCTCTAATACATGATCATATTCTACAATAAAAATTTTTATTGTTTTTTATCAGGTGTCGAAAGAGACATGGATGAAGTGGTGTTCGCTCTAGCCGGTGAGATTCTATCAAAGATGCGACCGCAATTCGATATTGAATCTGCATCGAACAAATATCCAGTACTTTATATGAACAGTATGAACACGGTGCTGCGTCAAGAACTTGTTAAATTCAACGAACTTATCAATGTCATCAAGGAAACGTTAAACAATGTACAAAAGGCCATCAGAGGACAAGTATTGATGTCACCGGAATTGGAAGAAGTTTACGTTAGTATGAGCATCGGTAAAGTGCCGCTTGCTTGGGATAAAAAGTCATATCCTAGCTTGAAACCGCTCGGTAGCTATGTAAACGATTTGTTGGCGAGATTGCAATTTCTACAAAATTGGATTGACCACGATGCACCCAATGTATTTTGGATATCCGGTTTCTTTTTCACACAATCATTTTTGACGGCAGTGCTGCAAAATTACGCTCGCAAGCATAAGATACCGATCGATCGCTTGGACTTCGAATTCGAGATCACTCCGTTCGAGTCGAGCGTCGATACGGCTCCCTCGCATGGAGTTTATATCATCGTATGTAAAATTTCGTTCTAATATAATTCTTAAATTAATAAAATATAATTTTTAAATTAAAACTTTTAAATTAAAGTCCAATTTTAAATTGAAATTTTTACACTATTATTGCAGCGATTATATATCCTTGTTTATATTAAACTATCGATTAATTTTGATCTGCGACGGTTCTTTTTCAGGGTCTCTTCTTGGAAGGAGCTCGATGGAACAGAGAGAAGAGATTGTTGGATGAATCTAAGCCTAAAATAATGTTCGATATGCTACCCATTATTTGGTTAAAACCTGGTATAAAAATTAAATTTGATATAAGAGACGTATATCATTGTCCAGTATACAAAACAAGCGCTAGACGTGGCGTATTAGCTACTACTGGACATTCCTCCAATTTTATATTGTATATCTTAATCCCAACGGATATCGACGAATCACATTGGATTAAGAGAGGTGTGGCTGCCCTTTGTCAACTTGATGATTAAAAATGATAAGTATGAATTATTGATATGAGAATTACATATACAATTGATTCATCGTTATTTCACGCGACAATATATTGAATAGCTAATCAAAAATTTAATTAATTAGCAAAAAATATTTTAAAACTCAAAGTTTGTGACAAATTTACAATCTTTTATATATTAAATCACAAACGCATTGTTTTAAGCAATTATATATTATAATTTATATTTATAAGAAAAGGAGTACTTCAGGTATTTTCTTTCTACAAAAAAGCTTGAAGAATTAAGACATTAAAAAATATATATGATTATTATACAATATTATAAATGTATTTAACAATAACAATCGCATTATAATGCTTACCGTCAATAATATTCATCAATCTCGTATATACATTGTATTGTCTATTATGATAAAACTTATACATATTTCATATAATTTCATTTATAAATTAGTCAATAAAAACAATAATGATCACATTCTCGATTATTCATCTATTTAATCGGAATTGTAGATACTTTCAATATATATCATAATCATTCTTTATCAGGTACGTGTTTATGAACAAGACAGTTTCTATACAAAAAGGAATATTCTGTATTATATATAATTCTGTATATACATATATATAAAGGAATCTTTTATGCGATATCTCGCATATACACATCTTCAATATCAAATATTTTAGAAAATTTTGATTGTCATAAGAATAGTCAATTATCATTGACTATTTCTAGTCGCATTTTATTTAATTTTAATTCTATTGTCCTAAATGCACAAAATTGGTCTGGAACACATTCGTGATCTATTAAATGAAAATATATATAAAGAAAAGATAAATGCATATTAGATACTTGTTCATAAAAAATATCACACAAAAATTGTGTGATTAGATTTTTATACAAACTTCTCCTCAAAATTTTAATAACAACAAATTTATATTATTTTGTATTTTATAGTCTTAGTTTGATACAGTTTTTACTTGAATCAATTAAAGATTCTTTTAATTAAATTTTCGATATTTTCTATGAACAATTTTTACATTTTATGATTCTCTTTACAAATTTGTCGAGAAATTGTGTGCTCGACTTTTAATATTCTGTATGCATACAATTAATCTGTATGTTTGTTGCGCTATGGTGAATGTCGTTTAAAAAATAAAGGAGGAAATAAATCCTTATATCTGATCTTGGATAATTTAATCGAGTTTTAAGTTGTAAATGTCGCATACTGGACTAGTTAAACGCGAATTGTGGCAGACTCGTGTTACAGACTAGTTAGTCACAACATTAAAATCGCAATACGTTACAAAAATAATGCAAGAATCGCTATTAACAACATATACACTCATTCACTCACATACATACACACAATGAGAAAAATGAGAGAAATGTCCGATGAAAACTAACGAAAAGTAATGAAAAGTAACGAATGGATATTATACCGATTACTTTAATCGGATATCTGATCGAAAAATTCCGAATTTTGAACTTTCTGATCACATATCCGCTTGATCGATATTTTCTGATTGGATATCTGATAGGTTTCTTTTTTTACCGATTAAAGTGATCGGTATAATATCCGTTCGTTATCTTTTCACCCGTTTTTTTTCTCAGTGCATAAGCGCGCGCGCGTATATATATCCTTAATTTTGCAATTAAACAAAACTTATCTCACAAAGAAGAACATCTGACGAGATACAAGATCCTTCGATTTTGTGCATAAGAAAGATAAAATTATTGTGTCGGTTGATAAATCTTACACTAATAATACATCTATAGATAACCGAATGAATCGATGCCATCAAAACAATGTCTTTCAGTTCTTTGCGATGTAATACTTTATGATGAGAATATTAATTCTGATACATAATGCATATGTACATATCTGACAAACTGGTATATATACATATAAATCGTTTTAAAAGAGAAATCAACTTATATATACAAGTACTCCAAAAGTTGAGAAATAAAAATTGAAAGGCCACGATATATAACAATTGATCACATGATGATATTCTTTGATGATTAAATAATTGTCTTTTAAAATCTTTTATGCGTGTCTCATTTGTATTTGATCTTAATACGTATCTTATCCTAGAAGATGCATTTAACTACAATTAACAATCATCACCGCTAATAGTATCGACTAATGCCGAATCGATTTGCTGCGGATTTCTTGTTTTTTTATCTCTATATTCAACGTAACAAAAGGCTGCTGTACCCAAGAATATAGTCACAAGTAGTACCAAGAGTTGTATGTGCAGTCCGGCTATGGTACTGTACGAAAAGCTGATAGCCGCTGCGACTGATTGACAGAATTTAAAAAGAGCAAAGGCCGGTGCACTCTCCTTAATGAACAGGATACCTAGCAGCGAATAGATCTGTGTGTTGAAGCAAGCATCGCCGAAGCCGAGGGCGAAACTGCCCGCCATCGCGAGGATCGGCGACGCTTTGATAAAACCCACATCGTTCGTATCCGCAAATGGTGCGTCGTTTGGTAGATTCAGGAAGATGCTGATGAAAGCGAAGATATGCACGAAGAAACCAGTAAGCACCACTGGCCAGCCACCACAATTGCGGAATATTTTGGATGCGAAAATACCGAAAATGGCACCGCCTATGACTTCGCCGAGACCGATAAAAATACCGGACAGTCCTACCAAGCTTTTGTAACCTTCGCCCATGGCTTTGGTGAAGCCGACGCTGTTCGAATATACGCCGGAGTAGAAGGTAAGCTCGAGACCCGTATAAATAAACGTGAACGACAGTAGCAATATGTTTCGTGTGAAGAAAAGTTTGATCGCATCTGTAAAGGCACTCCACGTGGCCTCTAAAGGTTTCTTGCGCGTTGGTTCCGGCAGCCTCAACTCCTTGTCGGCACTAGACACTCCTTCGGCTTCACCCAGCGATAGTCTTTGCTGTGATCTGTTCAATGTCATCAACATTACAGTACCGATCACCGCAAGGCCGGTTAACACGCCAAAAATGATCGTCCGTTGCCCACGATCAATGGTGTCCGATTTGAATATGAAGTAGACAAATAGATTGCCGGCAAACTGTGATGTCTGGAAGATTGCCCAGAATATACCGGCGTTCCGAGACATGGTGTCGTTGTCGCTATTCTCCGTCAGGTATTGTCCGTGACCAGTCCATATGAAAGCGGCGCCTACTCCGAGAACAGCTGACATAGCATATAGCAATGCTTCGTTCGAGCAGAAGAAGGAGCCGATGAACAGGGCATAACAACAGGAACCGGTGAATATGGCTACCCGTGGACCCGTTACTGAGATGTATGACGGCGCCAGCCAGTTACAGGTCGCGAACACGCCATAAATTATGGCTAAGCTGATGTAAGCATCGGCATTGTAGCTGCTATCCTCCGCGTGTATGCTTTTCAGAATAGTTTGCTACGAACAAAAAAGATTGATGTAAAAAGATCAACACGTAGATATTTTTTAATACACTATTCGCAGCCATAACATTGTGTATAGGCCATTGTGTGAACTTGCTTCTTTACACTGATGATTTCATCCGATCAATTTAAAACTTGTTTTTACAGGATACTCCTGAAAATTTGCTCTAAAGATATATTTTGTCAATTTCCAATATTAATTTTGGAATAAAATTTTTTTCAGCGTATATTGATATCTTTCCTCTTCTTTTTAATTTTAATATTAAATCTGAGATGCAATATTAATTCTAAACTTAATATTAATATTTTCTATAAAAATATGAAGATCCTTGCACAATTAAAAATCTCACTCGATTATGAATTTTATTGAAATAATAATTTTATTGAATTCAGACAATTCAGTGATATACTTCTTTTTTATCTTCGCAAAAAAATTATTAACAAATAGCAGGAGAAATATATTCTGAACAAAAGATATAAATATTTTTATAAATAATCCCATATATATATATATATATATATATATATATATATATATATATGAGATTATTTATAAAAATATTTATATCTTTCTATATATATATAATATGAAAAATGAAAGTGATCAAATAAGATAAGAATTCGAAAAATGCCAATAAAAAGAGCAAAATGTACCGGTTTCATGGTTCGAGTATTTTTTTTTAAATCTGTGAAACTGGTTTTCCTGTATTTATATACAAATGTAGAACTATATATATCTCAAGGATAATCAAGGATAATTTCAGAATACCTAATGCTTCAGAACATTGTTTTATATATTTGAAATTTTGAAATGCCATTAGCTTATTTTAAAAAGATATACAAAATATTTGAGAAAGAATTTATCATATTAGAAATATATATTACTCAAGTGATTTGATAGAATTGTTTCAGACAAGATTTAGAAATGTTATATAAATATAACAATTTCACACAACGAAAAACACAGACATATTAAAAAATTAAATAAAAATTGTAAATCAGAATTATTTATATAATGTAATTACAGAATACAGTATACATTATTATAATGAAAAATAAAATCTAATTATTAATTACTTTATCAATATTTAACAAGTTCGTATATAATATTATTTTTATAATTATTTTACTTATAACTATTATATTAAAAACGAATCAAGCGCAATGAAAAAATTATTAGTAATCAATCATATCAGTATTAATAATGTTATCGTATTAGCGATAACTTTATTAAATGGTATTATTATATAACTTTATTAAACGATATTATTATATAAATACAAATAAACCTTGATATAAAAAAAAAATAAAAGAGGGATATATGTTTTTTCTTACTATTTTGTTATATTGTTAGAGATTATTATGTTGTTATTATATTGTTAGAGATTCTTTTTATAACGCGTTTCTAATAATGCAATATAATAATATATTAATATGGTATCAGATGTATGCAAGTAAAACAATGTTTAACAATAGGTCCCTTAATTATTTTTAAATTAAAATATATATTTGTTGAATATTTGAATCCTTATACAATTTGATTGCTTACTATCAATCAAATATGTTTATTCGCGTAAAATACAATTTTTGTGTCAAGATAGCGATATGAATGATAAATAAGCGGATTTTTCGGTGAGGTATAATTTTTAGCCAATATCTTCGCGATCTCATTTTGTAACTTTTTAAGAGTCGAGTGCAAAGTATACATCAAGATAGGGACAATCGATAAAATCTGTTCTGGTATTGGAAAAGTATAGATAGATTTATATTGCTTTTATTATTATTATAATTTTAAAGTGAGCTCATGCTATAGCTTCGTGAATAGAAAAACATCTGTACATAAAAAATGTAAAAATCTAAAACATTTAAAATTATATATATTATTATATATATTATTATAAAATTATATATTTGCATTATATTTGCGTATATAATAAAATAATTTGTATTCTTTTCGAAGAATCTTCTTTTCAAAAGCAAAATTTCATTTTTATAAATATACTTTAATTTAATTTTAAGCTAAATTTACTTTAAACAATTGCACGAAAATCTGAAATAATAAAATAAAATTGTATATTTATTACGAACGTCTCTCTTATCTTTCGCCACTTATCTCTTCCGGTAATGATGTATCTTGCATATCAAACGACATTTCAAGAGGTCTCTAATTTGCTTCTGCCATTTTATTAAAATTATTATAATTATGGAAACGCATGTTTATAGAAATAATATATACATATTTATCAGTTAATTAAGAATTTCTTAGTTTTAATTAATCACAAGTTATCTATGAGTCAGTGGCTGTGGAATATATCGTTACATAGATAAATGACATTATGATTCCCTCCTCCTTTCTCTTTCATGTCCTATCAAGCCTAAAGTGAAAGGAGATTATGTTGTGCGCCTCGAATAATTGCATCAGCCGAAAAGAAGGCGTTCTGTTTTATTTCTTTTTTAAATGCATGAAAAAGATGAGTTGAAAATTTTTCAAGCGTGAATTATCTCGATCTTTTGCATAAAATCTGGATGTTTGAAATCACGATTTTTTTGTGAATTGTGAAAAGCACAAAAAATTCGATTGAGAATCGGTTGCGTCAGTTCGGGCAGATTTCGGCAGGAATTATTGGAATATATCTAGTAAGCATTTCATATCATCGATGAATGCTTACAAAGCGTTTCCTATTCGTCACCTTTGTGAAAGCAGTTCTATTTTTAAAGTATCGATATAAGGGGAGAACTTAGTTTACACCAATCATTTGATATGCGTATCAAATAATAAATAACTAATAAATTGATTGTTAATTATTGGCTTATCAGCTCAGATATATTACTTGACACGAATACCGAACGATCTAAATTTACATAAGCTATAATTGAAAAACAAATTTATTTAGATCTTTATAAAAAAAAGTAGCCCGAAGATATGAAAACTCTCACTTTTCATTCCTCTCCTTGCTTCCTAATCTGACATTTTACATAATTTAATCAGATATGATTGGAATAGAATATTAATATCATTGGGTAACAAATGATTTCCATTCAGTAATGGTTCGATTCATCTGGTAGAACGCAACACCAATCGTAATTAACATCGAATTAGCTCAATAGAAATATTGATTTAATGTACGAGATACGTCTCGTATACGAGATAATGAGGCGAAGGACAATCATTGAAAGTTTTTCTAAATGCAATTTAATTATCGTACAAAGATGTTTTCACGTGATGAAAGCTTGTGTTATCTTGTAAAAGAATATCTAATATCGATAGTAAAACTACAATCGAGAATTTATATATCTTCAATATTTTCTAAAAGATAGAATTAATATCTTAACTCTTGAAAAAGATTGACGTAACCGACATGCGATGTGGTAAGGCTTTCACCTTTAAACATGCAAAATACATCAATTTATGCGATAGTAAAACTATCATAAAAAAGTGTCGTAAAAAATTGTTTAGAAAAAACGCTTCATTATTTGTAAAAATTTATAATTTACACATATAATATCAAACTAATTATTTCAAATAATTTAATGAATTTGTACAAACATCGATTTAAAGAAATTTAATTTCCGAAAGGAAATTTTTAATAAGGAGATTTTAAACCAGGGATACAAAAGTATTCAAACTATTGATGTCAATTAACTATATATTGATCTATATCAATTAACTATATCAATTTTACCTATATTTTATCTATATCAATTAACTATTATTAATTATATACATCAATTAACAAAAAACTTTTTACAAAAATAAGTATTTTAAACATTATGTAATTTAATGAGATTATGTAATATTTTCGAAGGAGAAATTCGAAGATTTTATGTGATATAGATTTCATTATTTTTCACGCGAATAATTAATTCTCTTATGCAAAGAGAGACATTCAGTCTTTTTTTCTTTTTACTTACGATATTATGACTTTTGATATTTTCACTTACGATATTTTTTTATTAGCTCGTTTAAAAAATTTAAATTCTAAACAAAAATCATTAAACTCGGCTATCATTAAACTATGCTACTCTTTGGAATATCTGACTAACGTATGATGATTTTTACGAGTTAATAGAATGAGTAAATATCGTTGATAACTGATAAATTTAAAACAAAGATTGTTATACGGCACTGGGGTGATTAATTAGTCACGCCCCGTTAATAAAAAATTGCTCATAGATATTGCATATCTAAAGATACGTTATATATTATGGAGTGCAGCTGCAGTAATGATTAATAGACTAACAAAATGACAGATATTAGCAGCAGTTTGAAACAATAATTGAGCGTTCGCAGATTATGATATCTGCGGAATATAAATTATGTAAATCTCCTGTAAATGTAAAATAGATGTGTAAAATTTGAAGGAGAGATTATTCACAAAGATGTTACACAATACTTCGAAAACAACCTCCGATCTTGCACAATCAAGATGCATAATCAAGATAACAAACAAAATGTTATAATTGAGACAGAGAATGTAATAGAAAAAAAAACAAAATTTCATAATATAATATAAATAGATTCACATTTAATATGAAATATAAGAAAAAAATATAAAAAGCACGAAACAATCATTTCTCTACTTATTAACGAAATATTGCGAGATAAATCGTATCAGTAAAAGATATGCATTAATAAAAAAAATATGTTTTGATAAGAGATTGATCTCAAAGACCTTTTAATGTCAACAACTTGATCCAAACATTGGAAAAAACAGATCACAGGTTGCAGTGTGTTTAACAGATATATTTCATAAATTATATGTCTTACAATCCGAAAATATCGATAATATATCGTATAATTTAGAGAGTTTCAACCTGGCCTATCAGCTGGCGATCGTGATCAGTTAGTTATTTGCCTTTTGTGGTACTTTCTAAAGCGTAATTGATAATGTAGTGTCCCCGATTTATACTTTCTAATATTTTGCAAAATAATACAAATATTTCATCGTTATAATGCAACCACTTGTAGAGTGAAATATTTAATATGAAGATATTAATTTCACCAAAATTAATTTCTTATTTTTTCATTCTTAATTAAATCATGTTTATATATTCACGAGTTTCAAACTTGTTTTCAATCTTAAATTAATGTGAATAAAGATAAGAAGCGAAAATAACTCAGATAAATTGCTCGCATTTGAATACCTAAATGTAATAGAAGTTTCGCTGGTCGTACCTCACGTGCTGGACATGTTAAAACAAAATCATGATGCTGATCACCAGACATTATCCAATCATTCCATTAATTCAACAGTGCTTGCACGTCAAGGAGAATAACAGATTGTGTTATAAATCAGCGTCTTTCTCCACGTTATGTTACAGATTAGAAAAATGCTTTGTTAAAATTATGGGTTATATATATATATATATATATATATATATATATATATTAGTTTTTTTGTTAAAAAAAAAATTATATATATATATTTTTAAAATTTTTCCTTCATTATCTATTTTTGAAAAATAATTATCTGAATGTATAAAATATGATAAGTCCTGATTAATGTAATGAACATATAATAAATACATTTGATAATAAACATATAACAAAAAAAAATATATATATATATATGTATATTTTTTTTTGTTATATGTTTATTATCAAATGTATTTATTATATGTTCATTACGTTAATCAGGACTTATCATATTTTATACATTCAGATAATTATTTTTTAAAAATAGATAATGAAGGAAAAATAAAAGAAAAAAAATATATATATATATTTTATATATATATATATATATATATATATATATATATATGTGTATATCACTTTTAAACTTCTTATAGTATTAAATTTATTTCTTTTAAATTTACTCCGTTAATTATTATTTGAGTTAATTATTATTTTTTTATTTTAATGTTTTTGGCACAAATATAAAAACATGTCAAATGTAAATTTGAAAAAAAGCGACTGCAGTTGTTATCGAATACTATTGGCATAACATATATTTTTTATCTTATATATTCTATTATTATGATAAAAAATACAGCTCTACATGATGTTTATTTCTGAAAAAGCATCATCTAAAAAGTGTCGAAAAGTTTTTTGCTTATAAATAAATATGCGTGATATTCTTTCATCTTTAAGCATAAATTTAATTATCAAATATTTCAATTTCCTAAATTTTTCAAAAACACATATATATACTGTAATGTGTCGCCTGTGAAACTTTCCATAGTCGAGATGCGCGTAAAGGAAATGCGAAAATGCAAAGGCAAATAACAATAATAATAAATACATGTACCAGTATCGACTCTTACCTCTATATTACCCATCGTTTGAAACGCCGTGAAGACCAGCATAAATCCAAAGCTGAGGATCAACACATTCAAAAACGGCCTGTCTACAATCATGATTGCGGAGTGATTTCGCGTATCTGTCACGAAATGAAAAATAATAACCCGTCGTGCGGGTAGGTTCGCGTTTCACGCGCGATTTCGAGTCAAGCTGTTTCGCAGACGACTCCGTTGCCGTGACAGATGACCGCATGTGTAGATTGTATAGTAATAAAAGTGAAAACGCGTGACGTAGTAAACTCTGGCGTGCCGTGAAGTTGGCGATGGATCATGCGAGAGACCGATCGATACATCGTCTCCTCGATTATCGACAATCGGAGTCGTCTCAATCACTCGATTCTTGCATCGATCGATAGAATGCATGCGATTCGCGCGAGCGAACGATCGATTCTTGGGCGAGTCTCAAGGGTAAAGGGGAGCGATCGAAGACGAGAGCGATTTTGCGCGGGTTTGACGGACTTATATTAGCCGTGCCATCGTGTTATCGCGAAAGGGATTCTAGGGGGATTGTTGTCAAAGAGACGAAAAAAAACGTCAGATATATATCGAGCCTCGGTGAATCATGGAAAGGCGCGCCTGAAACGGTGAGTTCCAGATTGAGCGTGGTGCGCGTCGAAGTACGTAAATCGCGATTCGCTGCACTTGACGTTAATTTATGACGAGAAAAACGGAGGAAAACGTCAAGAACGCGTTTAAAAAACTTGACCGGTGCTTCGACATGACGTAAGAGCGTGGCAGTCGGCCCAATCCTCAATGTCGCGGGATTACGCTGGATACTTTAGTTGCGGTTAAACCAAATGTTCGTTCATTGTCTATATCTAGAAGGAGAGAGAGAGAGCAACAGAGAAAGAGAGAGAGAGAGAGAGAAAGGAAGAGAACAGCAAAGTGTAAAGTTAGACTTACTTAACCCAAATTTATCCAGCCGGATGAAAAGGCGCTAGTCCCGGACTTTGCTGAACTTTTTATCGATGGTGCACGAGAATAGATCAATTGCAAACGTATCTGTTTTCAGCGCCGGCTATGAGATCATTGTACAAACATCATGACGGATACTCGCCCTTGCCGCGACACGAAGGACCCTCCCTGTCTCCGCCGAGTTTTCTCATCGGACTCGCGCGGCGAGCACGTTGAAGGGACCGCGAAGAATGCGCGAGCGTAAGCACGAATCGAGAGGTATCGGTGTGTGAAAAAGCGTGCGGGATCTGGACGGTTCGCGAAGCATAGTGCCGGAAATTTTAGTGTCTTCTAGTTTCGACAGCTCGGTCAACCATGAAGAAACAGTTTTTTCGGGTGAAGCAGCTCGCCGATCAGACCTTCTCCAGGTAGCTGACTCAGATCAAAACGTCGACCATATTTCAATCGCGTTCTCGAGCCACAAATTCTATCTGCATACTCTATATATATCGTATCAAGTATCTTCAATTATCTTCTTTCTTTATCAATTGTATATATATTACACTAAATTAGATAATAACTTTTGGCTGCTTTAAAATACTTGTACTTGTAATATATTTGTAAGCTTTTTTCTTTGCTCGTAATACTATAATTACAAGCAAAAAACGGTCTATAATATATAAATGATATATTTCGTATTAGGAGAAATGTGTCAAAATTATGGACAAATCATATTCGAGTAAAGAAAATATGATTTATCACAAGATAAATTCTAGATTAAAGTATTCCAAAATTGATTACTCATATGAATATTGGACAGATTAGAAGAGATAAAATAGAGTGTGCAAAAAAATAAAAGATAAGATTTTCATACAATTAAATAAAGAGGATAAATCAGTAGAATATTTTTTATACAAACAGAGCTGGTAGAACAGAAGTATTAACGGATGATTTGGTGGGTGCCGACAAGCATGTTGAACAGATTAGAGCAGCTCTTACTGGTCTCAGTAAAAGACTCGGGAACCCACCGAACCAAACTATTACACAAGACCAGGCTCTTAAGGAAAAACGTTTGGTAAATAAATGAGTTTTATCAGTGGATTTAAACTATAATATCATAATATAAATGAGAATAAAATTTGAAGTATAATATTTAATATGAATTTTATGTCATAAAATTAAAATTTTTATTATATTTTTTTTATTAAATTTATTTAACAACTATTACATATTAATTTTATTTTATTTCTTAGAAAAAATGCCCTGAATATATACTTGGCCAAACCATGTTGGAAAATGCTGGTGAAGATGGCCTCATGAGTTTTGCGCTAGTAGAATGTGGACGAGTACAAATGTCACTGGCTAATGAAACTGTAGAACATGAGGCAAAAGTTGAGCAATATGTAGCTGCTCCATTGCAGCATATTTTAGATACCGATGTACCAAATATATTGAAGCATAAAAGGAATTTAGCACGGCATATTTTAGACATGGACAGCGCTAGAACGAGATATTTTCAAGCAATTAAACACAGCACTGGTATAATTCTTAAATTTTAAATCTCTGTTCGAAGAGTTTATGTACAGTACATAGTACATAAACAATATTAAATTTAAATTTTCTTTTTTCCTTTAATTCTTTATTATATCCTTCTGATTTATCTTACATAAAATATATAAGTATTTAATGTAATTTATAAGAATACTCTAATTTTGAAAAAATTATTATGAAATGTAATATTTTAGGTACGGGTGCAACAAAGATAGATAATTTAAAAGAGGAATTAGAAGATGCCGAATCGAAAGTTGAGCAATGCAGAGATCAATTAGCTGCAGAGATGTTTCAGCTCATGTCGCGAGAGACTGAACTAGCTCAAACAATTATCCAATACATAAAACTTCAGCGAGCATATCATGAAAGCGCGTTGCATTGTCTTGAAGATCTTATACCTGGATTGGAGAGTTATATTAGTAAGTTTCATGTGCTTGTCAAACCTGTACAGCTATAGAAATTGCTTTTGACATAAAGAAAATTTTTAACAAATAACTTATAAATACACAAATGAAAAATATTTATACTATATGATTAATTACAGATGATAATGAAATGAAACCGGTCTATGGATATCCTCTTGAAGAACATCTTAGGGTGACAAACAGAAAAATCGCACTGCCCATACAATTATGTGTATCTGCATTATTGCGGTTGGGTATAGAGGAAGAAGGTCTTTTTAGAATAGCTGGCGCCGCATCGAAATCACGACGAATTAAGTTAAGTTTAGATGCCTGTTGTCTCACTTTAGCGACGGCTCTTGAATACAAAGATCCGCATGTTATTGCCGGCGCATTGAAATCATATTTACGTGAATTACCAGAACCTCTATTAACGTACAAGTAAGTATCGATTATTTTTAATCAAAATCAATAATTATTATGATTTAATATGTATTTATAATTATTTTAGATTGTATCATGAATGGATGGCTGCAGCAAAAATTTCGCATAATGACACGAGATTACGAGCTCTTTGGGAGGTATTACATAAATTGCCACCGACGAACTTGGAAAACTTGCGGTTTTTAATTAAGTTCTTAGCTGTACTCACGAAAAATCAAGATGTAAATAAAATGACGCCGCAAAACATTGCTATTGTCATTGCACCAAACCTGATTTGGAGTCCACAAGAAGACACAAATACAATAGTGTAAATAATTTTATATACATTATATATTTATTTATTTATATATTTTAAATAATTATGCTTAATCATCGATATTAGATTTTATTTTCAATATTATTAAAAATATACTCTTGTCATGATTGCAGGATGAATATGAGTACAGCGAACAACTCTAGTCTTATAGTAGACCAATTAATTACGTATGCAGATTGGTTCTTCCCTGGCGAAGTGGATTTCGATCGTGACCTAGACATCGGTATTGTGAATGATACGGAAAGTCAGAGTATTGGTATGCGTCGTTGTGTATCCAACAGTAGTCTCAGTGATCACGGTGAAAGTCCAACGCAAGGCAGTCCGAAACCAGCGGCGCGTCGAAAAAATAAACCTGCACCAACACCGCCGAGTGGCAATACTCCGGACAGACATGAAAAAAGAGACGACAAGCCACCTCCGACACCGGACAAACCACCGAGAGTATTGACCTCGACTCTAAATCGATCGACATATAAAGCTCAAAAGCACGAAGTAAACACCGAATTGATACGACACGAAAGCAATATAGAAAAGCATGACAAACATGCGGAAACGGATACGAAGTCGCAATTAATCACGGAATCGATCCCAACAGAATCAATTCATTTTCTTGATAATCCCGAACGATTACAAGAAACCAGCGCACACCAAAGTGAAGTCTTCAATGATGTAGACAAAAGTAACCAAGAATTGCAAAGATATGATACAAAAATAAATATGCCAAGTGCAAAGGAAAAACCAAATGGAAACTCATCCGATAATGTTGCTAAGATTACGGAAATCGAGCATAATGAAATTGCAATACAGAAGCCAAAACCAATATCTACAGAAAAACCTTCCACATTAGAAAGGAGAAGACCAGTTGCAGCACCAAGAAGTATAACAAATGTTGTGCATAACACAGGTAAAATATTTTTCTTAATGTGATTTTATACTTATAAATTAATTCATATTGATTTTCATACTTATTGTTGTTATATTAATACTTATATTAATTTATTTCTAATGATTACAGATGAAGGCGTTGAATTACGTAAAAAATTAGACAGCAATGTTATTAATATGCATGTGTCTCCAAATGAAAGAAGCTGTAAACCAGCGATTCCTGAACGACCACCCGGCTTAGTTCGTCCATCGAGCCTCATTAGACAACAACCGCGTCCCACTAATGACAATCTAGAAACTGATCCAGGAGTGAGTAAAAAGAATTTGATGCAGTCAAAGTTTTATCCCTCTGTACACATATGTGATAATCATTTGTAACAAATGTAGTTACTACAAGTGGACAACAAATAACTGCCTGGGTATTACATTTAACGTAAGCTATATTTGAAATAAAAGTCACACACCAATTTGATCCAAAGCTTTTTCACATATGTATATTCGCTCTGTATTTTATATATAAAATTATGTTACATAAAATCATCTTGTTACACGGTAACTTTTACAAAATTAAATATTCTTGTTAAATTGTCTACAGCCTTTAACATTGGAAAGAGCTCACGTGTATTCTGTGGACAAACAACAGGTCAGTATAATACAAGTGCGTGGGGGGAACAACATCATCCCGAGCATGGAGAGCACTGGCAACACGGCAACTTCGAACTTGCAGAGAAGTCCAAGTGTGGGTAGTCGGCCGTCCTCAATGTCACTGTACGGTGCCGAACGTTCGGAGAAACCCGAGAAGCTGGATACGCCACATGAACAAACCAAAGCGCACGCACGAACTAGATCAGAAGGTAATATTGTGGACGTTCAAACGCAGACCAACACAGTGGTGACGATTCTCAAGTCGCCGCAGCAGAAGCCAGCTTCACCGAGAGTAGTTCATCAGCGACCACCGAGGCCGCAACCACCACCACCTCCGCCGCCTACCATACGACCTAAATCGGAACAAGAAAGTACTAATCTCTAATAGAGTTCGATACAAAGTGCAAAAGACAATCGCGAAAGATATCTCTGATGTCTTTATTATTAGACTGCAAAGAAGATTTTGCACACATGATATCACCAATGAAATCTATACATGGGCAAAAAATTAATAGAAATCTTCGATTGATGAAAAGCATCGTGATTGTATTTATAGAGGAACATCGATACACATTCGTCCTTCAAGAATTGAAAACAAGACAATTATATTCCTAGATTTGATAATATTCGGACAAAGTTACTCTATTTTTCCCGTGATCTCTCTATTTATACGACTTCTTATCATATTCCAACGGATAATCTACTGAAAATATTTTGACAATTGCCATGCAACAAGAAGGTAACAAGAGGATCCATAAATATGCATTTGGACGATTTAGAAAGCGCTTTCCATTCGGCAGCTTTTAGCACGCCGTGCGTTGTATCCAAATCAGTTTTAGATATACATCTAATTTCGTAATCGATCATGATATTTTTGCAGCTTATTACCAATTTTTATACTTATTACGAGTAAGTGAAGATACAGCTCTAAGAATAAGAATATGTTAGATCACATTTTTACTATAAATATTGAAGCATAAAGTATGCTCAATATTTAAGTTAAACACTGTTATAACAAACTGAACTTTAGTCTGCAAAATGTTAAATAACATCAGTGTTTAAAATATGTTTAAAATATTAATTTTTAATTGATATGTCCATTAAAAGGAAAAAAATTAATATTTAAAAAAGGACTGACATGATCAGTATGTTGGAATTGAATCAATGGGTGATATTTATTAACGAGGATTGTTTGTTAATCGTTAAAAATGCTGAGAAAAAGTGAACGCATCGGCGTCGTATATATTTGATCGATTTGATGTATGAATCTGGATTACTGTTATATTTGAAAAGTAAAAAGGATTTTTTTAATATTGTTAAATATAATTTTTATGTTTAAATTACGGAATATTTACATGCGATAAACTCATGATCTTGGATTATCAGGCTGAGATAATCATGCCTATACATATCAGATATGTATATATGTCTATAATAGAATATTTATTAATTATATCATATTAATTCAATTATCTTCATTAATTTTTTGTTTTTCAAAATATATGTAAATTTTAACGATTTACAATTAAGCAGTACAAAATTTTCTAACTTTATTTTTCAGAAATTCTTCAAGAAAAGTGTTATTTCATAAATTATTGAAATAAAATTGGATCCTAAAAGATCCCGAGTTTATTGCATTTTTGTTCTATCGAAAGAGAATGTTAGATTTGCATTTCTACAAATTTTCGTGCGCGCTTGAAATATATAAAACGATTTTGAAATTATTTTATATTGTTTATATTATTTTATATTGTTCACAATATTAATTAAAAGCGAGTTAAATTTATTAAAAATCTAGCCAATAACAAATCACGCATTTACCCAAGGTGTGCTTAGGCTGTGAATGTAATGGACTATTAGAGGAGTTATTTGTACATAAATAAAGATTTACTCTCTATTACACAGAACACAGTGAATGAATTAAGGCACTTCTAGATTATTAAACCATTGAATTTATTATTATATGCAAACAGAATAACAATCGTGTTATTATATAGCGTGTATATGTATACACTAGTATAATGTTATAAAAGAGCTGCAAGATGCTCATCATCGGCGACGTCTTTAGGTGTCATACCATCGTTATCTGCTATAGTTTGAGCTCCACTTGATAGTAAACACTTTACCGCTTCCGTATGACCACAACTTGCCGCATAGTGAAGGGGTGTTTGTCCATCTCGATCTTGCGAATTGACATTCGCACCACTTCCGATCAAGTATTCTACGATTTTTACGTGACCGCGATCCGCGGCCCAATGTATAGGTAACAAACCATCCTCATCCTGCATGTTGACAAGCATGGGTTCGCCATTCAATATCTCTCGCACTTTCGCCTCGTTGCCTTCCTTGACCCAATCCAAGAACGTTTTATCGGTATCTCTCAATTCCGTATCTGTATTGGATAATTTGCTAACGGAAGTCCATCCTGGAGAATCGGCTTTCTCTTCTTCCTCCCACGATGGATTTATCTTAGCAATGGCATGAACGTAATTGGCCATAGCGGCCTCGCGGGACATATCCCCGAGATTTTTCCATGCTTCCCATTTATGCTTGGCTTGCACCTGATACCAATTGGGCCTCGGTATGTCACAAGGACCTACAGTCGCTTGTTTATACAAACCATAAAATCCAAGTAATTGACCCGAATCTAATTCTGATACTAATGTTTGCAGATATTTAGCAGCTCTATTGAAGCTTTCCTCCAGATCAGTTATACTTAAATCACTTCCCGCCATCTCAGTTTACAAATTTGCAATTCTCTTTGCACTCAATTGAACACACCGTTATTGTTATTATTGTTAATACTATACTTTGAAGATAAGATTAAATCTTTTCCTTCCAGAGAATGCTTACGATCAAGTACTGTATTCACTTCATGCTTTTTCAAAAATGTTACATATCCATGATTCTGATGCAGACCAGTTTCTTTATCAAATGTTATCATGATATCATACACATATCCAAATTGAGAAAAGTATAGAGCAAGTTCGTGACGACCTACTGTCCAGGGAATATTAGAAACATGAATCATATATTTCAAAATATTACTAGCCATGGCAGATGATTGACTCGTTTATTCCGCTCGATGTATATCCAACAGATGTATCGTGTGATCCTGCATCAATTCGTGTACATTAATGTTGGAATTTGTACCAAGATTATCCAGTGTTATGTGCATACAGGAAAGTCCCCACTTATTCAACAAATGCTCTATAGACCAATCAGCGCTACGCTCTTGATATGTACAAAGGAACCTCGCACGTGGATTTTTTTCCAGCAGGAAAGCTACAATGACCACTATATCCTCAAATATGGTAGGTTCATAGAAGCAATCTGAACCGATAATTAAATCCAATTGTCCAAGCGAGAATAAACTAGACAGAAAGAAGCCCCAAGTAATGCCGACGATTCGTACCTGATCCGCAATTCCATTCAATTCGCAACACCTTCTAATATGCTGCAGAGTTCTTGGTTGATTTGCAGAATCACTCAAGGTCACAATTGCGCCGCATTTACTTGCGAGGATACCAGGTAACGAAGTACCAGCACCAATCTCCAAGACACGCTTGCCTAGCAGATTTTCTCTGTGCTCCCAGAGGTACCAAGCGAGTACACGTGCACAAGGCCACGTGTAAAAGCTATAATTAGCTTGCAGCAGCTGCAATTAACAATTAAATTTTCGTTTTTATTCTTAAAATTAGTGCTTTCTGATAAATTACTTATCTAATATATTCAAAAACTTAATTTTTTGTAACTCTAAGTTATGTATTATATAATAATCATTGCTAAAAACATTCTTATACTATAATTATATAGAAAGTATAGTATAATTCTGTAGTATAATTTGTGAAAACAAACTCTAAATTATAAGTAATAACTTATTTTTGTAGACACACATATATACATTAACATTTAAATAAATGTAGATATATTTAGTAGGTCATTACATATAAACACGTGTTATCGCCATGGATACTGGATAGATACTAAACATATTAATAACGAAAAATTTTACGATATTAAGGGAAACTGAGAGAGAGATGTAGAAGAAACAAGTAATCACACATGAAGGATCTTGATACAGATTCTATCGCTAATGAGATTCAATCGAGGAATGATCTAACCAAACAGCACGTAATACCGGTAGCTCGCGTTCACCGGGAATTAGCCGGCCGTAAAGTCGGGGGACATCCGCGCGAATCGTTTCTTCTCACCTCTGGAATGAGAATCTCCAAGCTCTCCTCGCCCTCGTCGCCTTGCGCGCAATTTTGCGTCTTTCGCGATCTGAAGACGTATTTTTTCACTTGCTCGGTCACTGCATGATCCCCATCGGACATTAGGGCGCGCGTAGGTGGTGGACTCGTGTCGTGCGAAATACTCTCTTCTAAACCGGGCATTACTGACGCGCCGCACGCACGCGCTCTAATCGTCCCTCATTGTGTCCGTAATATATTGTCCGCTGTCCAACTCCCAAGTCGGTCGTAGAACACAACGAATTCGAATAGGTGAGGATACGGACTGTATATTGTCCAGAGTTGTCACTGATGGCGGAAAGCTTCCCGCTCTATATAGTTGCACTTTTTGCACTCTAGCTTTCCTCTTCTGTTCATCAATTATGAAATTTATAATTGAAAAAAATAACAATCTTATTCCTTGTCATTATTTCTGTTGAAAATATATTTCAAGATTTTTCTGTTCTACAAAATAATTAATTGTTTTCTATTTACTTTACTTTATTTTAGACATAAGATTTATTTATTATATGTGTGTTACATGCATTCATGCACAAGTATCTTTTTAAAGCCACAAATTTTATATAAGAAAATGTATACAATGATTATTTTATATATACAGCAACTTGTATATAAAATAAGTAGATTTATTTGTAGTCATCGTACAATGTTCCTTTTGCCACTGTAGTAGCTGTTTCCTTGTTTAATAATTTTTCAACAATAGCTAAGCCGAAAGCAAAGGCAGTCGCCGGTCCTCGACTCGTTATAAGATTACCTATAAAAATGTCAAAATTAATATCAATTTGAATGAAACTTTTAAATGTATTTGATAATAAATGTATGATAAATAAATTATTACCATCTGTCACTACTTTATCCTCCAGGTACTTGTATTCATCGATCAATTCACTTTTCATAGCTGGATAAGAAGTGATTTGTTTTCCTTTGCCAATACCATGAGCTTTCAAAGCTGTTGGAGCTGCACAGATAGCAGCTATTAATCTATCTTCCTTCTCTTGTTCTTGTAACAATTTTCCAACTTCCGCCGACTAAGGAGAATATTAATTTTAGATATTTGTATAATCATATGTTATAGTAAAATAATTTGTTCTAATAAATTTACAGATGCAAATGTTTTAGATCCACCGAGACCACCAGGTAATATGACAGCATCATACTTTTGATCCTTAGTAGCATCAGCAAACTTGGCATCCGCACAAATTTTAACATCACGGCTACATTTCACACAGTTAGCATCTGATAGGCTAGCTATGGTAACAGCAATCTATTTGATAATTATAATCAAAATATTATTATTAAATATTATAATTATTCCCTGTTGATTAAATTATCAAAAAATATCATTTATTCTAATAAATATAAATTTATATATATAATGTATATCTATATGTAATGTAATATTTTCATATTGCATATGCAATTAACAGGCAAGCAAATAAACAATTAAGATTCTGACAATTGTCATTAATATGCAAATATCTAATATTTTTATGTGAGATTATAACAAAAAAAAATTTTTTAAATAATATACAATTTTTATTTTCCAGGTAGTATCATACAGACTCTCCCACAGACGAGATTATCAATCAAGTTTGATAACGTACCCCGGCACGTCTTAGGATGTCGGCAGTTATCACGGCTTCCATTTCTTCGCTTCCATCGGCAATTAGCAAAATTGCAGTTTTCTTTGCCATGTTTGTACAAAAATTTTTACGTGTTATTACACACACGGATCGGGAGACGTTGAAAAAGATACTGCTCAACATTGACAATGTCATACATATACGTAAAAGACACTACATACGTTAGATTTGTTCGTATCATTTTAAATGCCGATCGAGATTGCAAGAAAACGCAGCTACAATGAACACATCTGTCAATTATTTAGAGTTTCCTCTCTAAACTTTGCGTGCTCATCGGTTATCGCATTGGGGTAAACAATATTTTATATACTTTTATATATATATATATATATATATATATATATAATTTTACTCTCTCATTTTAAATAGGAAGGATCATTTTCATTATTATATAAGGATCATTCTTTTTATAAATTTTGTCTATTAAAAAACTATCGCAAATCGTCGCTTTAAATGAATCCATCGCGCAGATTTTCACTCGGCGTCTTACGTCACGCGTCTCATTGGTCAATAGCCCCACTGCTTTCTATCGATGCGTGATCAAATAAAAATAAACTAAATAAAATCTGTCAAAAATATAAGAGACTTAAATACGGAAAATAACGGAGAAATTTCGCAATTAGTATTTCAGTTCTATCATACACAAGCGGCCAATTTTTCCCGACAGTTTTTCGAGACTCGCGAGGCGCGAAGTCCGGTCGCGGCGCGCATGACCGGAATCGATGTTGCTTCGCGAGTACGGCCGAGCGTGTCGCTACTGTTCGCCCTGCATTATGGCCGCCGCGTTTGGGTGTTGTGAACACTGATTTTTCTTGGATTTTCCTACGAGTAAAAGAGAACTCTCGAAACCCCCGGTTAGCCTTCGTCGTCGTCGACGTGCTCGTCCAGTCGCGCGACAACCCGTGCCTGTCCGCCCCTCGAGTTTTTTAGGCAGCGCGCGAGTGAAACGGGCGGTGTGATCATCTCCGCCGAGGAAGGATGACGCGTGTACGTCGTTGAAGGAGAGAGAGAGGCAGGCTGCCGGAAACAACGCGGGTAAGTTATTTGGCATGTTCCCACACCAGTCCAGTATTCGCTTGCGGCTCCTTTCGTTCGTGCACGTTTCGCGGCACACGTGCGACTTTTCCTGCGACGCGACGATCGCGATCTCGATCGCGCCGAGATATCGGCCGCGTGCGCGGCCTTGCGCGGAAAGATAGTCCTTTGCATCGGATTCGGATCCGCGATTTCATTGATCGGAAATTGATCGTCGCAATCCGCTTTTCGTTTAATCGGACGAGGCATTTGAGTTTACGCGCTTGTTAATTAAGCTGTTTATTGCTTTCACCGTGACTCAGACCACTTTAAAAAAAGAGAGAAAAAGAGCATGTGGTGTATATGAGAGAGAAAGAGGGAGATGGGTAGATAGATAGCGAGAGAAAGAGAGAGAGACAGAAAGGAAAAGGAAGAGAGAAAGGCATAGGTATAATTATTAGTTGGATTATACAGTAACACAGAAGACAGCGTAGACCTAATATATATGTTTAATAAGTATATACCTCTTGACATATACTTGATAAAACAAATGTCTCCTAATTTTGCAAATTATTTATAATTAATGAAAAATTATATAATATATTAAATTATATATTAATACAAATATATTATAAATTAGCCTTATAAATATATTATAAATTATATATTAATATAAATACATTAAATTGTATATTAATATAAAAAATAAAAATAGTGGTTTACTTATCTTTATTTCAATTTATACAAATTACTAAGATTAGGTGTGTTTCAAAAATATATATTTGTCGGAATCTAATATATACTTGTAATAAACTTATCAAATATATTTAAAGGCATTCTCTCAAATCATGCTTTTGTATATAATATGATTTCACATTATATCACATATCATATAAATATTCTAAGACTATAGAAAATTATCTCAGAGAGAAAAAGAAAGTTTCATTCTCTTTATATTATTCTTGTAAATATAAAGCATAATATTATTAACTTTTGTAATGTTGCATACCTTTTTTTTTATTCTTTATAAAAAAAGACACTAAACATCTAAAGACACAAACACAAGCATGTTAGCGGTATATATTTTGTCGAATTGTATTGATTTCAATTATATTGATAGCATAATATAACAGTACAGTAATCGATATCATTATCATTATTATATTGGTACGGTTCAGGGGGTGGATGATAGGAATTTACTGAAAATCCAAGATCAAAGGCATTCAAAACGCTGGAGAAAGACGGCGGAGCTTCGGAGGAGGGGGAGATGTCTGCTGGCACCCAGGGCGAGATCCGGGTTGGCCCCTCGCATCAGGTTTGCCAAAATATATCTTGAAAAACTTTCTAGCTATCTATCGCACATTGTGCCTATTTCAAGGCATGTGCTTATTAGCATAAATGTTTATTACGAGGTAAGGGGCGTGTGGATCGTGCGTATAAAATCGCGAATCGTTATTCTCATACATTAATTGGTCACTATTATATAATGACTCTATAACCGTTAAGATTTTATATAAAGATACAAGGACGATTTTTGTAGTTTTAAATAATTGAATTTTTGTTTTGATAATAAAATTCGTTTCGCAGGAGAGGATATATATTTGCAAAGTAATGGAGAAACACACGTTGTGCAAATTCGATACTTAATTAAATAATTAAATTCATAGATTTCAAAATTGCTTGAATTTTGAATATACATTAAATTACATTAAATTATGAATATCGTATTAAATTATGAATATCATATTAAATTATGAAAGAAAAGAGCTCAATTTAATATTAATATTCCCCTGCACATCTATCGTATATTACATGACAAGAATATATATATATGTAATACATTTTGTCATGGGACATAATATAGTTCTGTTTTATTTTTATGCTAAAAGATTGAACTAAATAATAATAAGTACGACAGAAAGAATCTAGAGATCCTCACACACTCCTTACAGCAATAAATTAAATTTAAATGAATGTAAAAGAGAGAGAGAGAGAGTTGCACATTTGTGCGTACGTGTATGTATGTGCGTCATATATTTGCATGTATTATACATGTGTTTAACAAATACGATTCATTGAAAAAATAGTAAAAGTTGAAGTTTGTATCCTGACGGACGATAAAAAGAATGTTACGTAAATATACATATATGTATATGTGTATACATATGTAATCTAATCTGAAATGTGTAAAGTATCAGTCTCTCGAAGTTTCTTAACAATAAAACCGATAAGAGATATCGAGATCAACATAAAACTTCTTGTAGAAATTCGCATTTTTTTTATCGCACCGAATATTGTTAAATCAATTAAAAAAATGTCGCGTGTTTGATACAAATCCGAGGATACGTGTTAACCGGGCATATTAAGCCACGAGATTCGACGAAATATTTATTTCAATGATAATCTTATATAAGCGCACGTGCGATATAAAATTCTTGTAAAAAAAATTATCTCACAAAACTCTCGAAGATTAAACTTGTTCCGATTTCGATTCCGATGGTTCAACTAACGCATCACGCATTAAAGAGCTTCGAATGTTTCAGGTAGACTGATTTCGTCTGCAAATACATGAAATATCAAGCTCTCGACGATATTTGTTGTATCGCACGTTGTATGAACGATCGCTTCATCATCAAAGTACCGGTATTCGAAAAATAAACCGAGAAGAAAGTCTTTCCTTGCAAATGGGCTGTGCATGAAATACATACTTGAGGGCAATGCGTAATGGCGATAATTGCAATTTACATTTGGCGTGAGATGGCATTTTCTTCATTTAGAGTGGTATACAGTCACGGTGAAGTAATTAAATTGAAACGCGTCCGAGATAAGCGGATCAACTTACCTTCGCACTGTTTGTACTTGTTGGCATACAACAATTATTCGCGATTGCTTACTTGAACCATCTGTGAGCACGAATGTTGTACCGGCGTGTCCCGAAATCTAACGAGTCTCCTTTCATTCCATAACGATTAGGATATAAAAGATATTTAAACGAGATATCTCCAAAGTACGAGAAAACTTTGTTTTTATTCAATAATCGCGTCTGTGTCTGCAATTAATCGAATTAGCAAATTTACTTGTTCGTTGCTTTTGTTCTTAATTTTTCTTATATTTTGCCTCTTTCTCAAATTATTTTACTAAAAATAATTCCAATCGACAAACATATTGGCGATCATGACGTGAAATGATAAAAACATGACTCAAGTTATACTTGTAAATACATGTAATTTGTATCATTAATCTATAATTATCGTAGGTGCCGTGGATAATTATCATGTGCTGTGCGCGCTCTTGCGTGCGAATGTATCTCGCATATATATTTATATAGACAAAGAAAAGTAAAATTATATTACTATTCTCTAGATTTTCACATAGAATGCTCGAAAACGAAAACCGATAAAAAGAGAAGAAATCGCGTTCTTCTTAACGCTGCGTAGCTTTGCCGAATGCAAATAAGAAAGAAAAAGAAAGAGAGAAAAATAAGAGAATAGAGACATGACTTATGTCGATTAGCCCTTGAGAAAGTTAGTCCCTTTAGAAGACAGGCCATTGGGAACGCGTAGGTACGTCATTCTTAACTAACTTGCTTTGGCATTATCTGTGCTAACCCCGCGCAATCCCGAATTTTTGGGATTTACAGGAATTGGTTTCTTGTCAGGCCCGTTTGCCTGAGTATCGGCCGGGTATACCTCCCGGAGAGCTGCCACCCGATCCAGAATTCTCCAAGGAGCGCGAGGAGCTAAGATGGATACCGGCGATGGCGTTGGACGGGGATCTGCTCATGTACTTGAGGGCGGCCCGTTCAATGGCAGCGTTCGCCGGTATGTGTGACGGCGGTTCACCGGACGATGGTTGCGTGGCCGCCGCCCGAGACGACACTACCATCAACGCGCTGGATATCCTGCACGACTCTGGCTATGATCCCAGTAGGGCGCTCCAAGCACTCGTCAAATGTCCCGCACCGAAAGGCATCGACAAGAAATGGTCCGAGGAAGAGACTGTACGTTTCTCCTAATATTTACGACTCATTATGGGTTACTTACGGTGCGACAATGCACGAGGAGGAAGTTTCTAACGGACGGATTTTTCTCCGCAGAAACGATTCGTCAAGGGCCTACGGCAATTTGGAAAGAATTTCTCGCGCATTAGAAAGGATCTTCTACCTCACAAAGATACGGTAAAGATTAATGTTTTACTACTTTTCTCTTTTTTATACACTTCTTTATCTATACTTCTTACTGTGAATTCTTTTATTGACTTCTGGTTCTTTTCTTTTCTTTTTTTACATTTTTTTCCAATCTAAAAAGGAAGTCATATGAGTGAATATTGCGAAGATAAAAATATTGGAGAAAAATTTGTTACAAAAAATATAATTAAAGAAATATATTACATATATATATTTATAAAAATAAAAAAAAGTATCGTTGTTCTATAAAATTATGTCCGATAAAATTGAGAGCCCGAAATTTTTTGTACAAGAGTATTCTTTATAGATAAAGATATATTAAAGCTATAAAAACTGTGATTACACACATATATATTAAAGGTATAAAAACTGTGATCACACACATCACATCAATAATAAAAATTATTTCTTGTATAAGTATATTTTCAAAATTATTTGCGACAAATTTACAGACAATGAATCTTTTGTCTCTCTCTAATAGCTTTATTACGTAACGAAAAAGTTTTACAACGTAATAAAACATCCGTTTTTTAACTCTTGATTTCTCTGCGCAGCCGGAGCTGGTCGAGTTCTATTACTTATGGAAGAAGACACCGGGCGCGAATAATAATCGACCCCATCGGCGACGCAGACAGAGCTCGCTGCGGCGAATTCGCAACACGCGTAACTCTCGTGCTGGCACACCCAAGGAGGAGATCCCTACGCCTACCAAGGACACGCCGCCTGCGGTTAACCTTAGCACGAAGGAGATTGCGTCCGAAGTTGAGACCGTACCGGTCGGTACTCCGGCCAGCCATAATCCAGGCGGCGAGATTAGCTCCGTGACCGAAGACGACAATTCGGAAGAGGACAGCGACTCGCGCGACACCAACACGAACGGAGCGACACATTCGTGTCAACATTGCTTTTCCGCTGGCTCGAAGGATTATCAAGTAGCCGGCAAAGATAGACTATTACTCTGCGCGGAATGCCGGGCACACTTGAAGAAGACCGGGGAACTGCCGCCCTTGCAGCCGTATCTATTCCGCCCGGTGCCCGCGGAATCGCCCGAGAGTCCCGGTAGGATGCGCACGCGGAATAAGGCCAAGGAGACACCGAGACCAGCGAGACCGCGACGAACCGGCGGCGGCACAGACACGCCTGATCAAGAGAAGCAGCAGCAGCAACAGACGCCCGATAAAAACAAGAAAAAGTCGTCCGGTAAAGCCGATACGCCTAAGAAGGGTCATAAACGCTCGGGTCAGACGGACGACACTTGTAACGACGAGGATAAGGAAGCACAAAAGCGAAAACGCGGCAGCGGCGAACGGCCCGACAGCCCGTCCGAATCTCTCACAACCGACAGTAATTCCCTGATGGATGAGCCGGAGAGAGAGACGGAAGGTGACGCAAACGAAAATCAACCGACGCCGCCAACAGTTGCTGGCGTAACCGGTGGAGAAGAACCCGTCAGTAGTCCGGCCGTTACGACGCCCGAGGAACCGTCCGAACCAACGCCGGCATCCACTCCAGTACCAGCCGTGATACAGAGTCTACCGATATCAGTACCGGTGATACATAATTTGGAAAAGAAGCCTTCCGTCTTGTTAGATCAAGAACCGATAGATCAAAACAAGATAACAGACCAGACGGAAGACGTGCCATTGGTCATGAACCAAGCACTGAAATTAGAACCATTGCCGATCGAGTCGACGATGTCGCCAACTATGTCTAATGAAGATGTAGGCAAGGAGCCCGAAACGCAGTTGAATTTGAGCACATCCGCGCAATCTGTTGGAACGGGTCCTAACGATACAGCAAGTCCCGCGGTTACGGTTCGCAATCTGTCGCAAACTATACCGAGTATTATCACGAGCGTAGGCTCGCAAGCAACTATATCGAGTTCACAAATCCCGGTGATTTCGCCCGGTCAGCAACAGACCGGCACTGGTCCCGGTGGGTTGCCGACGAGTCTCAGTATGCAGTACGTGCAACCGCCACCACCACCGCCACCGCCGCCGGTGCAAAACGTGCCGCAGAATCTTTCGCAAAGTATGGCGCCGCAGATAACGTCGAGCAGCTTGCCGCCAAACGTGCCGAATATGGGACCAACAAACCTTCGCGGCCACGTAACCGAAAGCTTGCCAACTTCCGTGCAAACACTGCCGCAAAGCATGTCGGGACCGCCACCATTGAATCTCAATATCTCGCAGAGCGTGTCGGCCGGTATTGGTGGCCCGATCGGCCAGATGCCGCAGATGCCGCCAATGTCAAGCTCGCCACAACCGCTTGGCTTGACTGTAATGTCATCCGAGAGTAGAAATGCTGAAAGAATGGTGGACGATAGACTGTCGGTGAACGATCGAGTGCGCGATAACCGAGCTCCCGATTCTCGTATGATGTCGGAGCGCGTGTCGGAACGAACGAACGAGAACAATGAGTCGGAACGATCGGAACCGAGTAACTTATTTCAGCCGATACAGTCCGGCGGAATGTTGCAGATGGAGAAGCCTGCAGGTATCTACAATTTACCAGCCAGTACACCACCGATGGAGCCGCAGAATCTAAAGATTAAGCAAGAAATTATACCACCAGAGCCGGATCCTCTACAGAGCTTGAAAGAGGTTAAGGTACCAGGCTTCCAGAGCTCCAATTTTCCAGGTCCGAGTTTGGACAATATAAAGAAGGATCCGGATGGCGCGAGCAAACCGCCGACGCCGAGCAAACACTCTATGCCGCCGGTTAGTCAAGCGGTACCGTCAATTCAGCCGGTCGCGGCATCGCCAACACCGACTCCTAACCTACCGCCGCCACCCAGCTCGATCCCTCAACCAGTGATGCATCCGGCGCAGCAGCCGAGTCCACATATGGCCCATCCCTTCCATCCACATCATCCATTGATGCATCATTCTTTGTTCACCGCTATGCATACGTATCATCCTCATGCCTATCCAGGATACGCACCAGTTGGAGGATACCCGTCTTTCCCACCATACGCTTACGGTCCAGTACCTCATGCTATTCCGCCGCCCTCGCCGCAACGAAGTCAAGAAAGCGGGAGTGCTATGATGACAGCGCATCATGCTAGCGCCAGCTCAAGTGTTGCAAGCAGAGAAGAGGGCGAGAATCTAATCGCGAGTCATCACCATTCGTCTAGTATGCATCAGCAACCGACGAATTTGCACCACGACAAGTTATTGACCATCTCTTCTCATAGCTCTCACAGTCATTCGTCGTCCCATAGTTCGCATAGTAGCCAGCGCAAACCGTCACTTGTCTCGGCTACGTGTCTAACATCGTCGGCTAGTTCCGTGCACCACCATCATCGTGCATCACAGCCGCAACAACCACAGCCGATCGTGCAGGAGCCAAAGATCGAACAAGACATGGAAACCGAACCGGAAGAGCCCATTAGTCCCCGTGGACCGTCGCCGGAACCGCGAATTGAGGATTCCGAATGTCACCGTTCGCAGTCGGCGATTTTCCTGAGACATTGGAATCGCGGCGAAAATAACTCGTGCACGCGCACTGATTTGATGTTTAAACCAGTGCCTGATTCGAAACTCGCAAGGAAGCGCGAAGAACGTTCGCGGAAACAAGCAGAACGAGAACGAGAGGAGCGTGATCGCGCCGCTGCTGCAGCTCAACAGGCTAGAAAAATGACGACACCGGAGAAACAACCCGAAGTGTGCAAGCCGCCCAGCCGCGGACCTCTCGAGCCGGTCGTCTCGCCGTACGATCGTTATACCGCGCGTCCTGGTTCTTACGCGGACACGCCGGCTCTCAGGCAATTGTCCGAATATGCTAGACCACATGCCGCTTTCTCACCCGCCAGACATCCCGCTCCGCCCGATCCGATGTTACATTATATCTATGGACGAGAGGCAGCAGCGCAACGACTGGAATTGGAACATTTGGAACGAGAAAAGAGAGAACGAGAGATACGCGAATTACGCGAGAGAGAATTGAACGATCGATTGAAGGAGGAGTTGTTCAAAGGCACACCTAGACCGATGCCAGCACCGCCGGTTGATCCACACTGGCTAGAGATACACCGTCGATACGCCGCCGCTGGTCTGACACCAGGCCCTTCCGGACCGCCCCAGGCCTTACATCAGTTTGGTCTTTACGGCGCTCCACCGGGTCCGAGTCAACTCGAGAGAGAACGACTCGAACGGCTAGGTAACTATTAATTAAGCTAACATTTCATAATATTTCATAACAGCGAATGTAGAAGTATAGACTTAGCGTCGACAATTATTCCTTCGATCGTACGATTTTTAGAGTTTGCAAAATTGGAATTGATTTAAGAACATATAGTCAAAAGGTTGATAGAAAAATCGGTAGGCTGGGAAGAAAGATGGAATTAGATTGAGAGCGCCAAGATACTTTTAGAGAGATGCGCACGATATAGTTAAACATAAATGTTCAAATTCTAATGGCCGATTTCTTCAGCGCCAATTAACTGTGTTGATAAGATAGCCTTGGCTATTCTTGCAAGCTAACCTTGGCTCTCTGTGATAACTAGTGATATATTATTAGAACACGAGGTTTTCTTTCGAATAATTTTATCCAACGGTTAGCTGGAGATGAAGAAATCGGGCATCGATGAGAATCGTATCTGTGATCTTCGAGTTATGTGATCGAAGCGCTGTCGCGTTTAGGGATTCCGACTGCAGCCGGCGGGGGGCCAGCGGGTGGAGCGGCTGGCCATCCCGTGGCGGCTCATCATCACGGCCAGTTGGAAGAACGGCTGGCTCTGGCCGCTGACCCGATGGTCCGATTACAAATGGCTGGCATCTCGCCCGAGTATCACGCTCACACTCACGCGCATACGCATGCGCATACGCACTTGCACTTACATCCGGGACAGCAACAGGCCCAGCAACAGGCTCAGCAACAGCAGGAAGCCGCTGCGGCTGCGGCTGGATTTCCTCTGCCGGGTAGGTCCTTATATACAGGATGTTTCTTCTAAGCTTCTCCTGAAGAGCTTGTCCTTTTAAGAAAACGCCGCTCTCGCTTATTCCTCGTCGCTCAACAGCCGTTTCTCATTGATTGTCAATCTACACTTACCGTTTAGATCGAGACGATCTTTTATTTTCTGCACCATATCAGCACGCCTGCGAATTTCCGGTTGCTCGACTCTGATCTCTGGTTAGTCGCTTATCACCATCGCAGGTGCAAGTGCGAGTGAGTGTTGTCGAGGAATAGGCGCGAATGTGCGTGTGCGTATACTTTAGAAATGAGAAATAATATTTCTGAGATATTTCGTCGGTAGTTGAAAGGGTTCGACGGTTGCAAATTTCGCGCGTAGTTTCTTCTATCTTTGCAAGATAAACGTATATGCTTTCGCAATCTTATAACATGTTTCTACCAATACTCTTGTAAAACGAATATTAAATGTGAGGCACAATGTTAATATAATAAATAAATGTAATAATAAATATTTTATAATGTTCTTTTGAATTCATATTTTTTTTTAACACGGTGATATTTTCGTTCACAGCTGCGGCCGGCGCCAATTATCCTCGTCCTGGTTTAATGCCACGCGATCCTGCTCTGGCACTTCATCCGGCGGAACTTCTTGGAAGACCATACGCGGACATGGCAGCACATCACGAACAGTTGCAACGGCATCTCATGATCGAGCGCGAAAGATTTCCTGCGCATGCATCTCTTGTAGCTCATCATGAGGAATACCTGAGGTTTGTAGGCATTTGAAATCATTATCAAAACTTGCCTAACTTGCTACTGCATCATACTATGATTTAAGGTAGCGGGATATCCGCACTAACAAAAGGTGTTTTTTAGACAACAGCGTGAGCGCGAGCTTAAAGTTCGCGCGCTGGAAGATGCCGCACGTGGATCGCGTCAATAATTATATTTTTTATTTATGTACATACAATATATATATAGTCTCTTGATTGCGTTTAAGCGCGATATATTAATATACATATATGTATATATATATATATATATACATATGCGCATATGTGTTGCATATATATATACGCATATATATTATATATATTCGAGCGTTCTTTCAACGCATCGATGAGTTAAAGATTTAAAACAGAATCGGATCTTGCTTTGTAATCTATATATATATATATATATATATATATATATATATATATATATACATATATACATATTCTTTAAGATCAGAAATTATTTTTATGATCTTTCAGATCGCGCAACGTAAACGATAAAAATACAACGTACTGCGAGCATAATCATTGTAACTCTCATTATTGTAAATAACACGACAAGATATTTGAGCTCCCCGGTACTGTAATGTTCAGTACTGATATTCTTTAGAGTGATCGAGATTTATATATAAACGGCAGATATGTAAGCCGTTCAAGTTTTTAAATATTATCTTGTTAATTCTTACAATTTGCTATCGACAATATCACAGTTTGTCGGTCTTGCCCGTTTTGTTCAATTGACTGCTTTTCCATTTGATTTTAAGTAGTATATGCCAAAGCGCTTGTACAAGATAAAATTATATCGTATTCTTTTTTTTTAATTTAACATACATGTAGATATTATATATATATTTTTTTTTATATTTGTTTCAATAAATAGAAAATGCGCGTAAAGTCATCGTCATATAGAAAGAGATAAAAAAAAAGATCGCTAGAAAAGATAAGAGAGCGATCTTAAAACGAACGGAATCTTTCGTTTGTACATCTTTTTATATCAAAGAATTTTGCGACTTTTAATTAATTTTATTACATTTAATGATGAAAAAAAATTGAAACGATGTGAAAATTATGTCTAATAATTAAAAATAATAAAAATAATATAAAAAATATCAACCATAAGTCATTTTAGTGGTAATTTTTATTTTCTTTGCATTTTTATTATTGAATCAACTACATGTGCTTTATTATCCAATATCTAGTAGAAGGAGTATCTTAATAGGAGTGTATGTATATATATAAAACTTGTCCGTGCGCACGATATATTAATAAAATAATAATTAAACTTTGATTATATTTTTACGCAACTATATGATACGATCAACAGACAGAGATATGTAAATATAATACAATGTATAAATCAACACAAAAAATTTAATGTATATTAAAAAAAGAGTTTGACATGATTTTTTGTCGCATTGTAAGTCCAAACGCATATTCGTTTTCTATTCTACTACAAACTCATTCATATACAAACTACTACAATAATTAAAGTTCGATAAAATGACATAAAAGTTTTTTGAGATGTATAAACGAAGTATCTCGCTCATTTAAGATTGCTGGACTCATTACCTCCTAGCGATTTACATTTTTTTCTTTTATACAATTTCTGCTTTTATACGACGTTGTTTCAACTAATTTCAATTATTGTGATACCTGTAGAATGGAAAATTAATATGCATTTATATGTTTATAACGCCAGAAAATTATAAATTTAATTATCAATTACTTAATTAAATAGCTTCATTACATCGAATCAATTATACAACGTAAAATGTAAATATCTCTTAATGGTCATAAGATTACATTCTTTTAACATTTAATATTGTAATTCATAAATTATTTAAAAATAAAAATTGTATCTTATTTTATTTTATTTTTATTTTTTATTTATTTTTAATTTAACTTTTTACATCAATATATCTTGATCGTATCATATAATAATATCATATAATAATATGAAACTGTAATCTAAATTCATTTTATCATTTTATTAATCAGACATGTATGTTTACATATACACACATATATTTTTATTTAGATGTATCGTTTTATTGCAAATCTTTGATAACAAAACATGTATAATTGATCAATGCTAAAAATACAAAATAATAAAATTCAAAAAGAAATGCTTACCATTTAATGATTTATGAATGATATTTCTTTGATAATATTAAATATTGAAGTAATATAATCTTATGATCCAGTGACCATTGAGAGATATGTACATTTTATGCTATGTATTTAATTCGGTGTAATGAAGCTATTTAATTGAATAAACATTTCGTACGAAACTCAAATATGATTCAAGTTTCTTCTTTTCAGTTATTCTCTTAATTAATTTTACAATTCGAGGAGATTATTACATTGTAACGTTTCAATTCGATGAACATTGCAATAACATTGTAACGAGATTTAAATTCTTTAGCATCTCACGGCAGTATAATCGCGTAAAAATGAACAAAATGAGGAAAATGAATTAGTTTTGCAGATGGAATTTGTTTCCTTTGCTTTACTCTATCACTCGGTCGCTACGGTCATCTACGTTTTTTATTAAGCGTAATGCGAAACGCAGCCGCCGACCACTTTATATGGAATGCATTACACACTCGGTGTGCACATACGTGTATACAGGGTGATTCATTTTAATCTTATCAGGCAAATATTTTGAAAAATATGCGAGATACAAAAAAATCTTTCAGACAAAAGTTATATGATTTTAAAGGAGATTTTGAGGGTGATCTTCGCGTGATCTTCAAGTAACTATTTAAGGTCAAATTAATGATACCATTTTATGTCTCCTTTAAAACCATATAACTTTTGTTTGAAACATTTTTTCGTATCTCACATATTTTTCAAAATATTTGTCTGTTAAGATTAAAATGAATCATCCTGTATATGAGAAGCAGGGACGAAATTGAATGTATTGTTTGAATTCTAGCGCAATCGTATTTTATATATATATATATATATATATATATATATATATATATATGTACAAATTAAGTGGTAAATTAAATTTTTGAAAATGCGAGAAAATAACGATGAAATATGTAATAAAATATGGATTAGATTAATATAACTTTGACTTTTATTTTGATATTCTCGCAGATTTCAATGTTGAATTAATTAAATAATACATTTACCACACACACATAAACAAAAGATATAATATTTATGTAATTATAATTTATTTATTCTTCCTGCGCTTTTTCTATATTTTCGTTGCCGCAATTTTTGCATATTATAATAAATATCAGAAAAAAGAGAAGAAGAGACGGAAGAAAGTACGGAAAGGAAAAGAGAGAGACAGAGAAAATATCCGCTCCTGATCCTACACATGTGCGGGTCACATGAGTGTCGAGTTTAACTGAGAAAAAGAGGGAGTAAGAGCAAGGAGAGGGAGGAGAAGAACGACACGCGGAACTGAGGGATGTTAAGCGTGCGTAACATACCAGAGATGAGGAAATTTCATATTCCGGAGGAAAGGAAAGAGACTGTGAATCAGTCGCTCATTGATAAAGACAGCGTTTTCGTAAATAGTCTATTCTGAGGTTCTGTGTCTAACAATATGGCAACACGTAAAGAAGAGACAACGAAGCAGCGATACCAAGCAAACGCTCGAGAAAGGGATCGCACTCATAGGTGAAAAACATTTTGCATTTATAGTTAAAATTTTTTAATGTCAGGAAACGAGTAACAGATAATACATAAGCTAAAATGTTTGAAGAAGAATGGAAAAAGTATCGATTTTCTATTGTGCAAAGATGAAGGATTTAGAGAACGTGTGTATATTTTCGCATACAAAGTCTCTTTCGATAAGAATACAAATTTATCTTCAAATTTCTCTTCTATTTAACATAAATATAATGAACGAGATGTAATGAATGTAGCGATCATACATAATACAAACACACAATTGAAAAATATGGTCTTGTGCAGCGTGAACACGGCTTTCACCGTACTGAGAACTTTGATTCCAACGGAACCGGCTGACCGGAAGCTATCGAAAATAGAGACTTTAAGATTGGCCAGCAGTTACATTAGCCATTTGGATGCTATACTCATCGCGGGTGCCATAGATCAACCCTGCTCACGTCTCCTGAAAAATAGCGACGTTTATTCGACAAGACCACAAGTTTGTACTTTTTGCTTGGCAATGCATAAAAAATATGTAAGTTGTAATTAGTATTTTAGTAAACTATACGTTTTGAGAGACATAGTATTCTCTATTTTATATTGTACAGTGTGGTGTGTGATTGTAGAATACTTTCAATACAAAAAGAAAAATATATAAATGTAAAATATATATAGAAATTATAAAAAAATATATAAAGATATATATATATATAAATTTATAAAATTATATATGTGTATATAAATTTATAATTATATCTACTTTAATTATAAATATTTCTAAAATTATATATGATTTATATATATATATATATATATATATATATATATATATATTTAGTACCAGCCAAAAGTATATCATTTTTTGGTTTTTTTGAGGATAACTTAATTCAAAATGCATATATTTAATTAATTTTTTAAAATTGCTGTTTTCATTATCGAATGAAAAGTCTACTGTTCAATAACCTAGTATATGTACTATTAAAACATATGTGACTAAATAGAGAGATATATACACTTTAAATTAAGTTATTCTCAAAAAACATAAAGGTGGTATGTTTTTGGCTAGTACTGTATATATAAATCATATATGAATAATTAATTTATGGAAAAATATCAATGATATTAATGATATTAGAAAATATTAAGAAAAGATTAATTTTCAACTATGAATTTTTAATTAATTTTATAAAAATTTTTATATCTGTATTATTTTATAATTTTCTTGAAATGCGATTTGTATGTTTTTTTCTCCATTTAATATATTTACAATTAATTTATGCGATCAATAATGCGATTATTAAATTTGTTTTCTATTGTGAAACTTTAGAATTTTAACGTTTCCGAAATAATTTCTGATTACGAAATGTTGAAGCAGTGCTGTGCATCTTTATGCCAACGAATATAATGCGTGTGTTTTTATGTAAATATAAATAATGTTTAAAATCTAAAAATTAACTATATAATATTTGTATATTTATTATAAATATTACTTATGATTTTTTGCAGTATATAAGAATTATATATTAATTTTATTAAGAATTACATTAATTACAAAAAATCACATTAATATACATTTTTTATATACATTTTTTGACATTTTGATTTTATTGGATAATGTAATTTATATATATTTATATATATATATATATATATATATATATATATAAATATCTAATATTTACAAATAATATGGAAACTTTCCATTTTTAAATATAAGAAGATATGTTACGATTGCAGATTTTGTTATCAAGAAATGTATTTAATTTTCAAAATTATTCTGAATTTTTCCAAAATTAACAAAACGTTATAAACATTTTAAAAATTTATATATCTTTTCGAATTAATTGTTGATAAAACACTACAAATCGCTTCAAATTTAGAGTTAATTAAGGATGTCATTACTTTAAGTTGCCTTAATTTTATAATTATTTCTCTTTCGTACAGTTAAAATAACGTTAAAACAGGAAAAAATTATCCCTCTTACATTTTTGATCGTGTATATTATCAAAACACTTGAATATCAATCTTGCGCCAGTCAATTACTTCGACTACGTTAATCGATGTAATATCTCATCTAATTATACGATCATGTAATATTATATTTCGCATTTTTAATAATCGATGCGCCTTTTTTTATGAAAAATAATTCTTCCGAATTTTTAAATTTTATCGAAAATTTGTAATCTTCCTCATAATATAATACATTCTATTGATAACGTGCAATCCAATAGTTGCTTCGATCGGAAGTTAGACTCGGAAAGATTGCAACGAACAATGCATTGAGTTCCGTGATTCATTTTAGTTTCAGTTCCCGTTTTTTGTGCACGTTTTCTCGTTTATCGTTCGTATTTTAGTATTTCATTATTCGAATTTCTTCGGTTATATATCGAATTGATGACTGGATGACGCCTAATATCGATAACGACGTGGCTCATCGACTCAAATTCAGGTATCCTCGAGGCTTATTCAATATAGGACACGAATCAAGGTGTAACGTGCGAGGACATTCATAACGTATTGAACGTAAGTTATTTATCTGATTTGTTCTTCGAATAAAATATTTATTTTTTTCATTATATGCGAAGACAATTTCTGACGCGAAACATTTACATTTGTACGTAGAATGATTATTTCCGCAAAGAACACAGCAATGCATATATAATGCAAAAAGAAATGAAATAATTAATAAGATTTTCCAAAAGGGCAAAAAGCTAAATTATTACATATGTTTTTTACGGTATAACTACTTCTTTGCCACATTTGTTGTACAATAGTAATTAATTATTTGCATTAAAACTGCGTTTCTGAGACGTATTTTCCACGAGCGCGTTTCAACGTTATGTCTGTCATGATTTATTAACGTGAATGAAACACAAATATAATATCTGTGAAACATGATCCTAAGGATGATGGTGCAGGGGATAAATAGACGTATATTATACGCAAATGCCGACTCAATTAAACAAAATATTGAAAGAAGGGTGAAGAATTAGATAATATTAATTCAATCAAGATAAATTTTAATACATTGATTGCCGTTAGATCTATGTTATATTACCGCCATTTTATGGCTTCGTGCTCTTATATCTAGTGACGCATTTTGACACTCTAAAGTCGTTGGGGCCCTAGATTAGGCGCGCGCCTACTGCATCTAACAAGAAATACGTCGCTGGTTATATTTCTGTTAGTAAAACAGGCACATAATACGAATGCAGTCGACGCAACTTTTGTCAGAATTCGTCGTCAATCTTTTGATAGATTACTGACAATCTGCATGCTGGGCGAATTATTCCGATCGGTAAGTCAGCTGAATATATTGAACGAAATATATTTCCTTCATTTGCTACCTTTTCATAAAACGACTGAGCATTTTGGTACAATGATAACAATTCCCTCATTGTCAATGTCTATGACGAGTATTTTGCGGCGATGTAAATGTGGCAACGCGTGCAATTGCCAGACAATCGACGTATTAACCGACATCGCATGAATATTTAAATGTGCACGTGCGTCCAATTTGAGAGTGCCCAGAGCAGAAAAGAGACACAGGATCTGTCATTGCAGCTGCACTGTTGCTCTCCTGCTATATTCGATCTTGTATGAAACAGATGAATATACGCGTAAAGAAAAGAGGAAAAAAAATATAAGGAGTATAGTAGTTGAAGTACATGCAGTTGCAAGAATAGAGAGAGAGAGAAAGAGATTTATATATATAGTATATAAATATATATCCGTAGTATACATATATATATATATATATATATATATATATATATATATATATATATATACACTACATATGTCCAGGACGTCGCGATTGGCTTTACCCTCCCTCGATAAAAGGCGCGCGCGCAGTCTTGATAGTTCCGCGACTCGACCTTACGCGGCGCTGCACCATCGGCCGCCATCTTGTAAGAGTTGCCTGTCCGTAGTGTTTGGAGGTTTACGCGAGACGGGACGGCAGCTTCTCCGCCGGAGGCTGGAAGTGCTGCTGAAGTGGTCGGTGCAACGGTCCTTGGCAGTCCCTGGGCATCCAGGTGACCTCGCGCGAGGCCAGGGTACCATCGAGCCGCCGAGACAGCCGCCAACGGATCCTCCTGCGCATTCGAATCCGTCGAAAGATGGTGAGTGTCCAACGTTAACACCCTCGAAAGAGAGAGGGAGAGAGAGTGAGATGGAGAGAGAGAGAAGGAGAACCTAGATATTTATCGGGGCGACGATGTGTTTTTCTTGTTCCTCGTGTCGTGCGACGTCGTCATCGTCGTCGTCGTCCTCTCGTTTAACGCGCGCGCGCCGATATTTTTCCGTAAAATCCCCCTTTAACCTATACGAGATAGAACGAGGAAAACGATCGCGAGAATCATCGTCGACGACGAGGACGACGACAAACGACACTCGATCTGTCGAGACACCCCGCGTTCGAAAGTGTCGTTCGCGCCAAGTATTCCTCTCTTCTCTTTCCCCTTCCTCTCTCCCGCTGCTCTCGTTTTCTCAGAGGCGATCTCACCTGACGAGCTTCCGTGGCGCGCGGTGTAGAACGAATATACGTACGCGTAACGTTCGGGGAAGTGGTCGTCGCGCTTCTCGGACGATCCTCGTCTGTTGTTCTCCGAATCTCCAGGTTTTATCGTCGAGGAATGCGGCAGGGCGGTCGAATTACGCGAATATCTCGCGCGTCGTCCTAAACAGGGAGTCTGTCAAAATCTTAAACGTCACGGAACGTGCGTGAAAATGGACCTTACGGCCGCAGTCGCGCGTACATCTCGCGAGTGTAAACATAGAGATGATTTTCGCGGATCCCGCGACGACGAGACTCGGGTTTGATCGCGCCACGAGAGGTAGCGTTCTCTCTCTCTCCTCGCTCGACACGTTCGAGACGATGCACGTCGTGTATGTTGCTCGCTTGTTTAATCGGTTGTTTGTTTGTTTGCGCTTTTGGCTGTCATCGCCTATCGAGAGGGTGGGGTAGTCTCGCCGCGCGAGAGGCCTTCCCGTTTCTTCCGTTCCTCGCACATGTTTGCACTTGCGTCGCGTGCTTCCGCGTGAAATTTCGCGTTAACTAGAATGTGTCGACGTGTCGACGAGTCCGATTCTCTCTCTGCCACTAGTCAATATTCCGCGTAGTGCCTCGTCTCTCGCGTCCCAAATGCCGATCACGCAGCTGCACGCATAACGCCTAATCTCCGCGTAATCTGTCATTCTCTCGAATCGACTTCTCGTTACTCTCGTTTTGATTCCTCGAATAGAAATCTGGGGTAACCTTCGCCGGGGTTCGTTGAGCGAGAGAAATGTTCGATAGTGTATGTATATGTACATGTGTGTATACGTATATAGTAATCGTTGTATGTATCTAATTGAAAGATTTACGAGTGTCTTTAGAGAAGAATTATTTAAAAAATTTATATCATTTTAAAAATTATTATTTCTGAATTAAGATTTTTTTCCCTAGTGTATTTTTCATTGAAATTGTTAGATAACGTCAAATGTATGTAAGGTGAAAAAATACAAAGCGATCCAATATTTTGAATAAATTGTTAACGAATGTTTACAAGTAAAATAATGCATATAATGCGTATAATAATATGCATTTGTGGTATAAAAATATAAAATACAGATACCGTATAATAATTCTTATTACTTTGTCAAAGATAAATAGCAGATAAATAACAAGAAAAGTGAATAAATGTTTTTTATGACTTCTTAGAATATTAATATGTAGATTCTTATGCGATCTCATTTCCAATTCAATGTTGCGTTGTGCAATTTGGTGATTTCTTTTCCTCTTTTATGTGACACATCGCGGCTTGTTTACTTTTCTTTCTTTTTCCGATTCTATCATTTGAGCGTTACCGTATTTTATACACAGTGTCATTAGTGAAATTTAATAATTTATTATCTCTTGTATTTTCATATTTAATAATTTATTATCATTTGTATTTTCATATTTCCCTTTATTCTTCTTCATACAAATGTATTTTTTAAACCGCCTTGAAATGAAGTCGATGAATTGATCGAAATTCATTGAGACTTCTCACGTGACTTTTGTACACACTTTGCGCCACCTTACATCTTTAATTTTACTGCGAAAAAAATTAAACTTGTTAATAAATTTTGTTCAAAGATATTTAATTAACGATGAGATATTATTAAGGAAAAATACCAATTGTGAAAATCATATGTCAATATAGCTTTTCCGATTAAAATAGATGAAAAATATATAAACAATGGCCAAAAATTGCATATTTTCTGCATATACCTTTCTATTATAAATTTATATATGAAGAAACTGTTATATACAAATGATGAAGAAAATCTATGATGAAGAAAAAGAAAATGATGTAATTTTACGTAATAAATAAATCGTGATTAATCTTTTATAATAGCTAAAAAGCTATAGCTATTATAATAAACTCATCGAAGATTTCCACTATAAATATATTGCTGTGACTCATCGTTTTAAATAGCTAAATTTTAGTAGTCTCTTAGTCGACTTACGATAATTTGTATGAATATATGTTTATGTAATACGATAAAGTTATGCTCTTTAAAATGGATTATATGTGAATATATGTGAATAGGTATGATACTTTAATAGTTTCGCTACGCATTTGATTTCAAAGGTGAAACATCTATACTTCCGAGAAACATGAAATATAAACTTCTGGTCATCGTTCTGTACACTTTTTCTCATTTGATATTTGCGATATTTTCGCGACATAATTTTCCACATTCTCGACCTGTAATTTGATTTGTTTTCGTTCACCGAGAATTCTCTTAATTAACGATCGGTGTTTATGTTTGTATATAATTTATCAGCGATGCGCTTTCGAGTAATATCGCGATTAAATCGATGTTTAGAATTTTAATGATAGTGTACTAATATAAGAGAAAGGTCGAAGCATTGTCGAGAAAGAACGACATCGTTTACATATATGTACTTTATAGTTATAATAATTTTTTTTAATGTTTTTAATTTATTAATTTTTTTAAATTTATTTTTTTAATTTATTATATTTATTATATAATTTTTTTAAATTTATTTAATTTATTATTTTTGTCAGTACGCGAATTTATTATTACAAGAATAAATTATTGATTTACATGTCGTGAAAGATAAATTATTATCGAAGCATACTTTCTCTGACCGCGAAAATCGTGAAAAGCTAGGTATCAGAATTAATAATTAAGTGAATGCGTGTTAATAACGAATTAAACTACACTATGACAGCTATGTATCAGAATTAACATGCATTCCCTTAAAATCCAAATTTTTTCTTTCATTTCATTCACAACTAATTTTATTTTATTTTTTTATTTTTATACAGGTTTTATCTGTTTGTCAAAAGCAATCATATTGCGGTTCCGAACATGCCAGATACTATTGAATGTGTAAAATATTATAAGCGGCATAATTAAGATTTTAGTATTACTTTTCCAATTGTATGTCGAGGAATCGAGAAAAAAAAGAGATAGAGGAAGAGAAAGAACTGTCTCTCTGAGCGATATGACGAATAAAAGAAAAAACTTGATTTGATTGTTGTATAGAGTTCGGCTTCGACCGGTGGTACGGAGGGGTCTAGTCCTGCCTCTAGCCCTGCCTCGGCTGCGAGTCTTACGATGGCTGCGCCGAAATACGGTACGTTGGTACCGAATCGTATTTTCGTAGGTGGCATCTCGGCGAGCACCAGCGAAGCGGAGCTCGCACAGCTTTTCTCGGCCTACGGCAATGTCAAGGCTACGAAAATTATCTCAGATCGCGCTGGCGTATCCAAAGGCTACGGCTTTGTCACCTTTGAAACAGAGGAAGAAGCCAAACGGCTTCAACAAGAGGTTTGTAATTGATCGCGCTCTTTGACGATTCATACGATTGAGATATACATATCGAACTTTTGATCTTTTTCATTGGCTTATTTTTCTTTTCACTTCAGGCCGAATGCATTGTTTTGAGAGAAAGGAAGCTTAATATAGCGCCCGCGATTAAAAAGCAGCCCTTCTCTAGATCCTTCGACGGTAGTACCGGTTCGCCTCCTTCCGTGCCTACAAGTACTTACTATTATGCGAACGGTACGTTACATATAATTGTACATATATTATATACTCGGCGCGATGATTGAGGACTGCAAAGATTGCATTTCTAATCGTTTCTCTCTCCTGTTGCATTGTATAGGTATGGGTCTCGCTTATCAGAATGGTATGACGTTCTATAATACGGCAGCTCCCGCACCGGCGACTTCTATCGCTCCACCTACGGATCCAGGAACGATTTATCAAGCCACAGGAGTGTTTGGTAAGCATTACTCGAATGTTATATATATATATATATATATATATATATGTATATATAATGTATATATATGTTATATGGTATATGTCTATATAATGTATATATGTTATATATATATATATATATATATATAACATTATATATAACATTATAACACACACACACATACATAACATATATATATACACACACACGTTCATACAGTCACTGTAACATTTACAACAAAACGAAAGAGATTGTATGAATATTTTATCAATATATTTAATTATATTTATGATTTTTCTAATACATCAAATTATTAATTCAATTATATCAATTATGTCTATAAAAGATAGAAATAAGTGTAAATAACATTATCGTAAGACGAATTTTTTTAGAAAATATAAACATACACAATCTTTGTCTAATCTAGTTACAGCCATACACTCCTTGATTTATAACATATTCGACAAGTTAAATTTATTAATTTTTGAACGTTTTTTTTCCAGGTCCTCAAGCTGCCACCAATCATCAAACATTCGCTCCTGTAATGTATCCATGTCCAGCTCCATCGCTGTACATGCCACAACAATATCAGTATTCGCCTATACCGGTATGTAAAAAGATACTTCTTCCCTATTGGTTTTTATATTCTCCTCTTTCATTTTCCAAGTTTAGCTGTTCCTTGGGTTTCCTCTCACACGTGTAAACATATAGATAGATCCTAGCGTAAGATCCTGACCGTCTTTGTCTGTATCTTTATTAAATGGTGTATATCGGTTACGGTTTGACAGACAAACGGTCTGATGGGAGAAGCCATACCACCGGCGTTTCTACCCAACCCTCAGCAAATGCCTACTTACGTTCTTCTCGACGCTATACAGTATTGAGGTCTAAAGGTATAAGGTCTTTGGCAAAACGATTAGCATGTCGCTCGTCATTTCTTGAACATTTCACCTTTTTTCCTTTTGCCATCTCTTGATGCACAACTTATCGATGCATGGTTGTTTCATTGCCTTTATTGTTTCACGATTCGTAACTTATATTCACCGATGTCAGAACATTTTTGCTAATTTTTAATAATTTCAAAATTTGTTATAACTGCGAAACAATTGAATATAATCGAAATAAAATACGTAAAAGAAACGCATATTGAGGAATGTATAACAGAAAAAAATTAAATAATATAGCATATCTAATTAATTACAATAAATAAAATAATCAATATAATGGAAAATAATGATAGTAAATGTAAATGTAAATGCATCATTAATAATAATATAATTTTATTAACATTTATTAATGAGACTGATAGTGTGGTAATAATATTAATAACATAATAAATGATAATGTATTTAGATATAATCATTTAAAGTAAAAATTTATGTGCATATAAACAATAATAAACAAAAAAAAAATAATCGATAAATTTTAATAATTAGCTTAAAAATATCGTACATTTATTTGATATGATTTCTTTATTCTTTTTCTTCTTTATTTTTTTCTTGATTTAATTTTTATTAATGCATAATTTTTTAAATAAATCATAATTAAATATTGCAACAGAGATGCTTACTGATTGTATACTTGTTCAGCATGTTTGCCTGCTTCATTTTCCCTTTCGTAGTTCACTTTCTGACTTCTAAGTCGAATTTAATTCATCGATGAATTTTTAAGTAGCACACGATTTTTTCGTGTAGTAAGACGCTTTATTGAGACAATATTGTGTAACTATAATTACCTTATAATAGACTTCTTTTCGAGCCAAATACTTTCGATACTTGGGAAAATAGAATCAAGATAGAATATGCCGAAGATTACTTTCTGTTTTCGAGTATGTATTATAAGCAATATATAGATATGCACGCAATGGTTTTAAATGGCTTTATCTGAATATTTTTTCATTTTTTATGACATATATATATATATATATATATATATATATATATATAATAAAAAACAGTAAGAAGACGATTTACATCAATAAATTGCTAATAGTGACGCTATGTAATAATTAACGCTTCATCTATCAATGTAATCCCTGATTGTTTGACTTGTTTCTTACGCACACATCTCTTTCCTAACTTGGAATAAGGAAATTTAGGAAATTACAGGTCATTCATTATGGAAATATACATCGAAGTATACTATCACACTTGTGATTTCAGTTATGTTTATAGATTGATTTATTTTCATTAAAACAGCGCTATTCCCGTAAGCATTAGTTAATTAATTCAATCAATTTACCATCTCTTTCTACTTCTATTTTTAAATAATACAAGGGACATCGATTAAATTTAACATCTTCACATAAGAATGCCATTTATATTTCTTTTATAGTTATGTCTTTTATATATGGCTCTTAATCTTTTCCTTGTTTATATATTTATTTTTAATTATATTAAATAATATGCTTTAAACGTAAATCAAAATTCTAAATTTTTAGTTGCAAATGCTATATATATACATATATGTGTGTGTGTGTATATATATATATACAGCATTTGCAAAAATTTAGAATTTTGATTTACGTTTAAAGCATATTATTAAAGCATATGACATTGTAATTTTATAATTGATTAAAATAAAAATAGTGAAGTAATTATAATTACAATGCATTCCTAGTTTTCTCGTCAACTTATATTTAAAATAATTTATCTAATACATTCGAACAGAGTAAAATCTGTTTATTCCTGAAAATAAAATATAATGAAGGATTGACTGAATGTTTACGTGAATGGTGCATAAACATGACAAATCAGTATTTATACTCCCGAGTGACTGGGTATATATTTAATATATATATATATATATATATATATATATATATATATAAAATTTTATATATAAATTTAAACATGTTCCTGCTCCTGTTTTGTCTACAGTACGAACCGTACTACGCAGGAGCGGCGGCCGCCGCCGGAGCACCTCAGTATTTGTACGCTACTACCGGTGGTTCGCCGAGTAATACGAGCAACGGTGGTAGTGGTGGTAGTGGTGGCAATAGTTCCGGCAGCAACGGCAATAACGGTACAGGAGCGACCAGTCCGCCAACGGGCCCGCCGCCGCCTCTCCCACCTCCGCATCCAACGCACTTTTATGCACCTGCCGCACCGCCCCCGCATCATCATCCACCTGTACAAGCGGGTCCGCCTCCTCCCCCAGCGCAAGTGGATCATCTGTACTATCCTTTTGCAACTGGCCCGCACCCCGCGCTGCCGCCGCCGCCGCACGCGTCTATGGGATTGACTGAGCAGCAGCTATTGCTGTACACTACGGATGCTACATCGTGCCAGCAAACTTCCACGTCTGATAGTCAGACTGTTCCGCAGGAGGTAAATTCATCTTTTTCTATGTATACCGGAATTTTTTTCGTCTTACACGTGTTTAGTCGTTTAGCGTTTAGCGATTGTATTCGGGATGGATTTCGGATGAATTTCTTTGTCATCGCTTCTAATTCCTTTCAAATTTCCACGAAAGTAGTATTTCGTTATTATAGTTACGGATAAAACAATAGTACATTTGTTGGTAGTTACTATAATTGGATGCAACGTCGACGTTACGTTTGCTATGAAGATTTTATTCGATTATACTGCATGAGAAGATTGGAATTATGGTGAATGGTTAAATACGACGAACAGCATCAAACTATAAAGAAATGGAATTAGTCGTGAAATCGGGTTCCAATGAGACGTCTTTATTGCCATATAATGAGTGCTTGTCGTTGCTGAATTCGCGTTTCTTTTTTTTTTATCATGCAGTATGTTGAATTTAGACAGGCATTATTCTGTGAAATAAAATCGTAGGATTCACGACCGACGCCGAGCCACTCGGAGCAACCACACGGTGAAACGCAACAGGCCTCTTCAGGCTCACCGGCAACACCTCTGGTGCCCCTAATGCCCGTCAAATTCCCCGTGTCCGGTCGTTATCATGCTAATTATCATCCGATCGCGATACACACTGCACCGCAGAACGATAGCGAGGACTGCACCAGTCCGATGCATTGTCGCGCCATTCTTTACCCGACCGTTTACATTTCCCACACACACGCACCGCCACCCTATACGCATCACAACGCATCATCCGGCAGTCTCCTGCCGACACCGTTTTCAGCTTCACCGCGTCAATCCAACTATGACATCAACACGAAGACACACGGTCACAATTCGAGAGACTGCAGCGGCAATAAGTATATAGGCGGTCAGGGAAGTAATAACAATTTACGCGGTCAGGGAAATCAGAGTCACGGCTATTCGTTGAATACACACGCATCCAAATCGCAGAACACACAGAGTGGTTCACAATCGCACAATAGCGGAAGGTGTAGCGGAAACATTGGGACGGCGGATGGTTTCTCACACAAGTATTCGACGATAGCGGTGTCGTCGCGATTGCCAGTTCAGTATAATAGGAGGACGGCTGGATCGAATGTGGGCTCGTCGGCGATCCTCAGATCCGGCAGCGGCGGCTACGGCTCGAGTCAGGCCGCGCACAAGTTTAATCACTCTACGGCGTCCAATTATGGTGGCTCGCACAAGTCGAGCAACGCTATTCACGGCTATGAATATTCGTCGAATGGACGCGCGAGGAACTACAGCGATGATCAGTATTATGAAATCGGTGCGGCGGGTAACAACAGATCGATGGGCAATGGTGGTTATGGTTCTACGAATCGTAGAAATTATCTATCAAATAACAACTATAGAGGAGGCGCCGCCCGATTGACTGACCTGCACGTTGGAAGCGACAACAATGATCGGCCTAACAACAACGATGCTCCTAAGACGGACAATGCCGCCGTCGTCGTCACGTCGACGACGTCGACGACGACGACAACGTTGTCCTCTCGCCTGTCTCCAGCCGAGCGAACAAACGCGGACAATAATACGTCAAAGGATGCTCAGGAGAAACCGGCGAGCCCACCGCCAGCCCCGTACTCACCCATGACACGGCCTCTTCCAACTCTCTCACCACCCACCCCCCAGGTCCAGTTTTATGCTCCGGTCCAGAACCGTTATCAGCCACCTTCTATGCCTTCGTCGCAACCGCAACAGCAACAACAACAGTCTATCAACAGTCAACGCAGCCGGTATTCCGTGGGTCAGACATTGGCTAATCGGAAGCCGTCCGACAAGTACTCGAACGCTACCGGTTCATCGCAAACGATGCTGCGACAAAGTGCCAAGTACAAGGTGAACGGTATAATGCAGACTGCGACCACGACGGTGACGAGCAAGCTCGCCGACGACAATTTGGGAGGCGCGGGCGACGGTCCTGGTAGGCTACCGATAACGCCACCCGGTACACCGCGAGCGAGCGGCCATCCAGCGGCCGGTGATCAGAATCAGTTAAGCGATACGTGCCATCAGATGCAGGCGCTAACTTTGTAGAAGTATGCTTTCCATCCACTCCCGCCCTCTTCCTTTTTTTTTGTTCTCTGCGACCTTTTTATTGTCTTCTTATCGAGAATATATATATAAATATATATATAATATCTTATAAGAGTCTAGAGAGAGAAAGCCACGCGACCTAAGATGTGACGGCTGCAAACTATAAAAAAACAGTAAAAGAATCAAGACATGCAATATACACATATATACACATACACGCTAGGGTATGATTTCTCTGGTGATCTCAGACTCGACATGTTAAAATAATTAGATATTCGATAGAGACAAAATCTCGAGTTCAACAGCTCGCTGATTGATTGAGTGATTCCAATAAAAGCTCTATACACGCGTGAACACGATCTATACAGCCATGTATAGAGAAAGCAGGATACGATATATTATTAATTGTTACATAAAGGGAAAGAAAGCGATGAATGTGTGTATCTAAAAAAAAACAAACTTGAATGATATCTGACGGGAAGTGTGTAGCAGAGAATTAATAAAAAGAAAACTTTTATCTTAAGAACACAACACATACACACATAGATATGTCATTTACATATATATCTACGTTATATAATATATATATATACATATATATTATACTATTACAGTATCCGATGTTATATGCGTGATAGGCTCGACAAACCATGAATCTCGCGAGCAAGGCTAGATTAGTTAGCAAAAGATAGAACCGAGGAAAAAAAAGAAGAAATAACATTGTTATCGTACAAAATGATGAGCGATTTGTCATGTGTTCAAAAACAAAAAAAAAAGATAAAAGGAAAAACAAAGGAAAGGGGTAAAGAGGGCGAGATAGGGTTGATTTCATAAACGGTTGCTCAAGGCACTGCCACATCTTCATTAATTTTGTTTTTTTTTTATTTTATTTTATTTACCCCGAAAGATGCGGGGATATACCCGTACTTATAATTTTTTCTCTCGTTAGAGTAACCGTGAATATATATTTCATCTCGCGTTCTTTTTCGAACGTAGAGCGAGTTGATATCCGGATTCGTTATTCTTTTCGTTGACATATTATCCCGCGCTAAACGTTGTACATGTTGTAGCTGTTAAATACTGGGAGAAAAAAAAAACCGTGATCCAAGTACGAAAAGACGAAACGCCCTGTACCCAAGTGAAAATAAGGTAAGATATTAAAAGAGGAGAGAAATAATAATAATGAATTAAAAAAAAATGTGTCGGCTGTGAGCTTCCAAGCAAATAACAATAATTAAATTATTATAATATTAAAGGTTAAATAATATTCTCTACCTAATTGTTACAAAGGTGGATTTCTTTTACCTGTAAATGTGAAACAAATTTGTTATCTCGTATCTCACGTAGCTATGATTATCCATTTGAGGGAGAGAGAAAGAGAGAGAGAGAGAGAGAGAGAAAGACAGATTAGATTTGCGGCGCCGTCATGTAAATGCTTCGCGACGCATACATTACCTGAAGATTTCGGTGACATCCGTATTGGTACGTGGATAGAAACACGAACGCGACAGACAAGGGCCTAGAAGAAGGCGTAGAGATAATATCCGAGCGAACACTGTTAACACAAAAAAATTAATTTATTGAAAAAGCAAGAGTGCCTTCTATTTGTTTTCGTAATTGTATTGTTGAACATTTGTTGCGTTACGTTCCAAGAGCTCTAATGTTGTTATAAGAAAAAAAAAGAGATGTTTGAAGAATTGTTGTTCCTCTATTTATTTATTGATTTATGGGCATATACGTGATGCTAATATGCCCAACTATAGCCCAGCGAATTCGGAAGTGTGAGAGTATGATACTGTAACAATAGGTTTGGAAAACTCTGTATAATGTGAAAGAACAAACGTCGAAATACAGCAACAAAGTCGCATAATAATGACCGACGTTACTGTTTTGCTGAGATAGATATTAGACGGAAAGAAGAGGAACGAGTGAAATGAATTGTATGAATGAGTATTAATTGAGTGAATGAGTAACATAAGTAAAGGGAGGAAAATAAAAAAAAAGAGAGAGTATGTGTATGTGTATGTGCAGTTTATTGCAACAGTACTATGTATAGGCGAAACACAAGAAGAAGACATTCTCACATGTGTACATATATGTATATGTATCTGTAAATGCATATACATTTCTACATATATACACACACATGTACGTACGATGATATATGTATGTATACATATATATATGTATATCAGAGCGATGAGAGATATATAACATATATACCGAAGATATGCAAAAGAGATACGCATTATTTAGTTGTGTGTATTTGTGCTCGCGCGCGAATCTGGATAGGTGGCTGTGATTTATTGCGTGCAAGTACAGATTTAAATGTGAGCATACGTGTGGCTCGTGTATCTACTCACACACAGCACACATCCATATTTCATATATATATATATATATATATATATATATATATATATGTATATGTATGTATGTATATATACTATACATATTATATGTGTACCTATATAAAAAAAGAGCGATAGATTATTAAAAAAAAAGTGCAATTCTATGTTGACTTTGGTACAACAAAGCTAACAAATCGAATATTGTTAGATTAGTAAACGAGTATTAAAAAGTATGTACTAAATTTAACGTAGAATGGTGCTGACTTGATCGAATATAAAATATATATACATATATAATACATTAAACAAAATATATTATAGTTTTAATCTAAAGAGAAAAAAGGAGTCTAAGATAGACACCAGAGCTATATGTAGTAAAAATATAGAATCTACGAATGTATTATACGCAGCACACAGAGTGCAGATTCCGGATCGTGGAATGTCCTAATATTCCATGCATATATCTGCGAAAAAAATTGATGCGGATAAAGCGAGAGCGAAAAATATAGCTTTTCGGGAGCAGACAATTTGATATGATTTAATATATTTATTGTCTCTCAGAGAGATTATGTTGCTTCATGAAGAATATCGCGATTATACTTAGTACGAATACATATTATTACATATTTTCCGCAAATTGATGGCAAAATTAATTGCACACATGGATACATTAGATATAATCAGAATAATAAGTATTCATTATTATATTGTGTCTTTATTCACTGTGAGCGACACATAATCTCAAAAGGCTTAGTAGTTTATTTGATAAGATATTTAATTATATCTTAAATTCGTTAATTATTTCTTAGATTTATTAATACGTTAATGTACAATGTATCCATCGTGGAATTATAATTTGCTAATTATGACGTAGATAAGTAGAATCGATTTCGACTCATTTCTCCAAGAAGAAACATAAAACATGGTGCATTCCACGATCCAAGCGCGCGTACCGGTGAGAAAAATTTATGTATTAATAAACATAAATTATACACAAAATGGCATACAGGTTATATATATCACAAAAGTTATATAAGATTTAAGTACTCTATCGTAATAAAAAAAATATGTTACGCATAAAAAAGAGATGCGAGTATCTAAAACAAAATGTTAAGAATAATAATAATAATAATAATAATATTAATAATAATAATAATAAAAGATAAAACATCTGTGCATGAAAAAAATCATAGAAAAAAATTAGTCAAAGAATAATATAGAACGAATCTATTGTAAATTTCTTCTGCAATTATATAATAATAATAATAATAATAATAATAATAATAATTATATATACACATTTAGTGTATGTACATGTATGATTTATATCGTACATACATTATATGTATTCAGGTTGTATAATCGTGGCCTTCATTTCAGTAACAGTTTTTCTTACGAATTTAAAATTATGACTTCATAACAAAACTGTTGAAATTTTAATAATTTCTAAAAAAAAACCAATTTTTAGAAAAATAGGTAACAAGCTTTCTTAATTTTTGAACAACTTTAGTAAGATAGTAACAAATATATAATATTTAATATTGAATATTGTAGAAATATATGTTCAATTCAATCTTTGTTTAGGAAAATTTTATTATGAATTCTTTAGAAGATCTGTAACTGAAAGGAAGTATAGCTTGAGCCGCCATGTATAACATCAATAACAATCACAATAGTAAAATAACACAATGGATATATATATATATATATTAATAGCAAATCTCATTGAAGTAAAACATGCAAAGCTCGATCGTAGACTGTGTTCACTCATAAGTGCAGGCGAAAATACAGTCTAAACTAAATGTTTGCAAGCACAGTGAAATGAAACAATTGGATGGACAAGAACGGTTGGTAGAAACAAGCGTTACTCTTTGGCCATAAATAACAAACTGTATTTTTATTGATACTATAATACAGAGATCATATAAGTCTCCTCTTGATGTAATATCTTACCCATGCGAAAAAATTCGAAGACTAATTATATTGCAAAATGTTTAAGACACGATTGAGCTTTTATCAATTTCTTTCTCTTTTTTTTATAATTTTACAAAAGAATCCATTTTAATAGCTACATTAAAAAAGAAATGGCACTCATCCCCATCGATGTATATTGATATTGTCAATAATGTGCTACTTTCCAAATTTATTTCTAAATATTTCTAAATATCGAAGCAGTATATCTGTCAACGACAAACTACATATTAAATACTTTACGATACATCGAATACTTTACTAGAATCACAATAATAATCACATCTTCAGGAAAATTACTTCAGACGTCGAAGTTAATCTACATTATTTCTAATTCGTCGATGACATACATCTGTTATTATGTAATATACTGTAAATGCTTTCATTATGGCAGTGTGGCGGAGTTTTCACGCATTATTAATCATATTCAGATTCATGTTCTAAATCGAATATAAAGTTTAATAATTTTTTTTCTTGTATTACAAGTGATAAAAATATCCAAACAGGATAATATAATTTCTTGGACAGCATAATTTCTATAATCTAGCTAATAGCTACAGTATTGTAAAAAACGATCCTTTGTTGATGGACAGCAAATATGGTTCCAAATATATAGAGACTGTGAATAACAATATGAAACCATATGCATAAAAAAGTTTATAATACTATACTAAACAGTATCTTATATCGCTATGCAGTTAATCACATCAATACTTGATTCCATATTTCTTTTATATTCTAAGAGTTTCAGCAGTTTAATATAAGTTTATATCGCGACTGTATAATTTATAATTCGGTCGTCATATGAGATGTTAAAGCTTGAACGCGAGTAGCATTGCAACTTTTACACAGAACATGATCGTCCAGGGGATAGCAGCCTCGTCCCTCTGAATCGGAAGATAATACTAATCCGCAATCCTCGCACTTATAGCATTGAATGTGAAAGCTTCGATCCAGCGCCACTACTCGCACAGTCTCGTCCTGACCAGGCTCAGGCATAATAGGCAACTTGCAAACGCAGCAACGCGGAGCGAATTTCCTACACAAACAAAAACGTCAATTAGTGATTTAAAAAGTATTAAATAAACAATTATGGAAATAAGTAAAAGTGCATGAAAAAACTCACTTGTGAAAACATTGAATGCAATGTATTTGATTCGTAGCGTCAACAGTGAATGGTATGCCGTCCAAACTTTGTCCACAAACAACGCAGGAGAAGCAAGCAGGATGATATGGTTTACCAGTAGCTCTCAATATTCGGTCCAGTATCGGCGTGGTACAAACACAACATTTTTCCAGAGTATTGAGATAATCTTCTTCACAATAGGGCTTTCCTTCCAATGAATAGAAAGGTTTTCCTTGCAGATTAACCTTACATATAAAGCAACAAAAGCAGTTTATATGGAAAACTTTGTCCATCGCTGAACATCCAGTTCCCTCTCCTTCGACCTTGCGACCGCATTGCGCGCAAATGCCATATATATCACTGTCTTCATTGTTATCTGCCATTCCTTGGACTAATAGATCCGTAAGAACATCAACCTGGATAAAATCAATGAACTTCGATTCACATTCTTCAATATAACCTCATAATAGTTATCTATTGATTAATTGATGCAGTTAATTTATTTTAATCAAATAACAAATTGTTACAGATAATCATATTAAATCATGTGTGCCGATTACTTTAATTTAAAACGTACTGACAAAATTAACTTTTCAGATGGAATTTTTAATGTAGAATTTTGACTCACTTCTTTAACAGGAGACACTTTGCCTTGTGGTTGAGTAGATACAGCTGATCCATAGCCAGAATACATGGAGTAGTTGCAGGACAATTGCGATGGTGGTCTGGGATTAATCGGCTCATATATGGATTCATACGTCGAGCTAGATTGAGAACTCGGACCATAAATATCAGTAGGATAGTTGCCAGATGAAAAATCAGTTTGATAAGTAGCACGTCGTAGTTCACTGTAACTTGATGAAACCGGACTTGGTGGCGGAGGCAGTTCCTCGGGCGGTGGGGGGAATGAATTTCCAGATACGCAAGAGACGTATTCTGATGGCTCTGGTGGAGGTGGTAAATCATCTGTAAGCAGAGATATATCCAATATTACTATAAGTTTTTTTTTAGAAATTTTATTTCTTGTTTTTTTTTGTTTCTTAGGAATATTAAGTCTTGAAATTTTTAAAAATATGATTATACATATATAGATGCTGTTTCAATTTCACACACACATATATATATATATATATAATTAATTTAAAAATTTCATACCAGTGCCATGTGCAGATGGAACATTGCAGTATGTGTTCTCTGTTTTAGGATTCCACTGAATATTGCTATATATAATATCCTTTCCCTCATTTTCGCTAGGATACTTGTATGTAGGAACTGGAATGGGTACTGGTGGTTCTATATTGCTGTATACCGCATTCCTGGAAGCTCTGCTCGTGCGATCATCCACGGGTACTTGTGGAGCTGGCATATTTCCAATGTTGGAATAATAATTCTTTTCATCATATCTGTACTTTGGTTCAAATTTTTCTTCTGGCTGACATGCATACAAATTGTCATTCTGGTAAAGTTTCGATGCTTCCTTGCCATTTGTAGGTACTATTTGAGAAAAGTCATTCTTTATGTCCAGTGGAACATACGGAGAAGGTGCATTCATGTATAAATTTGATGTTTTGTCACTTGAAGTTGTATTATTGAGAACTGTGCTATAGGATGGCATAGGCGGAGTCTTTATGGTATAACTTTGCGGTACCTGAAACAAATATTTCCATGTCTTTTTTTGAAGTTTGTACAAATCTCTTCAATATTCAATATACAAATGTATTTCATTACCATTGTTGCATCGTATTTGAGGATGCATGCAAATGATCAAAAAATGCTATATTTTAAGAATGTTCCATAATGATATTAAGTGTTAGATTACAGGAATATTCACCTGAGGTTGGGACTTTTTTGGTTTTGGCGGCACCGCTGGTCCAATCTTTTTGCCAGGCTTAACAGTCTTGGCTGCTTCATCGCCATGATTGATCTGCAAGCTCGCAATTTGTTGCTCTAGATTGCCCACGTTTGACATTTTCCTACAACACACAACAGGTTATGTTATCTATACGTATAATCATTAAAATGTTACCTATCACAAAAATTTTTTTAAATATAATTTTTAAGAAACCGCTGAGTACGCGTGAAATGTCTTTAGCATAACAATATATAAAACAGTATGTAAAAGAATAAAGAGAAATCTCTCCATATTACAGCCACTGAAGGGCTTTGACAGCACGTAATGGCAATGACCCTACATCTTATTTAAACTACACTTAAAAGCACGACTTTAGTAGCATTTTGTGCAGTTAAAGTGATAAATTGGGATTTCGAGACAGAGAAAGATGGACCAAGAAAGTGCGCACAAAGTGCAAAAAAACAGACGTAATGATTCAGAAAACACTATCGAATTATCGAATATCGTTTCCAATTTATCTCGTCAGAATATAACACGTACGATTGTGTATTCATACAATAAAATTACATATATATATATAACGATACAATTTACACGAAAGATACGTACTCGGCGAGTGTATTCGATTCACTGGTCCGGGAATACTTTTTTTTCCTTTTTCTTTTGTTTTATTCTCAGCTCAAGCCTCAAGCTTGTTCGTCTTTCGATCAGGGCGTGAACGAGGCTCCCTCAGCAGACCGATCTGACATCCGGAAATTTCGTTTCTCGTTTTATCTACACCACCACACCCTCGTGAATCTAACCTATGCTTGTTTCTGACCTGTTCAATAACTGTTCAATAAGACCGCTAACCAGATCAATTTGTGACGAATCTCGCAATTCTTCGAATCCCCGCTCAGACACCGCGTGTACTACACTCGGTGTACTACATACACTATGACACCGCATACATACTGCTGCGAGACCGTTCGACAGTTCGGATAGAGTAGGATACATATGTGTATAAAGTGCGGTATGACGCATGACGTGCATCATCGCTAAAATTTTCAGAAACAAGACGTGTAATTTTTATATTGAAATAATTTGCTATACTTCGAGTTGCATCAATTTATGTATAAGATAATAGGTAAATTACTTTCTCTATTATCCTATTCTGCGCCTTTCCTCTCTATCCCTTCCCCTGTCTCTCTCTGTCTCATTTATTCCTTAAATAAAAAATTTCACACTTTCCTTTTAATTTAGAAAACATTAACATAGACATTTTAGTCATGATTGAAAAGAAAAGAATGTTTGTTAATATTCTAATGGATGACCACACAGAATCGAATTTATGTGTCAATAAATGAACAGTTAAAAGCTTATAAAAGTCTCATTGTATAGTTATTAGATGCCAGAAAAAATTGTAAGCTATCAATACTCATATACAAAATACTTATATAAGTAATTTGATTTTCGATTAGTGTTATTTTCGATTAGTATCTTCGATTTCTAGAGAAAAGGATGACAAATTTTTCTTATAATTTAGTAAAAAAAAAAAGAAGAAAAATATATGCATATCTATTCTGATATATATATTGCTTTTGAAAGTTTTCCTTATACATGAGATTACCAAGAGATGAGTCATCAGAGTGTCACAATTTTTTCATTATTCAATAATATTAACAAATATCAATTGATTGTATTGGTTCAAACGAATCAAGAGGAATCGAGCAAAGTTAATATTAATTAAGAAACAAACGAATATAATGCAGAAGCGTTCATTATTTATTAAACTATTATTGCAGCGAAATTATAATTTTTTTTGTATCATCATAATTCTTGAGAATGGTAATTATTTGTGGGAAAATTATATAAAAAGACGTGTTCGCTAATCGTTTTTTTCTGTGACTCGCGTCGTGTCAAATTTAACAATAATGCTCAGCGATTACGTAATCGCTTTCATGATCTTTTGTATTTTTCTGTTATCTTTTCGCGCAAGTGGAAAGATACTTGATTACGAATTCTTCTGGGTTATTATTTTTACTGTTATCTTAAGTTTCTCACATATAATTTTCTATTTTATATCACTAAAAATATATGAGTCTGATTATCGATCTATAATTCTTTTCATAATTCTTCCAATAAAATAAATAATTAAAGTACAAGATATCTCGCATGCACGTTTTTTCTTTTATTATTTATTTTATCAAGTGAAAATTTTTTTTATCGTTTTATATTCTTAAAAATGTACACTCTTATCGCGATTAATTGCGGTATTTTCCATATTTCTCTACGTGATAGAATAGGTAATTAAGATATCATTTTTACATTGTTTATCACTACGTGACCACTTGTAATATTTCCATTGTTAAACATAAGTCTACAATATGCCGAAAAAACGAATCCGTTTGTCTTGAGTATCTAATCGTCGATGTGATGAAAATGCTTATAGATAGATATATCAATTGACGAAGAGATTTATATTATCTGTAATCGTGTCATTGAACATGTATATTTTTTTAATATGATATTGTGCATCTAAACGTTACATCTCAATTTCATTTCTTATCGAATTACATTATGACTATTATATTTTATTTATATTTTAAGCTGTATTTTTAGTACTTTTGCAGCAAAGGCGCAATTGTTGAAGGATATGTTTTATAAAAAATTTAAAATAGCAAGAAATCTAACTTTTAAAAACTTCCTTAACATAAAATTATCGCGACATTGATACTAATAAAAAAACGCATAGCACTTACTTTTTCATCCTATAATTAAAAAAATAATATCTATATATAATTAATACGCTATTAATATAATGAGAGAGAGAGAGAGAGAGAGAGAGAGAGAGAGAGAGAATAAATTTTATCATATCATTTTCGATTAGATATATACATATCGCATTTGCATTGAAAGATTGCAATGAAAACGCAATGCTAAATTCTGGAATTATGATATAACAATGTGTACGAGGAAGAGAAAAAAAGGAAAAGAATACATAAATATTTCGTATAATTTAATGCTGTTTGTCTATGTCTGTAAACTCGGGGATCTCCCAGGATTGTGTCACGTGTCTTTTGATAATTCAAAACATGTACAGTAATATGGCATTCCCCATTTTCATTTATATCTCTCTTGTGAAGTCCAATGTCACTCGCGTATCAATAAATAAACTATTGGCCTTTCGAAAAACATTTTTTGTAATATATACGTAGTAGACAAATATATATATATATATATATATATATATATATATATATATGTTATTATATATATATAAGTAAATATATCGAACATGTACGTATTTATTTATTTATGGAATATTCCTATAAAATCGAGAAATATATATTAAATCAATCTTACGAATTTTTTAGTTCAAATTGGTTTAATAAAATTAATCCTAAATAAGAATACGATATCAATGATTTTCCAATTGACAATAGTAAATATTTTATTAAATATTAAAAAAAAATAAAAAACTTGTAATGTTGACAATGCTGAATTAAATGATGAACGTAAAATAAAGAGAAAATAAATATTAACATAAATGATGCCGTCTGCTCCGAGATTTTGCTTAGTTACATCCCTGACAGCTTCTTCTCCCTCCTCCTTGTACTTGGCCAAGTTCCGCAATATTCGACTGATTCGTCGCTTTACATCACACTACAGTTGACTAGTTGTGCGAGCTACGAGTGGTCTAGGACAGTTCTGACACGGTGTGTAGGCTTACGTCGTAGCTACATAATTGCGACAGTGGCAAATGATTTATGATCAATGATCGCAACACGCGTAAGTAAATATCATCACAATGATTTTATGAAATCACTTCTGTTGATTTTCGTGTATCTGTTTCGTTCTCGAGTCAAAATTTATTTTTTCTGGCTTTTTAGAAAATCTATCCATGATTTAGAGTGATAAAGATCTAATTTACACGTGATTTTTTATTTTATATTTTAACATTGTTGCCACTTTGCAATGGATTTTGTGTAATAATCAATGTTATAGTGAAAAAAGACACGCGATTGTTCAACTCTATTTTTTATTTAAAATTGTCTTGTATAGTGCTGATTATGCTTGACATTGTTCTTTTTTTTCCCAAACCCATTGCATCAGAAGCACATGTCTCCACTGAATTATATCATAAAAGGAAAATTAACTTTATTTTAATAACATTATGTGTTTTTTTTTTAGAGTACTGTATGAATACACAAAATGCAGAATAGTTATGATGAAAAATCCAGTGGCGATGCCACTGTCACAACAGTGCCACATCAACGTATGCATGAAGCAGAAAATAAAAAAGCCACTGAGAGTACCTCCTTATCTCCAAATAACAATCAAACCTATTTTGCAGAAGAAAGGGTACCAGTGCCAGAAACGGCAAGTGTAAGTTAATTATTTTATATGATTTATTTCATAATTATTAGACATTATATTATTTAGAGCATGTCCTTTCTTCTCAGAATAATACTTCCAAATTTGATATATTATTATAATTTGAAGTTATTTATAATTTTGTGACTTTATCTCTTAAAGTGGAAATCCCTATAATTGGAAATTTCTTTGCAGACAGGGTTTAGTTTTAGGAAATTATGGGCTTTCACGGGACCTGGTTTCTTAATGTCTATAGCTTATCTAGACCCTGGTAACATAGAATCAGATTTACAATCTGGAGTGGTAGCAAGATATAAGGTATATCTTTGATGAAGAATTATTAAAAATATCCTTTGTAATGTTTTATATATTTTAATATTATGCGAACATTTAATTAATTATTTCGCAATCATCTTTTTGTTTGTATATTCGCTTTCAGTTATTATGGGTGTTACTAAGTGCCACACTCTTAGGTCTTGTTATGCAAAGACTAAGTGCACGTCTTGGTGTAGTAACTGGTCTACATCTAGCAGAGATGTGTTACAGACAATATAAAAAAGTACCTAGATTTATTTTGTGGATAATGATAGAAATAGCTATTATTGGTAGTGATATGCAAGAAGTAATAGGAACGGCTATTGCCCTTTATCTCTTATCTAATAAGGTGTAAGTATCTCTGACAATAGTCAATATTTACCTTCAACATATACATAACATGTAAAAAACATTCTTAAAAGTATCTAGAACATTAAAAATATCATGTTACACGTTAATAATCTATTCATTGCTGGACAATTAATTTATTTAAGAACTTCAAAATTTTCTAACTATGCAGAATATATGAAGAATAAATATTAATATTTTAAATGATATACAAAAACAAATTATAATCTACATAATATACATATTTTACAAATTATTATAATAAAAGTATTATATTTATTTAATCACATATATAGTGCATTTATTCTTTGCATTAATTTAATTTTTTTTTTTTGCTTTTTGCTTCTTTTTTTAAAGAATTAAGATTATAGATAATGTACAATGTATACAGGGTGTCAGAATTCGCAAATACGGAATGCACAGCATAATAATTTATATCAATTTATATCAAAATTATATCAAAAGAAACAATTTTTTTCTTTGGCAAAATTGCATCTGAATATTACTTTTTTAATGAAAGCAACTTTAATCTTACAAAAGCAATCTTACTTTAATCTTACAAAAGCAATCTTACTTTAATCTTACAAAAGCAATCTTAAATAAGCAATTTTGCCAAAGGAAAAAGTTGTTTTTTTTTTGCTTAAATTATCACGCTGTGTATTCCGTATCCGCGAATTTTAGTACATCTTGTATATAGAGAGTTTTCGATCACAAAATAATATAGTGATTTTATGAAATATTGATGTATAAAATATTTCTTTTTGGGATTTTAGGATTCCTATATGGGGTGGCGTACTGATTACAGTAGTTGATACATTTACATTTTTATTCTTAGATAAATATGGTTTGCGGAAATTAGAGCTTTTTTTTGGTTTCCTCATTACCGTCATGGGTATCACCTTTGGTTACGAGGTATATATACTCCTAGAATATTTCATTGATTGCATTGCTTTAAGCTTGATATTATATTAATTCTTGGTTTTTTAGTACATTGTTTCCGAGCCTCCTCAAGTAGATGTTATAACTGGTATGTTTGTCCCATGGTACAATGGGATGAATTACGATAACAAGGTATTACTTCAAGCTGTAGGAATCGTCGGTGCGGTCATTATGCCGCACAATTTGTATCTTCACAGTGCCTTAGTCAAAGTAAGAATAATAAATATAAAGAATACATATGTGACTAATTCAATTCTTCGACAACATGTACACGAGATATTTTTTACTTCTTTAGTCTAGAGATATCGATCGAAGACAACCCGCAAAAATCAGAGATGCCAATATGTATTATTTCATTGAGGCATGCTTGGCATTGTTTGTTTCATTTATAATTAATGTATTTGTAGTGGCTGTATTTGCTCATGGCCTTTTTGACAAAACAAACAATGACGTTGTAAGTACAATATAATACAATTATTAAAACTAAATATAAATAATTTTAGTAATACAAATTTTAGTAATACATAAACATACATAATCGGTTTAATTTCTGTTTTATTTCAGTACCAAATTTGCGAGACGAATAATTATACCATCGGCATGAATACTTTTGCTGTAAGTATTTGTGTTTAATTATACTTTTATAATGTATAAATGAATGTGCAAACAATTTTTATTTAAATGTATTTGGCATGCTTTTCTCAAGTACATGAATGTGTAAATAATTTTTTATTTGAATATATTTGGCATGCTTTTCTCAAATATACCTTTTCTTGCGAATTCCAGAGAAATAATGAAACAATAGATGCTGATCTTTATAAAGGAGGGATCTTCCTTGGTTGTTCCTTTGGCGCGGCCGCGATGTACATATGGGCTGTTGGTATTTTAGCCGCCGGTCAGTCGTCTACAATGACGGGCACCTATGCCGGTCAGTTCGCAATGGAAGGATTCCTGAATCTGCAGTGGGCTCGTTGGAAACGAGTTCTCTTCACTCGAACGATTGCTATAATTCCTACATTCTTAGTAGCGTTTTTCGCCGATATGGATAATTTGAGTGGCATGAACGATATTTTGAACGCTATAATGAGCTTGCAATTACCCTTTGCCACTTTACCTACAATTGCCTTCACAAGTAGTGTTCAGATTATGGGTGAATTCCGAAATGGAATGTACGTGATTCTTTGTTTTTGTGTTCCTTGTAATACTTTTAACATTATCTCTTTTTATTCATATTATGTTATCTTGCAGAGTGAACAAGATTGTGTCGACCGCACTATCAATTCTAGTTATAACAATAAATATATATTTTGTGATACAAACTGTTCACGAAGATTTGCCACAACATTGGGCTGTATTTTTAGGCATGTCTGTATATGCAATTTTATATCTTATTTTCTGCGCCTATTTAGCTATTCATATGGCTGTGAGCATGGGTGCAACTTCTCTTGGTAATCATTGGGTATGTATATATTTTCACTTATACATAATGCCTATATATTTATTGTGTATTAATTTATGCCCTACTAGAGTCGAAACTTTTCAGTATTTTGTTAATTCGTTATATAGCTCTTGGAGTTTTTATAAAATATCTTATTTTTTTTAGTACCATGATTGTAATATTCTTTATTAATTTATTTATTTCTCACATTTTAGTTTGTTACTAAATATATTGGTACACCCGTGAGCCCTACGCTTGGTCTATCCAATCCTGCTGTTTATGCCAGGTAAGAAAAATTTTTGTGATATTTATTATAATTGTGACTAAATGCAAGTAACACTGATGTGTTTGTCCTCGTAGTGGGATATTTTATTCGGGAAATTATAAGTAAAAAATTAATGATTTTGTATATACTAATTATATGTAAAATGTTTAGAGCAATTGAATAATTTTATGAAGAAAACTATTTTATGGTGTACATATACATACATATATGTGTGTATATATTTGGTATTGTATGCCTTTTATGTTGCATGATTCGGCATGAGTACACTAAACATCTTTTATATAAAGCTTATTTTGCAAAATTTTTAAATTTACATAAAATATATTATTATACTACATGAAATATGTTTAAAAGCAATAAGATAATTTTTGAAGTTTAAAACAAAAACTTAATAAAATGCTTACTTAGATGCTTTGATATATACAGGGTGTTTCTGACCACCCGCACTACCCATTTAAAAACTAGAGAAGTGGTTATTTCAAAAAAGTAAAAACATTTTCTTTATAAATCCGGTGCGCTCTATCAAATGGTGATATTTTCAACTTCTGGTTCCGGCCGGAAATAGGCGATTTAGACCAGAAGTGCATTTTTTTTAATGGAACCATCTATTTTTCATTGCATATTCTTGTAATTTACCTCGAGAGCTTTCCAAAACACTATAATAAATTATTTTTCCATGAAGTACTTTTCGAGTTATGAGGCTTGAAATCATTTCTTAATTTTATATAAATCATAAAATATCTTGTAAAATATTCATTTTTCGATTATCTTACCTTAACACTTTTATGTACAAAATAATGAGAGGAATCAATTGATGTAAGGAAAACACATAGTTGTTTCTAAGAAAAAATATGTAATTTGCAATTAACAATTTCATATTTTTTCTTAAAAACAACTGTATGTTTTCTTTACATCAATTGATTCCTCTCATTATTTTGTACATAAAAGTATTAAGGTAAGATAATCGAAAAATGAATATTTTACAAGATATTTTATGGTTTATGTAAAATTAAGAAATGATTTCAAGCCTCATAACTCGAAAAGTACTTCATGGAAAAATAATTTATTATAGTGTTTTGGAAAGCTCTCGAGGTAAGCTACAAGAATATGCAATGGAAAATAGGGAGTTCTATTTTAAAAAATGCACTTTCGGTCTGAATCGCCTATTTCCGGTCGGAATCAGAAGTTGAAAATATCACCATTCGATAGAGTGCACCTGATTTATAAAGAAAATGTTTTTACTTTTTTGAAATAACCACTTCTCTAGTTTTTAAATGGGTGGTACGGGTGGTCTGAAACACCCTGTATATATATATATATATATATATATATATATATATATATTTATATATTTATATATATATATATTATATATATATATATATATATATATATATATATTTTTTTTTTTTCCCCCCTGAGACCAAGGGTTATGGGAAGCATATGTTGCGAAATTGATTGGGAGTGCAAAATTTTGCTTCATAATGTAACATTTGTGCCTAACTAATATAGATAATTGCAAGCAAAAAGCCAGCTGATTCGTGACTCATCATGATCTCTGCACCTTTCTACCGTAAATAATCGATTTTGTATTATCTATACTAATGAGATTGAATTTCAATGTTTGCACTTGTTTGCTCAGGCCATGCAAATGAATTATATAATTTGGCATGCCAAATGCTCCATTTGCTACAAGGTATTTCTACTGTTCAAAATCTATATGTATATCTTAGGATGTTTTTATATAAAAAACAATTTTTTCTAACAAATGCTTTTATAAAAGAATATTTCTTTTAAGACATCATATGCTTTAATTTTTTAAGTACATAATATTAAGTAAAATATTTATATTTATATTATTGTTTTTTAAAAGGAAGACATTTGTTTGCAATATTAATTTAAATATATGAATTGTTTCTTTAACTAATTGTTTCTTTGACTTCTGAAAATAATCTATTATTAATTACTATGTCAAATGTATATATTTTTATAAATCAATTTACGTAACGCTTTTAAGTAGAAGTAGTTTATGATAAAAAGTTACTTTTATATATGCTCATTTAGAAAGTTTTTTTTCATTCATAGTTTTCACAATACATCGGAAACATCGTTAAACATTTAGTCGGATAATGCAATTGAATATGTGAGACAATATGCGACTCTTGTATTCCATATGTGAATATAATGTCATGTTGGAAAGGTGCTTGTTAATATCTCGTGACGTCAGCATGATGCCCCATGGTATGTGTACGATCAGTTATTCTCCATATAGAAAGATCGCGCAAAACAATATATTTTTATATTAAACATATGATGCTCGTTGATCATCGTTTTATGCTTTATCTCCATCATGCAATGATAATTCTGCTATATTGCAAAATATCCTAGTTCTTTCACTGTTGTCAACTGTCGTCAATTTTTTCGTTGGTTCCATTAATTCTTATTAATGTGTCTCTAAAATAAACTCATGTATGACGAGTGATTAACTGGAACTATTTTCGTTGCATGCAAACATTTTTAACACACGAAAGTCTGAGCTTGAAACGTTGACTTGTCTCATCATAAGGTAAGGATATTGAGATTTATACTGTTGTCTTAATTCAATTTAGATCTATTTCAAGACAATATATCTGAAGTATCTTAAAAATTAAATATATATAAAATATATTGCAGAACAAATCCAGCATTCACTATTCAAGAAAGTTTGGGTGGCAGTTTTACATCAATACCAGAATACTAATTTATAAATGCAACTATATCTACAGTAAAATTATATATAAGTGATGTCTTCAATTCATAAGGAGGTAATTTTTACTGCCTTGAAGAATTATTAACATTCCATTATTAAAATACATACATTTATTTTAAATAGAATAACTTGCCTGTTACATCAAGGAATACATATAGGAAACATACATTATCACATAAAATAATTTACACAGTAATTAATACAGACGAATGTGGCATATGCATATCGGAATACTTGACAATCAAATTGTATTCATGTATTTTTGTTTCAATAATATATTCCATAAGTTTCTGACATATATTTATATACAAATTTAAATTTGCGAGATATCTATATATATTAAAATTTTATTTTTACAAAAAATGTATAGTTTTCAAGTTTGATGAGTTCAATAATTATTTAATTATTTAATTATATATGGAAAATAATGTAAATATGATTTTAAATTTATTTAAAATTAATTTTTATGTTGTTACGTATATAAAACAATATTTACTTATTATAATTTTATACTTATAATTAAATATTTGCAATTTTTTCATATTGTATAGAGCAAATCAAATTCATAAATTTTTCATTGATTATACATGTTATTTATATATTGTTTAAAATATCACAAAAATACTTCTAATAGGAGATAAAATACATATACATTTTCTCTTTCACTTTTATATAAGTACTCTAAAATAACTCTATTCCATCTGTTATAAGATGCTCGATTTTAAAACAGAAACATGCTCTACATATCATAATTCGCAACATGTATTTGCAAATATTTCAATGAATATTATATAAAAATAAAAAAAGATGTATTCTTATAAATATACTGTAATTTGAATAATTATTACTATTACATTTCTATTTAATCATTGATTTCTGCAACTAAAATACTAATGAAATAGTTTCTTTGTAGGCAGTGTTATGCATTAGCTTTCCACACCAATTTATTATTTTATGAAAAAGAAACGTGTGTACGAATATGAAGCTCGATACGCTATGACTAGACAATCGTTGCAATATCACATGTATCATACAATTAGCAATAACAGTAATTAAGTCATATAATCATTCTATGAAGTAAAAAAGGTTCTTATTTTTTCATATAAATTTTTACTACTAAATTTGTCCATTGCATATTGTATTCTGCAATATGTTAGATCATATTGTGTTTATTGTATATTCATACAATTTTAAGTTCAGTGATATAACGTGATATTACAAATAACGGTAACATTTTCTCTTTACAAAAGTACCCGATTATTTGTCTCTTTTAAGTCTTAAAACAATTCTAAAATTGGGAAATATATTCATTTATCTATTTGAATTTAATTCTCTTAAGTAATAGAGTGTAGTATAAATCATTATTATCTTGATAGTCAGACTATTTTTCTCATTTTAAAATGAGTTATTGGTATGTGAAGAATATTTTGCAATGAACAAATCCTAATATTCCTCCATGAAAATAAACTAAGTTAAAATATGTGTATGTAACATGCAACAATAATCGATGTTGGTAATATAATAATAATGAAATATATCACATAATAATTTGCTTAATAAATCTTAATATAGTCTTATTTTAAAAACTAATAGTTGCTTATTGTGTGGTAAATATACAATAAAAATATCAATGATCGAATCTTGTCATTCACCATAAAAAATTCTCTAAAAATATAATATAGAATCAAAAATACCATTTAGTAATTGAAATTGTTTCATGTACTTAATATTTCATTCCGTTTCTTTTGAGACCACGGAAAAACTTTATCTTGCCCCATTTTATTATAAGCATTAATGTTTAATATTTTTCAAAGCCTTGCCATATTTTTAATCAATATTATATGGCATCGTTATAATCATTATATGTTAAACGAAAATAATACTGTCCAGGTTCTCTTTTATGACGCCAGTATATGAAAGCTATTATTAATAGGACCAATAAAACTAACATTAATATAGACGACGCCAGGATTGCTGAAACAATCAAACAGAGAATTCTAAAATTGAAAATAATATCTAAATACTATACATACGCTATATACTGTATAGAGCAAATCATAGATGAATATATATTCAACAGATAATTACCAATAACGTCACTAGGACTTATATCCTCCCAAGCTATTAAACATTCTCTTTCCCAGTCTTCAGGTACAGCGTTTCTTGTCAAATTAATAAATTCATCTAAGGGGCATAATGTATTACAGCCTGGTAATGTCATAAGTATTGGTTCCATGGTACTATTTTTATAAGAAATCTGTAGATAAAGAAAAATATGTAAAATATACAAAGTAATTACAACTTGTATATTTATTAATAATTTCACTTAAATAACAAATTTTGCATGAATATTAAACAAAACTCATACCGTTACAAAATATTGATTTTTAGAGTTTGTCCTTAATTCTATTAGAATTGTAGCAGTGTAAGGTGGGCAATGAAGTTCAAATAAATTCAAAGTCATTAACATATTTGCCACAGTCTCATCATGAGCACTGTACATCCATATTTTCCTATCAGGTTTTAAAGTATTTTGTACTTTTTTGACCATGTGATCTATCATTTCTCCAAGTAGTGAACCTAAAAATATATTTTCAAAATAATAATACATGTATAAAGTTAAGAATAAATAATTTAAATGTACAAATGTAGGAATACAAATAAATCATTAATATATAATTAATAATTAGGTACCTGATTTTAATCTCTGAAGTATTATGTTATAGGCTTCTGTTGTGAAACTAAGCATAGCAAGAGGTTTTAATTTGTCTGGAAACACCGACTTTGTCCATTGAGGTAGAGTTTTGTTATATAAGTTCTGAAAAAAAAAATAAATAAATATACATACATCAAATTTTGTTAATTAAGATTTTCAGTCAAATCAAATAAATTACAATTGTTATCATATATATAATTATAAGGAATATTAACATACCTGAATATATAAAATATTGTATAATTGGTTAACGTCTTCTAAAGAAGATATTTTATCTCCAGTGTTCTCAGTTAAATAGGCATAAAGCTTTGCATTCGCTTTATTTATACGTTCCATTTCTGGCGATGTTAAGACTTTTTCCAGTTCATATTTATATCGTGGACAGAATTTACTTGCTTTCAGCACGTAATCTTGTTTTTCTGGAATGGTGTGTACAGGGATTGGCATCCATTTAACATCATCCCAGACCTGGTTCTTCACTGGCGGATAAAGTCCTGCTAAATTCGCTTCCGCCGACATTAATGTACGATCTACATCCGTACTTTGTACATAAATGTCATATGGTGTATAATTGTTGCTTAAAAAATGAGAATATCGTTTCCTCAGCCAACGCCCAAGGAGTAAATGTTGATGTTTTCCAAGCTATATTTTTCAAATATTGAATATAAAAAATAAAATGAAGTTTTTTGAATGTACAATAAGAATAATTCCTGAAATTTATTTAATAAATCTTTGCGCTTTCATACATATAATTATTTTATTCTATTGTATTTTTAATCTTTGTTAAACTTTATTTATTGTATATTTATTTATCTTTTTCTTATAGAATGCTAATGATTAAAAAATATATCAAAATAAACCTCAGAGTGTTATATTTCATAGAGAAATATTTATGATAAAATAAGATAAAATATTTGTGAAATGTTATAAAACATTTTTCTTATATATGAAACTGATTGTAATTATCTGTGCTTATATTTTGATTGTAATTTATCCTTACTTACATTTGTCAATTGCCCATATGGAATTGGCCAGGATGTTTCATTATAAGGATCATTTTTGTAACGTCCAACAGGAGTTCTATCTCCATGTCTATACAACTGTAAGCAGGGCAATAAAATATGTGATGAATCATCCACTTCTAATATCAAATCAAAAAAGAAAATTTGTTGGTAGATTCATGTTTAAATATAATAAAATATAACTTGTAAATTTTAAAACAGGATTGGTAGACATTAATATTGCAAAATAATATCGCATAAATTATTTACAGAATAATGTTACAAAATAATATTGCATAATAGTCAATCTTCGAGTTATAAAAACAAAAAAATAATATTAGTAGTAATAATCAACTTTCGAACCGAAACAGTGAATATTTGATATAAAAACGAAGAATATTATCGTTCAATAAGATTTCTTGAACTGATGATTCGCTCACTTACAACATTTGCGAAAACGATCGTGCCCAGATCAAGATCATCAGTGCTAGAACAGCTGGCGGCAAAAATACTCGCGAATACGAAAGACACTCTGATATTCATCATGTACGGAGGATTTAGCTCGATTTGATCGCGCGAACCTCACGTGGATATCGCACGTGAAATGGTGTTTCTTGTTTGGAAGCAGTGAAATCTAAGATCTGGAATCACTATCTGCGAACGATTATACACTACGTATCATGCTACGTATACATCTCTGTGTCTGCAACATGCAAACGAATTGACATTGACGGCCACTCATGGCCACTGACGACCGTGCTTATACAGGATACACATGCGCAGCTTTGATATTGTACTGTAAAAACAGTATTGGTGTGTGTGTGTGTGTGTGTGTACGCGCTTTGCGTGAGATACGTAATGTGTGGTTCCTATACACCAGGATGCCACAACTGCTGCCTATGTGCAGGAACCATAAACACTATCGCTTTTGTTGCTCTTGTATCAATGGATGAATGTATCACAATGGCCTGTGTAGAATCACTGTGCTCTACACATGTATGTATTTTTAAATTTAATCTTTTACTAATAATTCACATGTGAACCACTAACAAAAGATTAAATTTAAAAACATACGCACATACACGTGTAGAATAAATTGTAAATGATTCCAAATATTTCTTAGCACATTTCAACATTCGATATATAATTAAATTTATAAATTTTTTTATTTTTAAAAATTATTTTAATATTATCCATATACGTCAGTTATTTTACATAAAGAATATCTGAGGTGAAAATATACAATTGTATGTAAAAAGTATGTAAAAGGATATAATTAAAAAAAATTAATTTGGGAGAGAAAAAGAAAGATATTTATTTTTAAAAATTTATCTAAATCGTATTTTATAACGCTTTTATACCTTTAAATCTAAGAAAATTTCTGATGATTTATAAATACATGACTTGCCATTTACAAAGAACTCCTTTAGCTATACTTTCTATACTTCTCTTTCTACTTTCTCCTTCCAAGAAAAAATGTAAAGGAAAAGGCTAAGAAACTTAAATCGTTCTCATTGCACCAATAATAATAGCACAAGAAGTTTATCTGTAGATTAATTTTTTTGGTGAGAAAATAATTGACGAATAATAATAAAAACTTGTATATTTGTTCACATTGCACATATGCACCATAATCATTTGATATATAAATTCCTTGGATCGTTCATTAATAATGATGTGGCCATAACGCCGATATACTTTAAAAACCCCCATTTTCTTAAACATCTACATTACAAGTCAAGTACATATATTAATAACTATTATAACTATATATGCTTACATGTACAAAAGGATTTGTTTTCCTTGTATATATTACAATTTTTGAATATACAACTATTTATAATACATACACAATTCACCTTAGAAACCATTGAACTATAGCTTTATATTTTTTTATTTTGTAACGAAAGTTGCGTACTCTTTTCTGCACATAAACATAAAAAAATAGACTAACAAAAAAAGTAAGAATAAGTTACCTACATATATTTTGCATGCATAATTTTTGTTGAATAACAATATTTATAAAAAATTATAAGAAACTGTCAGATATATTATTACGAATCAAAATACAAAAAAAATTTAAATTATTAAGTATACAAAATAAATAAATTTTTTTGCATTTTACATTGCATTATTTTTTAAAAATATGTGAGATTAGCAAATTATGCATTTAGAAAGTTTGATTTCTTAGTACATAAAAATGTCTTTCAAAGACTTCTAAGATTTGCTGAGATTTGATTGATCTATTATTATTCACTCTGTATCTGTAAAAGAAAATCTGCAACTTTCGAAACAGGCCACGTATATAAAAATATACATTAATCTAATCAAGTTTTATCACAATTCACGTTTACTAATGTAATCGTAGATTGAATTAGGAGAGCGCTTTTTTTCTCTATAAGAAATATAAAACTAAAAAATATATATTTATAACTCAACATTAGTAATCCGAATAATGGAAATAGGTTTTCAGCCGTGTAAGAACGGCGGTAGCATCACAGTCTTCGTTGGCGATAGCGCTGCGTAAAATTGATTAGCAGATGAGCGGCAAATGGCCATAAAATTAATAAAGCGAATAAACGTGGCGAACATTCCTGCAACGGCCACCATCTCGCATATATACGTCTAACGGTGTTTTCCTGAAAAGAAAAATATCGACGTCAATATTTTTTAATAGTAATCAAACGAAATAGAATGGGATAAATAAAATAATTTAAATATAAATTTCTTATTCTATTATTTCACTAAGATAATATATTATTTGATTTTTTATTATAAATATTATAAATATTGTTTTTAGATAATGAAATGACATTACATACCGTTTGCGGCGCCATTGCTTGCAAAGCTTGTCCTTCTAAGCTTCGCACTCTAGCTGTTATTCGGTCCAAATCTCTCTGTAAATGTTGCATAGTTGTCGCGACTTGATTTAGAAATTCGGCGTTGATTTTATTATCGTCTTTTTTTGTTCTTTGTCTACCTCTCTCTCGTTGACTTTCCTGTATCGTTTCCATGTGACCATTAACATTACTGTATCCATTAACCAATTCAGTATTCTCTTTTATAACATTCTCTGTATTTGAATGATCAATTCCGTTATTCATTGTAGTTTGTACCTTTTGAGGAGGAACAGTGGATTTAGATGCATCTTTTTGCATTCTCTCTGGTGCTGACTGTAATAAAATCGAATTGTCCATAAGATGAAACAATAGCATAATAGGTGATATAATATTAATGTCACACCTCAACTGTATCTATAAATTCTTCTTCTTCGCCATCAGTGTCTTGTGGCAGTGGGCTTGCAGTGCGACTGCTGGTCGGACTAGTTTCCAAACTACTCGTTATGTGTCGAGAAGTGCTGCAAACTCTATGAGGTGATGTTTCTCTAGATGCTAATAAAATAACAAAAGTAAGTTTAGATGAAGAAGACGAAGAATTGTAGTAGTTTAGAAGACAAAGAATTGTAGTTAAAAACATCGAGTTAATAACTTTGGAGCAGATATCTATCACATTAATTTATTATCATATTGATCATTTTAATAATATAATATAATTACTTAGGCCCAGTTCCACAATCCAATTAACTCGAGTTTAAGTTGCGACCAATCAGGACCCAGTTTAACGTATTAAACTCGGGTTAACTCGAGTTGTGAAACCGGCCCTTATACAAACAATCTATATGATAACTTTGATAATTACTTATACAAACAATCTATATCACTTCATAATATCTGATGTTTTTAATACTTTTTTTTGATATCTTACATATTTATCTTGGATAAACATAATGTTTATGTAAATATCGATATATTAGCTTCTTATTTTTTTAGTATGTAATTCAAACTTCAAAATTGTGCAGCTATAGTATATTAACACTTCAACAAGATAATAATGAAAATTTATATATTCTTACAAAAAGAGGAAACAAACCTAATGGTGAACCAGACAATGGCGATCCTGGTTGGGAGCGTATACGCTCCAATACTGGTCCCACGAGCAATTCCAAATCCTCTGCCGGTACACTTTCATAAAATGAATCCAAACTACCGAGAAACGTTGCCACATTATCCGTATAAGACATAGTTTCGACAATCTGCAATGCGACATTCCTGTTTAATATACTCTTTGTTTTGCATTAATTTTATTAAATTAGATTAAAAATACATATTTACTTTTGTCAGTTCTTCCACATAATTATTCATAGCTTCCGTACGACTCATATTACCAAGACGCGACCATGCGTCCCATTTGGCTTTCTTGATTACCTCCCAGAATGCAGGTTTGGATTGTTGGCAGGGTCCCTCGGTCGCTTGTTTGTAGTATGAATAAAAACGCAGCATAATCTCGTGGCTAGGTTGATACGCTCCTAGAATATTATATTATTTATCTCAGCAACTTATTTTGTATATCAGATATATTCAGTAAGATAAAAAAATAAAATATTTGTGCTAGAATGTCTCTTATTGTTAATTTTATTATCACATTAAATGTTTTCGTACTTTAAAAATTGCAAAATGTTTTAACATCTTGTAGTATTCAAACATGTGTTGCAAGAGCAGATAATCAAGATTTATTTTCTAGATTTATACAATGTACAAATACAAATACAATCATACAATGTGTATAACATTTTTTATCTTGAATCCTTGATCTCTACTTAGAGTCAAGAGTCTTTTCTCAAACAAGATGAAGCAAATCATATGTTAAACTGCCTCGCATAAATGCTTAACAGTATTAAAGAGTAAAGTATTGAACAGTAATGACTATAAAGAACAAATAATTCTTTTTCTAATTCTAATTACAACATTTATGATTTCATAAAGTATATATAAATGTTTGTATGATTGTTTAATAACAGAGAACATTCATAATTTTATAAACAGTATAAATAATTCATTTTCTAATTCTAAAATCAACATTCATGATTTCATAAAGTAATGTTAATTGAGCAAGATAGTTATTATAGTAATTTCTATGAAAGCTGATTATTATCCATCTTAGCAGGTATCATTAAAGCAGAAATATCCATTAAAAGTTAAATGTCCTATGTCTTCATAGAATTATTTTTACATATTAAATTACTTATACTACATACTATAACTGTACTATAACTATACTTATACTACATACTATAGCACTTATACTACATACTATAACTGTACTATATTATATTGCATTTGATTTTTTTTGTTTTTTTTTTTTTGTATATTTGTCCACAGATTGAGTCCACAGTACAAGAGCACTATGATTACAGATGGAATAAAAAGTTTCTGTTTGATGAATACTTGCTAGTATAACGGTCAAAGATAATTGCACATTTGTCAATAAAGTTGCATAATTATTAGTGGACTACAAGTCAATTATTGTGATCGGTGAAGAGAAACATTCTAGTTTTAACTATTAAGTATGGTTCAGCTAGTTGTACACTGTTAGAAAGTAAAGTGGGGAGTAATATAGTCACTTAGCTATATGAAGTGGCTGGAAAGTATACCTGCAATATTTAACATCAAGGCTAAACCGTAAAGAAATGCATATATACTTAAATAATGGAGTGTTAGAGTGTGTATGCGTTTAAATATTACAGCAATGCCTTTTATAAGACAATTTTGAACATTTTCAGACAATTTTGACACATTATTAATTTGATATTGACAATTATAATTTTTAATTATATGTGTAATACTTTTTTTTTAATAAAAGAGAACAAATTATTTTCATAAAAGATATACTTCGATTTTTTTCTTCATAAAAAAAAGATAAGGAGTCAAATAATTAAACGAGAATATTATTCACAAAAATAACTGTGATTTTACTTTTACTGTTTCAGGCATGTTATATATGCATAAATTAAAGAGATTGACAGATTTCCTCATAATAACACCGTCTTGCAAAAAATGTGGAGTAAAATTACTTCCGCGTGATTATTAAATGTAAATTGTAATCGTGCATTGTGACGCAGAGAGTTTCTAATGTGAAATAAACCGGGTTCTCGCAATTGTTCAGGTAGATGATCGCGATCAGAGTTTACTTCCGCAACGTGCATGTTGTACATACATTCATCACGAAGACTATGAGAGATTGAATTTTTCATTATGCTTTCGACACCGGCAAGTGAGATATTGCATTCACTTTCTTCGACTGGCGTGATTTGCGATCTCGTGAATTTCTCTACGCGATAGCGTGCAATGACACATGCAAAAATCTCTTCTTTCTTTCAACTAGAGAAACGCCTGAAAACCGGAAAAAAAATCCGGAAAAAAATCCGGAAAAAATATTTCGCGTATACAATATTATGTTTACATTATATGTAACATGTGTATACATAAAAAAGCGTTCTTTTGTTCTTTTTAGGCCAAGGGGAAGTGTATGTAAGTAATTCGACAAACTTATTTTTCGACGTTACGAAAGTGTACGGAAGATAGACCTTGTACCACTTGTCATCTCTTCGTCATTATCATGAATAATCATAAAAGCCGCGTCGGCTGATACTCAAACATCGGTTGGACTTCAACCAACGCGCAATTAAGCGAATGTACACCAAAGGGACAAAAGCGAGAGAGAAAAAGGAATCGGCACGAGCGAGGAAGAGGAAAAAACAAAGTAATATCGCTGCGATACTTGTCAATTTATGATCGCGAGACATGGATAAAAATTTAGAAAATACTCGTTTTAAAGATCTGTATGTGTACGATTCTCTGGAGGTGTTCTCTTTTCCCCGATAATTTGCGATAAATAAAGATTACCATTTTTCGGCAGATTCCTGATGACGTTTACGGCAGCGTTAAATTTCTCCTCCGTCGACATATTTCCTCCTCCAACGTTTAACAAACGAGAGTGCAGTATTTTTATTCTCCTCCTTATTTGCTCTTTCGAGATGCGGTATCACTCTTCTTTATTTATTCGCGCGATAAGATGTGTATTCTCTTCTCGCAGTAAAAACACTCCCAGAATCACTCTCGGAATCAGTCGAAGCGCGCTTGGCCGACGACGGTTGGCGACTGCCTGCCGTTTCGTTGCAAAGGCCGACTCGTCCTCTCTCGAGAATCGAATGACACCGAATTGAGTCGAACTCTAGCTCCGAACTGAGAAAAATTACCGGAGCCGCGGCTGCTATCGCTCACCGCCAATCATTCGAATCACACGACAGCAATAACGACAATAATGACGCGAACGATGACTGAGCTATACTGACGATTCACGATGACTGACAGATCATTACTGGAGATAGGAGACATTAGGAGATTGCAGTATTCCGATTGATGATTGGCGATCGCCCGTGGCCTGCGAGCGGCGCTTACGCGCATGCGCGAGTTTGAATTGTACGAGAGCGGGAGCATCTGGGTGAAAGGGATCTGCAGCAGCATCTGCATTTACATTCGCACACAAATGTAAATTATATACTTCTAATAAAATAATATAGGTTAAAGTCTGAATTGCGCAAAGTACAATGGATATTATATTTGCATTGATTTACATCTGTATAAAATTCTGTTAAGTCATTTCGATTTTTTGTCTCTCGATAACGCGCGTGTCGTAAATACGTCTGTAAATATAATTGTGCTACGCAAGACAAATTATCTTCATGCATAATATAGTATGATGATTAATAGAAATAAAATATTCAAATATATCTGATATCTTAAAATAGTTTTACAGTTACGTTGGCATTAATTAAATCGTTGATTAAATTTATAACGTACAAACGTGCCATTCACTTTCTTGTTATTAATTTTTATAGAGTCAATTGATATTACTGTAACTTTTTAATGTTCTAAAACTGGTTTATCAACTTATCACATTTATGTAATAATATTGTAAGTATACGTATTGCGTAAATATTCAAATGAGATTTTCAAATCGCTGAATTGCAAAGAGAGTACTAGAGAAATGTATGTCTCACATCTTTCGATTACATATTACTTAGAAGAAATAAAATTCAATATATCATAAAATCAGATTTAAGATGTACTTTTGCAGACGCTTTTGCTATTGTAAACATCAAAAATTCATCTTTAGAATTGGTAATTTCACAACTAATATTTATATTAAGATTGCGTAATTATTATGGAATTCTTCGAAGAAAATTTGAATGTGTTACGTCATTAAATATGGCGGAATAATTTGGTGCGTTCCTAAAATTGCCAGTTATATGTTGTGCAAAAATTCATCAAATATGTTTTTCTTCTAATTTTTGTTTACAATCAGACGTATTTTTTCTGCATTTTTTTCTCTCCTTCTCTTTGAATAATATATATATATGTGCATTTTTTGTACTTATAATGAAATATATATATGTAAACACAAGAATGCAAGGAAGCTAGAGTGCAAATGACGAATAAATCGAAATCAATCGAAATTCACACATTCAGTACGTAATCTTGATTGATCATTGATCCTGTTTGTTGGCATTTTACCTGCACTTTGTACACTTTGTCGTTGGTCTACCAACTACAAGATATGAGTATGTGTAACGTGTAATGTGTTATTTATGCTGATTTACGCTGGAAGATTTGTGGTACAAGCAGATGTATAATTTCAAAATCCAAAATAAGCAAACGAAAAAAAAGTAGCAAATCAGATTACACCTAATACAGTGAGTCTATCTCTATCAAGTATATCTTAAATTTATCTTTCAAGGCAACTATTAAAACTATAAACACATTCACACATACATATATTGTCAACAGGTTTAATTGTTAAGATTCTTAAAAAAATGACTTCGTTCGGTCGTGGACGTGGATGGTCTAGTCAGAACCATAATAAAGAGCAGAGCCTGCGTAGACCAGGAATTGCAACTTTTGGCAACAATGCTGTTAAAGATATAATAGATAAAATAACCACCACAAACTCGCCACAACTAATTCAGGAGATTACAGATTTGCTAACCAGCGCAGTCAACAAAGACAATTTAAAGTATTATAACAACAGAGAAGCAAAGATCCTCCTTAATGCACTCAGAAGCAAAAGTTATTTCATTTTATTTTTTAACACAAAATTACAAATTTCAGGGATACATGCGAAAATCTTTGGAAGCAAGCTCTAATTTATGACTCACTTACCACAAAAGTAGCAATGATATTCAGCAATTATCAGATTGCACTGATAGAAGATAATAATAAGGAAATTATACGAACTCGCTTTTTACGTTTCTTACAAGATAATTATATGTGTAAGTATTTGATAGGAAATCTTTTAATTTCTTATTCAATGTTAATGTTTATATATTTATTTTGTTTTCTTAGCTAGGGAAAAAGATAAAGTACAAGATAAAAAGAAATTTGCAAATGTAGTCTTACTTCATGCAGAAGTTTATTATCACATGAAGCTTAGTGATGGAAATAAACTAAAAGTATTGGCTGAACCACTAATTCATTATTTAGAAGATCTATTGCAGGACACTTCCAAAGACAATATTTATTTCATTATGATACAAGTAAGATTTTAGATGCACACACACATACACACACACACACACACACATATATATAATGCTTTTCTTAATTTATTAAATATAATTTAAAAATCTTATTTTTTTTAGATTCTTAGATCTGGTAAAGATCTTCATGCAGTATGTCCGGATCGATTAGAGAACTTAATGTTAATAATTAGACAATTATTAGTGAAAGAAAACAGTTACAGTTCTCAATATCGTGCAATGTTATTATTAATGATAGAATTAGTTAACAACAAGTACGAAATTAAGGATGTACAACAAAAAGAATTTTATCTCTCAAACATTAAGGCTTTCTCCTTTGAATATCCATTTTCTCAGAAAGAATTAAGAATAGTTGCAGAGACAAAAACTGAAAATGGTAATAATATTTTAGTAAATGTCAAGTTAATGTTTTTGTTAACTTCATTAAATGTTAAAAGAAATAAATGTAAATAACATTTTTCCATCATTATTTGTGATTTTCATGATGTATAGCAACAACTTATTAGACATGATAAATCATATTAATAGTATTCATAATTTAACAAGTAAACTTTTCATATTTGTTTACTTTTTTATCTTCCTCTAGTTTTTTATAAATAAAATATTTTCAAATTTAACTTTGATGTCTAAGTGATAACTTTTATCAGATGACAATAAAGAAATAAAATTTCCTTTTTTTTGTTTGAATAATATATTAAAAAATTTTTAATATTTCAGATAACGAATTACAAGAAGTTGATAACAATCAACGAATTCTAAGAGAAGAAATAAAAAATGATTTGCCTGAACAAGGCAGTTATTCAAAAAATCCTAGTATCCCAAGAGCAATACGCGGATCAGGTGCATTAGACAAGAATATAACAAGAAAAAGCGATAATAACACAAAACTAAATTCTTCAAAACTAACGCCAAGGCAAAAGAATAATAAAGGCTGGGATCATGATGATAGATTTCATAAAGATTATGAATAATACATACATTGTACAGGTAAATATTCATTCTAGTTTTAGTAGATAAAATGACAAAATGAATTCTATTGACTAAATATTTATAAATATTTGTAAAAATGAGTACAATTTTTTTATATTGTAGTTTTATTAACAGGTGCAAAAACACACTAAGTACTGTAACAAGATTTTACAAAAATATTACAAATGCTATATATATATATATATATATATATATATATATATATATATATATATATATATGTGTGTGTGTGTATATATATATATATATATATATATATATATATATATATATACACATATTGACATAGTTATAATTACAACATGAGAAAAATATTACATTAATTTCTCAGCTGAAGAAAATAATCTCATTGATATTTTAATATCAAAAAGTTATAAAAATAACATAAGTGAAATGTGATGTACAGAAAGTACTTTTTTGTTAGAATTTTTATTTGTTTAGAAAACAGTAAGTTATTCACCATCAAATGTGAGCGAATTTCAATTTAATGTTAGAAGTTAAAAAATAGCCAGTTAATAGCCGTAGAATATAATTAATTTCTATGTTGCTTATTCTCATTTTTATCTTATCTGTTCTTAAATTTTCTTTATAAAACAGATCCTGATTATAAGTACTAATTCTCGTTAAAAGAATCTTGTAATGAGGAAAAAATATTATAATCTAAAGTTAATATTTGACTCTTTGTCTTGACATGCAGGTAAAAATTTCCAAGTGCGATGCTTTGTATGCGATGCTTTGTATGCAATGCTTGTATTTTATGGAAGACTTAATTCTAAGAAGACTTAATTATAAGCATCATCAGTTTTATAAATTATTTATGAACTTGGTATCATACATACATCACATTTGAATAATATTTGCGTCCGAATCATTAGTGTCATTATTTGTTAGAGAAATTCTATTTCAGGTGTAATTAAACATTTTTATTTTTTTTTTTCGATTTACATATATATACAAATTATTTCTTGAAGAGTCCATAACTTTACAAAATTAAGCTAAGTTCTCATTTTTTATACAATTATTAAATATTAATGTATAGGTATAAGTGTGTGTGTATATATATATATCTGCCTTTTTTGCTTGTATTTTTATTATAGCATACTTGAGATTATAGTTTTATTAATACAAATTGACATAACATGACGAATGATGGAAGTTATAAAATATATTGTATATTGCATATATAAATAAACTAATTGCAATTCTACTATTTCCTATTTGGATTTTTCGATTTACCACTACTGTATTTTCAAGATTCATCTTGTCAAAGGCTAATATTACATTTGTTGTAGGATAAATTTTTTAAACATTAATTGGCTGCGGGACAATAATTTTTTGATTCTTCAGAAACTTTCTATTCTGCAGCCAATTAATATGTTTAAAAAATTTATCGTACGATAATTGTAATATTAGCCGAAAATTTCTAAAAATTTTATCATTCGAAACGATCTCGGCAAAGAGACCTTTCGTCCTGATTGGTCAATCAAATAATGATGTATAACGTAGGAGCAATCAAGTATGGAGGATTGTACGCATGCGTTACGTATGTATGTATAGAATACAAGAACGATGGCGCATGCGTAGAAAAATTTTACGATCGAGGAACACCGCTTCGAGATTCGATTTTGACACATGTCATGTAAAGTGAGATCGACGTCACATGGAGACGCAAATTCAAACATTCTTGCAAGCGTGATATCGAATCACGTATTTGGTGTCATATTACGAGTCTCGCACAAGCACGAGTATCGCGAATTGCATTTCCATCTTAATCTGTAAGTAACACCCTGTTCATTTGCATCTCGGCGTAAATGCGCCTCGGCAAATTGCGACGTTGTTTTGTACGAACCTCCTTACGCTTCTAATTCCGATGTAATATTGTTCGATTTAATCTACCGGGTAAATATACTCATCGTATGTGTCATTATTTGCAATTAATCGTGTTACTACAAACGCGAAAGAAAAAGGGTTATCTATTTTGTAGTGTGTACAAACATTACACAGCATATGTTTATCCTATTTTTCAGATAATTTATAAACATCGATGCGTATATAGGCTTCGTTATGGTTTGCTAGACGAGGCCCGAGTGATAAGCCATTATTAAACGGACGCGTCCTGAAGACGTTGAAGAAATTCACGTGGAATAAAAGAACTTGTAAGAGAAATAGAACAAAAATTTATTAACATCGTCATTTTTCAAGTAGTTGGGTTTAATTATTAATTGTTTGATGTAAATCTATCTTTTAATTAATGTGAATAATATAAGAAAGTTATTTTTTTAGTGCGTGGAATATTAAAACTAACTGCACACGAAACGGGTGCTCCTTTTATCAATGAAATCTGATCTGACATGTCTTACACTGAACTGGAACATGGTTATCAGGTAAATGTGCTAACACAGGATAAAATTTTGCGCTTATTAGGTATCTAACAAGACTTTGTTCACAGGGCCTCAGGAATGCAAGCAGACCAATGTTCTACATAGGAGATATAAATACAGTACAACCATCTGTTATTCCCTCAATCTATCGCTCATCAAAAAGAGTAAGTATAAAATTATTTTACTATTCTTAAAATCTAGTCACAGGAAAAATTTATACGCATGTGTGTAAAATTGCATAAGATGCATATTAAAATCTATTTTTTATTCTGAAAAGCACATTATATATTTATAGAATTTTATAGATATAAAACAAATATTTTTTTCTTTTTTTGTTATATATAACATAAATAATTATTCCTTTTTTTATTTTAATTTTTTAATTATATACAAAATCGATTTGTATCCCATGACGTGACAGCAAAAAAGTAATATGATACAGCTCATATGTTTGTAATAATTAATGGTTATTGAGAATGGTTATTAAGAAATAGATTAAAAAATGATAAAACATTTATTTATTTTTTTTATTTAATATAGAAGCAACAAATATTTACATGCATATTAAATAAAAATTTATCTTTATAGAGGTTAGAAATATATATATGTATGTATGTATAAGAAATATGTATTTGCATGTGTATGCGTTTATAATATGTAGATACTTCTCACACATTTAAAAACATAACTGATCTATTCATATCTTTATTTTCGATATACTATTTTTAGCAAAAATAAAAATATACGAATAGTTATGTAAACAGTCGTGTGCTAAAGAAATGTTTTGGTTCTATGGACTCTTTTTAGACATTTAAAATATATATTTATGTTAATAAATCTGTATCCAGTAGAGTGTGAATGTAATTGATAGAAGACTAAGTTTTGTAATGTTTGGACAGATAGGAATTTATTTCATTATAAGACAAATTATTCGAGCACGAATGGTATGCACACACACACACATGATATAAAAAACTAATCTTAAACTTTTTATTAATGCATGCAGTGCAGATATTTAGCCATTTTGCTCATTGCATAAAAATAGAACAGAAATGTGTTTATTTATATGTTGACCAAGTGCTAATTGTAACATTACTAACATTAACTGAATTATATAAAATTAAAACTCTCTCTCTCTAGTCTTGATAACATTGTGACAAGTTTCTAGAAGTTACATTTGTTATTTAGGAAAGATTTATAACTTATTACTTTAATAATCTATGAAAACATAACTTTTGTAGACAAACACAGTGCAATCTTTATTTTATTAGAAATGTAGCATATTATATGCACTATTTATTATATGAACATGCTATTAAATATTTGTCTTAAATAGCAATGATAATGTTTAAGTATCATTCAAGAATAGAGTAGATAATTTTTATTTGCTTCTTTTATCGTGATAAGTTACTATAATCACATTTTATAATATTGCGATATCAGTTATCGACATGAAATCACTATCTATTATTGAAAAAAGATAGATATAGAAGATTATCAAACATTTTTGAAAACGATAACAATGATATCTATTTTCAAGGTATATTTATAATTAATATATATATGTACATTGTGTGATAAAATTTCTGACAAAAAAGTTATTAGTCTTTAACATTAACCATATTTAGTTTATCATTATGTATTGTAAGAATCATCTCTATGTTTCGCATAATATGCATATTTTGTGTATCTCAAAATCATAGAAATAATAATTATTTACATAATTGAATAGAAACAAGATATTTTTACATGTGTATATGATGAGAAAAGATTTATATATTTTCAATGTTAAAATTTAAATATTTATTGTCTATAATAATCATCTATAATTATATACAGTTAGTTTAATATAATAATTTGTCTGATATTTAATTATACACATTATAAAAATTTTATAAGAGATATTTCTTCTATTCATTCATTACAATAATTTCAAATAATAATTTGACGATAGATTTTATTATTCAATTTTTTTAGCTTTTTCTAATTTTTTTATATATATATAACATTCTCAAATTTTTTCACAGTGATTAACAAATGCTTTTTTAACTCGCTTGTAGTTGCATGATTTAATATTGCATTTCTTATTAATTTGAAATGTAATGAAATATAACAAATATAATATAGAAATAACAGGAAATAGGTCTAAATCGTGTAGATGAACAAGATTTTCATACTGAATCACGAATTTAAAAACTACGTGATTTTTATCACATCCAAATTTGTTTCACGCTTTATTGCTTGATACATATTACCTTTCTATGTAGGCAATATCATATGCGATCAACGTATAACTTACTTATTGAAAGATCAAACTAAAGAATATAATGAGTAATCTTACAAGAGTTCGCGATGAAAATTGCCCTGCTGATGACAAGCCTAGATTTCTGTCCTGTCTAAAGGCATATTGGGTGAGCATCATTTAGCTTGAAGATTCTATAATCTTCATCCCTGCTTGTTATATATCGGAGTTTAGCAGCTTCATTTTTAGAAAATATGTTATAAAAACCAAGCTTTGTGTATTCTACTTTGGCTATCACTGATTTTCAATATGGTAGTAAATTTTATTTCAACTTCTCTATGTAATTATGTTATAATTTTCTTATTTATTAATATTGATTGTCTCACCAGGATTTGCATATACAGTGTATTCTTATGAATAAATGTTATTTAGTTAATTTGTTTTACTTTCTAGCCGGAACTACCAGAAGGGTGCACCCAAGATGATGCTTATATGGGTAGTAGCGATGTGGAAGGAGAGGGAAAACAAGTTTTGGTTGGGATATGCG